TTATAAAGGTAATAAATAGTATTAGTTTTTTAAATACCTGCATAATAGCCATAAAATTCTAATATTAATTTATTTAATAATAATTATTATTAATATAGGTAAAAGGCAGTATAACAAGCCAGCCTAACTTATTAAAATTAATACTATTCTTTCTAGCACGTAAAAACACCTGCTATATATTATAATAAAAATTTATATAAATTTTTTTTTAGTGCTTCCGGTGCTATTTTAGGTTTTTTTTTTTAATTATAAAATAAGCCTTAATAATAAACTACTGCTAAAGCGCGGCACCTTATTAAAAAATATTAAAAAAGCTAGCCTGGGTGTATATTACCTAATATACCTATATAAAATTAGTAAGGTTATATCTTTACTAGTTTAAACCATCCTAATTTTAATCCCTAAAAAGTTATATAGCCTAGTAATAGCCAACCCCCCCATAGGGATAAAACACTATAAAAAAAAGGGGTAAATAAAGGGGATAAAATTAATAAATTTAGGTAAAATATTATTAATTTAAGCTTCCTAGGGTAGCTATATTATAAATATTATTTACCTTATTAACTGCTTGGTCCAGGACTAACCGCATGCTATTTATATAATTAATTATATAATAATTATAGCATAGCTAAACTAAATCCTATGTATAAAGCTTACTAATACCAGGTAATATAAATAATATAGTTATGCCATGTATTTAAAAAATATTATAAAAAAAAAAATGTATATATTAATAGGACCTATTATACTTGGTGTTATTTATAATATTAAGTATAAAACTAGCCACCTTATTTAAGGTAGTAATATTATTAAATTAATAGCCTCTAGCCTTATTTAATATTAGGTTTAAAAAGGGCGGAATTAAAAGGGATTTAATAAAATTATTATATAAAATATCACGGGCATGTTAAAAAATTTAAATATATAATTAATATTACCTAACTAACCGCTCGCGGGGAAATACCTTTATAAATAGGTTATACTTATAAAAAATATTACCTAAATAGTAAATAATAGCTTATATATTAATAAATTAGCATGTATTTTACTTTTTTTATAGGGTCTAAGCCACTTTAAAATTTAGTATATATATACTAGTATAAAAGGGTTTTAAGCCTAATACTATTAGTAAAACGGCATAAAATAAAATATAAAAATATATATAACATACTTTTTAAGGGGCCCTAGTAGTAGTAAGTAAACCCCTAAATTTAAAATATATATTTTTTAGCATGGCTAAGCTATTTATCCTGCATATAGCTAAGAAAGGTAAATAATAGCTAATTATTAATATAGTAAATTTATACATAAAACATAGTGCCTATATAACTATTAAAACTAAAAAATTATAAAATATAAAAATTCTTAGGTGCTAGAGGGGGCTAGAGCCTAATTAAATTATTTTTATAATAATTATTAAAGGATTACCTAATATCACGGGAAACTAATACCTTTACTAGCTAATACAAAGCATAATATTTAGTATACTTAATATTTATATAGCCAAAGTCTAAATTTTTTTAAGGCTTTATTAAGTTATAAAACACCTTTAAAAGGGCTAGTTCACGGTAATAAATAGGGTTAGCATGTTAATATTTTTAGTATTAAGTATTTTACCTCTTACGCCGCGGTAGGTTACCCCCGCACTTCTTATAAATAGGGCTAATTAAATAGTTTTTAGAATTAATATTATTAATATAAAACTTAAATAGGAAGGGCTAAGTATAAGGGGGCCTACTAAAATAGCACTAATTATATTTTATATAATATTTTTAGTTAAGCAAAAAAACCCTATAATTAAGCCTTATATAATAGTGTTTAAGCTTGGGGAAAAAAGTAGTATAATTATTATAAATTTAAGTTAAGTATAATTTATATTTTATATTACCGGAGGCCTTGGAGTAGGACTTTTTATATTAAATATAGTAATAAAAATAGGGATTAAAAAAATTTAGCTAGCCATGGACCTAAATAGCCTAATAGTAAAAAGGGTAATAAAAAAAGTTTTAATAAAAATCCCTAAAAATTTTCTCCTAGTAATAACCATAGTATATTATCCCCTATTTTAAAACTTTTTAATAAGGAAAAAAAGGGCAAGGGCCCGGGGAATAGCAAGGCATAAAAAATAAACTAAGTAGTAATAAGAGATTAACTAAAAAAAAGGTATAAAAAATAAAAAAAATATTTAGTAAAAAAACCGGGGGAAAGCAGTATATTTATATTTTTAAAAAACTTAATTTAAGTAAATATTTTAATTATAGTAAGCCTGGTATCCTAGTTAAAACATGCTAAAATATAATTAAAGCTATTAATTATAAAAAAATAAGGTTATCCCGGCCGCAGGAAGCTAAAATATATTAAAAAGTAAAATAGGCTAACGTGTTAAAAATAAAAAATTTAATATTTAATATATTATAAAGCTTATATAAGTAATTAAAGGCCTTAAATTATGCTAACTAGGGCTATATTTAAGGGCAGGCAAGCCTAATAATTTTTTAAAATACTACCCCTAGCTAGCAAGGCCATAAAGAAATTATACTAGTAGTTTAATTAAATAAGTAAATTTATAGGCCTAGTTTATATAAAAGTTTTTTTATTACTACCTTTATTCTATATAAACTAGGCCCCCTAAAATAATAATTATACTTTTAAATATTTACGCCTACTTTACTAGTAAAAAAGGGGTTGTAAAAATAATAAAAAAAGTAAAAATAATAAGCTAACTAGGGGTAAAATACTACTAAAAATACTAAATATAAGCTAAGCTATATTTAATTTAGGGATTAAGGTGCCTAAAATTTAGGTATTAAAAAGCCTAAATAAAGCTAAACTAGCCTAAAAAACTACTGGAGTTAGCAGGAATAGTAGTATAAAGAATAACTTAGGGTAAAATATTACTAAAAATACTAAATATAGGTTAAGTGGTATTTAATTTAAAAATTAAGGTGCCTAAAAATCCAGGTATTAAAAAGCCTAAATAAAGCTAAACTAGCCTAAAAAACTACTAAAGTTAGCAGGGATAGTAGTATAAAGGGTAACTAGGGGTAAAATATTACTAAGAACGCTAAATATAAGCTAAGTAGAAATAGCTTTAGAAATTAAAGTACTTAAATAAAGCTAAACTAGCCTAAAGTTCCGGGGATTAAAAAGCTTAAATAAAGCTAAACTAGCCTAAAAAACTACTAAAGTTAGCAAAGATAGTAGTATAAAAGGATAAAAAAACATACTTAATTATATATTACTAGGGGCGCTAGATATAGGCTAAGTAAAAATAGCTTTAAAAATTAAAGTGCCTAAATAAAGCTAAACTAGCTTAAAGTTCCGGGGATTAAAAAGCTTAAATAAAGCTAAACTAGCCTAAAAAATTACTGGAGTTAGCGGGGATGGTAGTATAAAGAAATAAAAAAACATGCCTAATTATATGCCGCTGGGGGCGCTAAATATAGGCCAAGTAGGGATAATAGTATAAAAAAATAAAGGGACATGCCTAATTATATGCCACTAGGGGCGCTAAATATAAGCTAAGCGGGGATAACTTTAGGAATTATAAAGCCTAAATAAAGCCAAACTAGCCTAAAAAACTACTAGAGTTAGCGGGGACGGTAGTATAAAAAAATAAAGAAATATGCCTAATTATATATTATTAAGGGCGCTAGATATAGGTTAAGCAGTGCCTAAAAATCTAAAAATTAAAGTACCTAAATAAAGCTAAACTAGCCTAAAAAATTGCTACTAGGGGCGCCAGACGTAGGCTAAGTAATACCTAAAAATTTAGGGATTAAAGCTGGCTATAAAGGGCTAACTAGGGGTAAAATATTATTAAGGGTAAAAGTTACTAAAGCTAGTATATAAAAGAAATAACATGCCTAAATATTTAGGGATTAAAAAGCTTAAATAAAGCTAAACTAGCCTAAAAAAACCACTAAAGTTAATAAAAATAGTAGTATAAAGGGATAAAGGGAATAATATACCTAAATATTTAGGGATTAAAAAGCCTAAACAAAGCTAAACTAGCCTAAAAAAACCGCCGGAATTAGTAAGAATAATAGTATAAAAAAATAAAGGGATTAACATGCCTAAAAATTTAAAAATTAAAAAGCCTAAATAAAACCAAACTGGCCTAAGAAAACCACTAGAGTTAGTAAGAATAGTAGTATAAAAAAATAAAAGGATTAACATGCCTAAAGATCCAGGGATTAAATAGCCTAAATAAAGCTAAACTAGCCTAAAAAACTATAAAAGAGCTAGTAAAAAAGGTGGCTATAAAGGACTAACTAGGGGTAAAATATTACTAGGGGCGCTGGATATAGGCTAAGTAGTATATAAAAATCTAGAAATTAAAGTGCCTAAATAATAGCTTAAAAAACTACTAAAGTTAGCGTATAAAAAAAATTAAAGTGCCTAAAAATCCAGGAATTAAAGTGCCTAAATAATAGCCTAAAAAACCGCCGGAGTCAGCGCATAAAGAAAATTAAAGTGCCTAAAGATCCAGGGATTAAAGTGCCTAAATAATAGCCTAAAAGACCGCCAGAGTTAGTGTATAAAAGGGATTAGCGTGCCTAAAGATCTAGGGATTAAAGAGCCTAAAAATAAAGCTAAGCTAGCTTAAAAAACCGCCGGAGTTAGCATATGCCTAAAAAGCTACTGGAGTTAGCGCACGGAGGGGATTAACATGCCTAAAGAACTAGGGATTAAAGAGCCTAAAAGACCGCCGGAGTTAGCATATAAAGTAAAATAAAGTATGCTAAATAAAGCTAGGCAAACATAGTAATATAAAGAAATAAAAGGGCATGCCTAACTATAGCTAGAGCTAAAGTTAAATAAGAAGTGGCCTAAAAAAAGGTATAAAATTATAAAAACAAAAGAAGATGCTAAAGGCGGTACACGGGGGTAGAAGGCAAAAGGCGGAACGGGAAGGCAGAAACCAATGATTAAGCCGGAACATCCAGAAATATGGGAGGGGATCTAGCTAACTCACCTCTGCCAGGAGTTAGAACTGCCTAAGATGAAGACGAGGTCTGACCCTGGTCCTGCCCCTGACTTTGAAGAACCCGGTACGTCCGGATTGGAATACTGGTCGAGTGGAAGAATCCCGTCTGTGCCTCACTCGGCGGCGACTGAAAGGGTATCTGCTCTACGGCGAGGGCGTTCCGTGCTACAGTAGGCCATTGAGATCAGACGTCTACAAGAGAGACGAAGAAAGGGAGTGGATGGTCCTTCAATCCAACCGGATAGAATAAACAGGCAAAAGGCGAGGAGAGACTTACCACAGGCTTCCAGAAAAGTGTGAAAGGTATCTTCGTTGCGAACAGTGGCGGCGATGATGAACTCCTTCACGGAATAATTGTCGAAGAGGTCCCTGATTGTGGAGACGAGAAGTGGCACGATATCCGAGTCATATATCTAAGCAAGTGTATCAATTTCCGTCTAGCCCTTGGGTCAGTTGGGGTAATTTACCAGATCCGCCCCGACAGCAATATCAAACTCTACCCGGCCATGCTCCTCGAAGAGGAAAGGAACCTGAAGCGGCATTCCCCACTCCCAAATCCCCGCCTGGATCTGCTTCTTGTTTAACCCGTTCTTGCCAATGCAGTCGTCTATTTGTTCGATGAGAGCCGGCTCCCGATCCGTGACGACAACGCTCTCCGCACCAAGGTGCTTTGCGCAGAGGAAGGACAGGAACCCAGTACCGGCTCCAAGTTCGAGGACGCGCTTGTTTCCAATCAGGGATTTCCCGGCGCTCGTGGTCGAGAGAAATGTGCCTAGGTGTAGGGCTGCTTCCCAGGTGCGGAAACCGGTTGTGCCAGCGGAGAGGATGAGGGAGCGGTTTTCGGACGTTATGATTGTTTTGCGCTCGGTGTTTGATGACATTGGGGTAGGAGTTGAGACGACGGGAGCACTGTATTTTATGTAGGTGAGCTTCTGTGCTTGTTCAAGGGCGGACGGCTTCGGCGTTGAGAGTAGAAAAGTCCATTTTTCCATGAGACTATCGAGGATTTCCTATCCGTGGGAGTCAGATTTATGAACTGGAATATTCGGTATGCGACAAGCGTAGGCATACTCATACATCCTCCTCAGGATCGGATATAGATTCTTCAATCCGGGCAATGATTGTTTTTAAAACGCGCGATTGGTATGGTGCTGGAGGGAGAGGCCATGCTGTGTCCTCGTTGAACATGCTCTCATAGATGGCTGATTGTATGGTGGGGGAGACAAGGGCGGGGCCATCGGGGAGAGCAAGAGACGGCGGGTCAACTTGTTGAAAGTACTGCGCTGTCAAGAGCGTTATAGAATCCATTGACTCCAGCGATTGAGGCCTCTAGGAGCTTGGAGAAGGATTGGGCTGTCGGAATAACTTTAGTTGTTCTACAGCCAAGTCCCTTTGGCAGAGCGGAGTATGGGCTACGGATCGGAGCGGTCACGTGTAAGCTAGCCTAATGAGGCTAGTGCGCCCTAGCCGAGCCCACAGCCGACTTTGCACAGAAAACGAAATTGAACGAAGCGCATCTCGACGCCCGCCAGAATCGACAGTCGACAACGACAACGACATCCCAACCACCGCCCCCTGACCTTGTCATTCTCGCTGCTGGTGGTTCAGTCTTGTCAAGCCTACAACAACCACAAAAATGGCCGACGCTCCCGTTACTCTGCGGACTCGCAAGTTCATCCGCAACCCTCTGCTTGCCCGCAAGCAGATGGTCGTGTAAGACCCCTTCTCCCGCACCGCACTACACCTACCTACGTTGGATGGGATGGGGAGATCTTTCGCAACGGATTCGAAAGGAGGAGAACGAGGAAGAGATGGAACGCCGACATCTGGACGCACATACCGAACGAGTTGGACCGGATACTGATTTGAGATGATAGGGACGTCCTCCACCCCAACCGCGCCAATGTCTCCAAGGATGAGCTCCGTGAGAAGCTCGCCGACCTGTACAAGTCCAACAAGGACCAGGTTTCCGTCTTCGGCTTCCGCACACAATACGGTGGTGGCAAGAGCACCGGCTTCGCTCTCATCTACGACTCCACTGAGGCCCTGAAGAAGTTCGAGCCTCGCTACCGTCTCATCCGCATCGGTGCTGGCGAGAAGGTCGAGAAGCCCAGCCGACAGCAGCGTACGTCAACCCCGAGATATTTCAATATGGTCTATGAGGCAGTAGCGGAGGAGCTAACCCTCGTCCAGGCAAGCAAAGGAAGAACCGCTCCAAGAAGTTCCGCGGTGTCGCCAAGGTCAAGGGCCCCAAGAAGAGCAAGGACTAAGCGTGTGCGTCTCGCGAATGATAGTGTTGGTGCTCGGGGGTTGGTGGGAGATTGTGGCGAGAAAACTGGCGTACTGATTCTGATTTGGACTCGGATTCGCAACTCGGACTTGGGCGCAGCAAGCAAGGCTGATGTCCACGATGATAATAATGATGAACCCAACAACCCTGTGATTAGCAACAAAAGAGAACAACAACAAAAAAGCATGCTCGTCCAAGGTCTTCGCTGTGGTATCATTATCTATTGTCTTCCCGATCTCCGGCCATCCGTCATCCTCATCATGACCACGCGGATAGACAGGCTTCAGAGGATTAAAAATATCACTGGATTCTGGGTTCTGGTCTGGGTTTCGTTATAGTCGGCTGTTCAATGCATTTCTTTTCATTCAACCTGCGTCCATGACAATGTCCCGTCTCCATATGTACTCAGCATATCAGATCGGCAAGTAGGGTACCGGTAAGTACCGGTCGTAGGTTCTTTAGACCAACCTTGAAAAGCAAAGAGTGTGCAGGGCGCTGTCCTGAATGGACATTGCCAAGCAAGAACGCCAATTCCCATATTTCAACCTGCATCGTCTCCATCCGCCATCCACCAACCGGACCTCAACCCTCGGAGGAAATACCAAACGTACTTTCGTCCAAACCCAACCCCGATTCTCATCCGTCCATAGTCCAACCCTCGGAGCCGCGGACTGACGACGCACCGCATACTCCGGAGTACGAACGTAGTCTACACTAACTCCTGCGCGAGCCGTACCGAGCCCAAGGATCTGGACGGGGTATCCCTGCTGCAAATCTTCGCTTGCCCGTCTATCTACGGAGTATTCACACCTCCTAACTAGTCTAGCCCACCTCGATGGCACCTGCATCCTAATCACCTGCGCGCTTCGTGTCTACTCCGTAATGATCCTCCAATCCAGCCTACCCTGCAGGCAAAGCTGAGGGTCCGGCTCCATCACTACACCTTTGTTTTTCACTGAATATGGCGCCCACTACCTACTAAGCTGTCCACAAGCTGAAGCCGGGCCCCTTGGAACAAACTGCAAGCCATCCCCAACCAATAACGACTTCCTCATCTGCTCAAGTCTCTGCAGGATGACCGATTCGACAGCCCCGGGGCGCTTCGTGCAGACTTCCGCCGGGACGGGACGCGCCTAGGTAAGGAAAACCGGCGTCGTTGGTACGTTGGACCTTGGAAAACTAGCCGTAGCTGCCGTACGCTGGTGCTGGTGATGGCAAATCCGAGGAAGACGAGATTCACCAAATGCAAGGCGTACGCTTGGCTTGTTGACCGTTGACCGTTGACCGTTGGGCTTGGTCTCCTGTGAGGCACAATTAAGAGTCTCCCTTTTTTTCTTTTTTTTTTCTTCTCTTGTTGTCCTCAAGGGGTTGGGAAGTACGTACGCACAGGCTAGCTCAAATTCGTCAGATGTTTGCTTCGAGGCGCGGGGAACTGGTTCACTGTACTCGAATTGAGTCTGTTGTGCACATCGAGTCAAGGGATGAAAGAAGGTTTAGCCTCACGCTCGTTTGTTTGACGTCGCGGTTACGCGGGAGACAGGCTCCCGGAGATGAGATGACACTGCGCAATTCCAGGCTCACCCTACCAGGGCTTGTTGTTTGAGTCTAGGCTCAGTGACTGTGTTGACATATCGTTTTTGGATATCGTCGAGCGTTGCTATTCTAGGAGCACCTTCCATGATCGTCCAGCCCAATTAACAGATCCCGATTGTTCTAGCGGTCACTGGGCTCTATTAGCCTATTAAGACTCTAGCGAGATATTTCCGGGTGCGTGAATCCCTCAGCCAGCCTTCATCGGGGACTGCGGGCATCTTCTCGGGCTCGGAACTTGACCTCTTGGCCGGGATCTAATTCTTTGTCCTGGCCGTTAGAACAGATAATAGGCGACCATATGCTATTAGGGTATTGGACTAAGCAACACAAAATGCAATTCAGACCGACCGTAACCTCATCCCGGGTCCCGGGATAGGCGACAAAGAATGACCCTGCAAGGGCGATGATCACAATCAGCAGACAAGCCACCTCCCATCTCACAACAGACAGCCACCCATAAAGACTCAAGCAGGCATTAGCTAAGGTCACCAACAGAGAAAAAGAAAGAGCCCGGACACCGGTACTAGCACTTTTGGCCCGTTTTCATTGTTGTGCACGGAAGGCTTGAGCCGCGCAATGGAGGCATCATCCAATCGGCCAAAACTCAGACATAATACATATGATAAACATAAATGAAAACGTGAAAGAAAGAAAAGAAAAAAAAATATCGAGTAAAGCACGCATCCAATCGTAGGTCAACAAGATTGAACTTCCGCTCTTTCAACATCAATTGTTTGTTCTCGTCGTGATCTAACTTCCGAAACGTACCTACCGTATACAGAAATTGGCACGCCTCGTGCCTCGGCTCGTTAGTGAATCGGACCCTCCGCGTTATCACTGGGAGCAGAGACCGGTGAAGTTTGGGTGCGCGGCCATAGACTGTATAACGGACTTTCCGTCGGTCTGAGGGAGGCTCACTGAGTGCGTCGACCGCGTGTACGGCAGTCCATTGATCAACGTGCTCTCAGAGTTCGAGTCGTCCGCCATGGAGCGGTTCCTGTAGGCTGGTCTGCTATAACCATATGTGTCGGTTCGATAGTCCGTGTGCGATACTAATCGCCTATTGTCGCGTGAGAAGGTTCTGTATCGAGCGTCCGTACTTCCACGTAACTCATCACCTGCCTCGGCAGCGCATGGTGCGGCTTCCAGGCCCGCAAAAGATCCGGATGACGGTGGCATTATTGGTGGGGTTGCACCGCCTGATGGTAAAAACCCAAACGTCATGTCGTTCCCATTCGATGGGATTAGTTTCGCTCGATCCATTATTCCATGATGGAAGGGCATGGTTGAGCCTGACGGCATGGGTGTGCGAGGTTCACATTTTGTCACCCAACGATTGCCTGACTTGTAGGTATGGACAGATGGTAGCCCGTCAGAGGTTACGACAGGGCCACTATTGTTCCCCAAAAAGGTGTTTCGGCCGGTGGGGTTTGGCAGAGTTCGTTCCGTTCCTTGAGTTGGGGACGGCAATGAACCTTGGGTAAGCGCCATGCTTGGGGCTCCATTTGTTTGGCCCAGTCCAGGAATCATGTAGGGAAAGGGCGCATGGGTTAGGGCGCCCCCTGCATCACTCTCTGAGAAAATCGGTTCGGTGGGAACTCGACACCCCTGCAGAATTGCGCCCCAGTTTTTCGAATTCCAACTCAGCCCGCAGTAGTCTGCTATGAATGCCTGCGGCGAGCTTGGCAGCATATAGGTGGCGGAAGAAGTCTGGGAATTGTAAGGAGTCGAAGACTCGTCCTCGTAGCTGATTGTAGGATCAAGGCCAAATGGTTGTCGGCCATATGAATTCTGAGTGTCCGGTGTCACCTCATAGTCTGAAGCCCGTGAGAATGGAGAGATACGAGGGTTGTTATGGTTCATCTGGAACCCTCCTGTCTTAGAGGAAGCCGCAGAGGACGCATATGCTCGGGAAGCCATGTCATTTGTGGGATAGGGCCATCCGGATCCCGTGGGAACATGAACCTTCGTCTGCAGAATAGACGAGTTGACCTAGTCTCTCCCGATTAGCCTTCACATACTGAGAGAAGATGAAGGGCTCGTGGATTGAGGAGGTTAGCTTACCCTCAAGAAATGGCATTGTGTGTTTCCAGCACTCCGACAATTAGAACAACCTTGGCCATCACCAACATCGCCACTACACTTGATCTTCCGTTTCCGGCATCTCATGCACTGTTACTGTTAGCCATGCCCGTTTCTCTCGCATATCGTTGGCTTTACTTACTGCAACTTGGATCCGCCGTCTTGTCGCGCCTCGGCCCTTGGCCTCAAAGTCGCCCTCAGTACTGATGCAGCCCAGGTTCCTGTCCAGGACCTCGTGCTGACTATCACTCTGAAGGGTATGAGATATCGACAGAGCTTCCCGCTTCGATTGTGCATCGAAACCGACGTCGTCATCGGCAGGATAGAAAGGCTGGGCCATGACTTCATCCATCAGTGTTGAGGAAAACATGTTGGTTCTCGTTTCTGTTGGACTCACATATGTAGTGGCAGGTTAAGGCAGGTTCACGGGAGGAAGTAAAGGTACTTTTGGAGGTTATCAGAGAGTAAATAAGAGAGATGAGATCAGTGGTCAGGGATGCCCGCTTGTGTTCAACATACCCCATCCACGAAGCATACTGGGAAATAATGACCGTACCTGATCGTGAGGGGTCTGTGTGAGTACTTCAGTAGTGGATACAGGTCCAGACTGGATTTTATGGACCATGTGCCAATAGGTATTTTCTTTTCCTTTTGATTGCCTGCCTCTTTTTTGTCCCTTTCTCTTTTGTTTTTGCTGCTTGCCCCTGTCGCAAATCTGTTGGTAAATTCCAAATAGGCCAGAGGCCACCACTCTGGAATATTCCCAGCGCCAGGAAGTGGGTGGTTCTATTGGCTCGTCATTTCGAGAAAACCACTGGCCGCTCTAGTATCTGAACCTTTGTTCCATTCGCCTGGGCTATGCTGGGGGAGGGTCAACATCCTGCAATGGGCCGTTTTGCATGCGCCGGTTCGACCATTCGAAACTTGCTGCTGGAAGGCGAAACAGGAAGGAAGCGAACCCCGGGCCGGTTCCACAAGAAGTAACGCTGGTTACACTCCAGGTGCAAAGTCACACCAGCCAAAGTGTCATGCTTCACCTCATGCGCTAGCAGCACTACCATGAGTACCATCCCTCAGGCCAGGCCGCCAGGAAATTAGAGGTCCCCGAGAGTGGTTGCAGCCAATCGCCAGTCATTGTCATCCACAAGCTTCAACTCCCTCGCCTCTTCTACTACTAAGCGCAACTATGCCCCATTGGCGTCAACGGGGCCTAAGCTCTGAATCGCCAGCCTTTTCGTTCTGTTGGCTGTTGTAGAGCGGGCATCCGCCGATTACGTTTGCAGCACTGGTTTTGGCGCGCTGTAGCTGTCTCTGATCCCAAGTGGAAACCAGGGCAAATGTTTGCGCGTTATCTGGGAGTGATGATGTTCTCCTGCGAAGCCTGTTGGCTGGGCCGTAGACGTCCTTCACAACAATCAAACAACTTCTGATCGGGAGCGGTCAAAATTCGGCCAGTACTTTTGACGGGGCGTCATCGATCTCGGATGAGAGAAGATCCACGACAGGGTATCTGCTTAGCGCTATCCAGGATCCACTAGTCGTCCTGTCGATATATTCGGGTGAAAGGTGCACAACACCTGCAAACGAACCATCCGGCTGATTACACTAGGCTAAATGTCTCGGAAGGCTGAAATCCATGTCTGTGTGTGAGCGATAAATGTGATTTTCTCAGGTTCGACTGGGACATTGGATTCTTGGTGACACATGCAGTATATATCTGAGCCAAAATAGCTCCAGAAACTCCCCAGCACGAGAAGGAGATGATCATCCAGGTCACCAAGATGCGCATGACGTTGTATTGGATCACTCTTATCGTCTTGGTAAAGTCGGGATGGCGATATCGGCAACCTAGATCAAAGCCAAGCAAAACAACAGCCGGGGCGATGAAAGAAAAGAAGGCAGGAAAAACAGGCAGTCCAATCACAGGGCAATGAAGGATGAAGCTTTTTATTGAATCTCACAGCGTCTTGGGCATTCTAGAGTGCTGTCAGTCAGATTTCGCATGGACGTGATGCTAGGGGTCAATCTAGTAAAATGCACGGGGCTCAGGGGTCTCTGCGACGAGTATGCAGAATGAACAAATATACATCACAGTCTCGCCTCAAGGCAAAGACTAATGTATTTAATTTCAACGTTCTGTATGCACTTTTCCCGTTTAGTTGGACCTACCAAGCTGCCACGGTTGTGATAGCGGTCGAGCCTTATACCAACTGCCCACTCGTAGGGAAAGGAATGGATGTATGGATTTGAGGTCCAATTCAGGTATAGTGTGATCGATCGATAGACGGGTAGAGATCTGTCTGGTGAATGTATTGCTTCGAGATTCAAGCAGCGAGTACCAATGGTGCTGAGCAGCAGATGATGTGACGTGGGCAGATAATCCTGCCCTGCTGTACATCTGCGTCTCCATGTATTAGCCAGCAACATCCACAGTTCACAATAGGGCCGGCCATAGGCTAAAAGGGCCAGTTAAGACATAGGCGGCGGTTCAAATGGCCACCATGCCACCAGGCCCTTGTTCGGTTTGGCCAAAGCACGGAAAGTTAAGCGGTTATCAGAAACTCTCCCACGTGTATACCCCAGATTCAGACGGAGTTAAGAATTAATTGCCCCGGCCAGCGGGCCACAAGCACAGAGCTCCATGATAAAATCCAGATACATGTTGCGACGGAGCTGCAGGATACCGCCCGTTATTTCCAACGCTTCTGTTGTGGAACTGCAAAGAGCTGGTAATGGCAATGACGGCTGTACTTCCAGGCAGTTTTCTTTGGGAGTATAGAGCGTTTTCCTGCCCTACAAGTAGTGGGCAGAAAGGACATAAATTCTCCGTAAAGGTGCAATGACTTTGGGTTACAGTTGAACTGTCACTGCGCGCAAGGTAACAATCATTCAAGCTCCTTTCCAGCCAAAAGAAGCGGCATCAAGCAATTGTGTTGCTGTTGACGGTCGGGTTCAACAATGCGCCGCAAATGTAGGCACGATAGCAGTAAAGGCCCATCATCTCCTTGCCATCCGACATGCGTTCGCCTTGATCTTGTTCGGGTCACAATCATCGATACGGGGACTAGACGCTGGCCTGAGGACTTGGTTCCTCTTGGCCTAGGCCTCACTGCTGTCCAACAGGTATCTCCGGAAGCTGCACCTATTATCGCAAGGATGGCCCTTGTTACACAAAGGCCCCGCGGAATCTGTCTCCGGCTCCGAACAATGAAGCATGTCAATCACATTACGTTGGAGTGAATAAAATCCGGCAGGATTCAGCTGTGACAAGGCATTGCGCGCTGCAGGAGCAGTTTGAGACTTGCAGAAGTGCAGATGTCATTCGAGTGAGTGGCTGTTGACTGCAGGTTATTATTGGTGTTGATGATCGGCGGGCAAGACTGCGGCCGGGCGGGAAATGATGACGGCGGCTCCGCATTGGACTTGGGCCCTTTTTTCCTGCTTCTTCAAAGAATCCAATTGTGAGAACTGCTGCCAAATTCCTCGTTTTAGTCACCCCAGAGTCTGGACTTCTGTCATTGACCTACCCAAATTCGCCCATCGGTTCTTGTCACATCTGTTTGTTCGACGCAACGTCGATCTTCCCCGAGGCTGCCGACGGATGCGATGAGCGTCCTACTAGAAACGTCCTTGGGTGACATTGTCATCGACCTCTTGGTCGACGAATCGCCTAAAGCATGTGAGAAGTAAGCACCCCTGAGTGTTTTATCACTTCGTTCTCGGCCAGCTGTTGCCCACGTATCATGTCGAGTGGCTGAAACGAGAAACTAAAGCTCTTTATCTTCTATGGCACTAGCTTCCTGAAGCTCTGCAAAATCAAATATTACAACTTCTCGCCGTTCTACAGCGTCCAGAAAAACTTTTCCTTCCAGACTGGCGATCCAATCGGCCCCGATTCCTCAGATAGCGATGGCGGATCATCGATCTGGGGTTTGTTGGAGTGGCCCTCGAAACAAGCCGTTCCCCTCGCCCTCCCTCCGAAACTGAAACACGATGAGAAGGGCACTGTGAGCATGGCCGCTGTTCCCTCCCCACATGATCCTGATCTTCGCCTTATCACTAGCCAGTTCATTGTTACGTTAGGGGACAATCTTGATTACCTGGATGGCAAGGCAGTGATTTTTGGGAAGGTGGTGGAGGGCTTTGATGTGCTTGAGAAAGTCAACGAAGCCTTTATAGATGACCGAGGCCGGCCGCTCAAGGACATCCGCATCCGTCATACAGTAGTGCTCGATGACCCTTTTGACGACCCGCCAGGCTTGGTGGAACCACCGGAGAGTCCCTTGCCAACGAAGGCGCAATTGGCTACTGTCAGAATTGCGGATGATGAGGATCTTGGGGATGACATGGATGAGGCGTCTATGGAGAAACTCCGGCGGGAGCGTGAGGCGCGAGCACAAGCCTTAACCTTGGAGATGGTCGGGGATCTCCCATTTGCCGAGGTGAAGCCTCCGGAGAATGTCCTGTTTGTCTGCAAGTTGAACCCTGTGACTCAAGGTACGGCACTCTATAATCAATTGCTCTAGTGCGTTTACTAACAAATGGCCATAGATGAGGATCTGGAGCTTATCTTTAGTCGCTTCGGAAAGATACTATCTTGCGAGGTCATCAGAGATAAACGAACGGGCGACAGTTTACAGTACGCCTTTATAGAGTTTGAGAACCAAAAGGATTGTGAGCAGGCGTATTTCAAGATGCAGGGGGTGTTGATAGATGATCACCGAATTCATGTTGATTTCTCCCAAAGTGTGAGTTGTCATCTCTGCTGCGGTAACCTCAACAGTGCTAATGACGCCGTAGGTATCGAAGCTGTCCGAGAGCTGGCGAAATGCCACTGTAACGAAACGAAGTGCGCAAAGGGGCGGCTTTGGTGGCGTAGCTGGTCTTGAGAAGAAGCGCCAGTATAGAGCAAGCGAAAACGCTCGCGAGCGCACCGATTACAACATGGTTTTCGACAAAAAAGATGGCAAGCGGTCTTTACCTGGTGAGCGGTCGTACAGTCGAAGTCCCCAAAGAAACAGCTACCGGCATGGAAGAGATAGTGGAAGCCCCAGGCGAGATTCTTACCGGAGCCGTCGTCGTGACAGGTCGTATAGTCGAAGTCCGCCACGAAAAGACACTCACCGTGACCGAAATAGGGGCGACTATTACGAAAATGATCGACGACGTGGCTATCGTGACGACGACAGATATAGAGACAGCCGACATCGATAGCAGAAGACCGGGATGGACGGAGCATGTACCTCTTATTAACGCGTGAGACGATGCAATATACCTAGGTGTCTTGTTTAGAGCACTGCAATGTCCCTTCAGATTTATCCTCAATCGTCGGCCAAGAAGTCTCATCCATCAGAGTGAGCACTACTTCGTAGGCTGTATTCTATTCGTAGTGACGCTATTTGAGGTGGCGTCCTGTTCTGTCGGTGAAACGTACTCCGTACAGCTGAGATCTAGCTTAGCGTACGGTTTGGTCGATGCCCCGCCTCCTGATCGAAGCCCCGCGCAGATTGGTTGTCCAAGCAAGACAGGTGTAAAAATGGGCCAGATGGAAAGGGGACAGGAGCATAGCCTGGAAGATTATTATGGGACCGTTTTCGCTAAAAATAGGCAAAGCATAGCCAAACTGATGCGAGTTGGAGCTGGCGGTCAACAATACAATATAAATACCTCCGTAGTTGGGTTACCGGGACAGCCTCTAAACTTTGATGCTCATACCAATCCAGGAACTGCAGACTCACACCGCGCTCCTTCATAAAGAATCCCAATCCCTCTCTCCTCTGTTCTCCTTACTCTACTATCCTCCCTCTAATCACCTTTTATCCTCTTCCATCAGTTGCCTCAATTCTCTTTTCCACCATGGCTGCCGCTATTAAGAACCTTGTGGACAAGTTTCAGGGTCATTCCGAGCCCGCGCTTCGTGTACCATCGGCCGAGGAGGTCCAAGAGTTGAGACAGAAGTATGAGCAGACAGAACAGTCGCAAGTATTTGCATTTTACGACCAACTGAGCCAGACGGAGCAGGCTCAACTATTCCATCAACTGTCCAACTTTGACCCTACCCGCATCAATGAGCTCGCCGACAAGGCTCTGAACCCCCCCAAATCTGAGACCGGCCCGGTTTCGCTCGAGCCTCTCCCCGAAATCGCTACCGCCTCGATCCTCGACTCCGACCCGAAAGATATCCAGAGTTACTACGATGAGGGTATCAAGCTTGTGGCGGAGAATCAGGTTGCCGTGGTACTGCTTGCAGGTGGACAAGGAACTCGGCTAGGAAGCTCGCAGCCGAAGGGCTGCTTTGACATTGGTCTCCCAAGCCACAAGTCCCTTTTTCAGATCCAAGCCGAACGTATCGGTAAACTCCAGCTCCTTGCGAAGAAGATATCAGGCAAGCATGCCGTGATCCCTTGGTATGTCATGACAAGTGGGCCGACGCGCAAGCCCACGGAGGAGTTCTTCCAACAGCACAGCTACTTTGGGCTAGAAAAGTCAAACGTCTTCATCTTTGAGCAGGGCGTCCTGCCGTGCATTTCAAATGAAGGTAAAATCATGCTGGAAAGCAAGTCCAAGGTACGAAAAGATTCCTCTGACTCCGTAAACGTGGTCACACAGTATCTCACACTCACGTTTCTAGGTGGCCGTTGCACCTGACGGTAATGGAGGAATCTACCAAGCTTTGCTCACTGCCGGCGTAAGGGAGGACATGCGGAAGCGAGGAATCAAGCACATCCACGCCTACTGTGTCGACAATTGCTTGGTCAAAGTGGCTGATCCAGTTTTCATCGGCTTTGCTGCCTCCAAGAAGGTTGATCTTGCTACAAAGGTGGTGCGGAAGCGTAACGCTACTGAATCGGTCGGCCTGATTCTTCAAAAGAACGGAAAACCAGACGTGGTTGAGTACTCCGAGATTGACAAGGAGACAGCGGAGGCCAAGGACTCCAAAAACCCTAGCTTGCTGAAATTCCGTGCCGCCAACATTGTTAACCACTACTACTCCTTCGACTTCTTCAACTCCATCGAGAACTGGGTTCACAAGATGCCTCACCACATCGCCCGAAAGAAGATCCCCAGTGTTGACATTGAGAGCGGCAATGTCGTTAAGCCCGAGAAGCCGAACGGTATCAAATTGGAGCAGTTTATCTTCGATGTTTTCCCCATGCTTTCTCTCGAGAAGTTTGCCAGCATTGAAGTGCGCCGTGAGGACGAATTCTCGCCTCTAAAGAACGCTCGGGGCACCGGAGAGGACGACCCAGACACCAGCAAGCGAGACATCATGAATCAGGGTCAGCGATGGATTGAGAGTGCTGGTGGGGTTGTTGTCACTGAGGAAGATGCCGTGGGCGTTGAAGTATCTCCCTTGATCAGCTACGTAAGATTCCTGTCTATCTAACACTAGTTGTGCTGGGCTAACTGTCTTCTACAGGGTGGTGAAGGACTTGAGTTTCTTAAAGGCCGCGAAATCAAGGCGCCCGCTGTCATTGAGAGAGAGGAGTAGATAATCTAAATAAGATCCGTTTCTCAGCTGTTCATACTTTTACTTGAACTTGAGACAAAATTTCGCGAAGCACTTTTCAATGAGCATGTCCAGAGGGGCCTATATATACTCAAATACAGCAAATATATAGTACTGTGCTGTGAGGCCTCGACTCGTGCAAGAATCTGGGGTGCTTGACCTTGCGGAAAGCGGGAAAGCCCGGGAGCTAAAGTTTTTCCAGAGTCCGCTCTACTTTTTCCTGCGTCTTAGCTGGTCACTTATAACAATTAGGAAACTCAGAAATATCTGCTATCTTCGCGCAATCTCTTGATACAATTTTCCTTCTCTGTTTTGGAGTGTGGTGTGTCGTGGTCTCTGCTGCATGTGAGTCGTCCTGTCCATTTCTCGTGTGTGTGTCCGGGAACAGAGCTCTTGTCTTTGTCAGCCCACTATTTTTTCAAGTCCTGAGAGCGGGCTGTTGGAGAGCGCTCCTCCTCCGAGGTTCTCAGGCTGACGATCAACCCAGCGCTATCGACGAGGAGATTTTGAGGTTTGCGGTCTGGGAAGGGTAAGTGAGCTGCCGGACACCCCTCGACTCCCTTCCATTTATCTGCGAATGTTTCGCGCTCCGGCTCCACGCGGTTTAAGCTTCACACCCATCTTGAGCGATGCTTTTTCTACCTTACACGGGGCAATCAACCTGTGTCAAACTTGCTACCTACATGCCATGAAACTTTGCGCCGTTCATTCCTCCCTACTTTTGCGCCTTTATGACACCACTGATGTCTTGCCGATCCGCATACAATCCTCGCTTCCAAGCGCATAAGTTGGCTCAGCATTGCTGATTGGGACTTTGCCCTACCGCTTTTTAGCTCGGTATATACAGACAAGATGATGCTCTCTCGACGTGCCTGCTACAAGTGTGGCAACATCGGCCATTACGCTGGTTAGTTGCGGGCAAGGGAAACTGATTGAGAGGCGGATTGTGCTAACGGACTGGTCAAGAGGTCTGCTCTTCTTCTGAGCGTCTCTGCTACAACTGTGGGTGAACTGCACTTCCTGGCATAAGTACCTCGAGTTCATTGCGCTGATTCGTCTCTGGAAAAATAGGCAAGCAACCTGGTAGGTCTCAGGGTGCGGTGAGTGACATCTCACGGACCAAATATCTGATTTATCGGTAGGACACGAGTCCAGCAGCTGCCCGCGTCCTCGTACAACCGAAAGTAAGAGTTCCAGGTCTCGTTTGGCGAGTAGAGGATGCTGATATGTATAACTTCAGCCAAGCAATGCTATAATTGCCAAGGCCTAGGCCACGTTCAGGCAGATTGTCCCACGTTGCGCCTCAATGGCGCCAACGGTCGTTGCTACAACTGCAGCCAGCCCGGCCACCTTGCTGTACGTCTGTCATTTTGTCCCTGCGCCTCGAAACAAGGCTGATTGATCCTTTGTTAGCGTAACTGTCCGGCTCCTGCATCCGGTGCTCCCCGAGGTGCCGGTGCTCCCCGTGGAGGTTTCAACGGTGGATTCCGCGGTGGATATGGCGGCTACCCTCGTGCTGCCACTTGCTACAAGTGCGGTGGCCCCAACCACTTTGCCCGTGATTGCCAGGCTCAAGCTATGAAGTGCTACGCCTGTGGAAAGCTTGTAAGTGCAACTTATATCTCTTTGTCTAAGCTTGGCAGGGCTAACCTAATTCTCAGGGTCACATCTCCCGTGACTGCACTGCTCCTAACGGTGGCCCCTTGAGCTCTGCTGGCAAGGTCTGCTACAAGTGCTCTCAGGCTGGTCATATCTCCCGGGACTGTCCCAACAATGAGGCAGCCGCTGAGCCGACTATCCCTGCCGCCGCTGCTCCTGTGGCTGCTACTGCTGTTGAGACTGATGCTACCCCTGTTGCGGCTGCGGCTCCTACCACTGCCGTTGCATAGGAGCCAAAGGCTATTCCGAGTCATTAAAACTGCCGTGTAGCCATTTTCTCCTCGTTTTGCTTCGGGTTTTTTTTATATATTGGGCTTGCCGACGAGCTATTTGATCTAGCTTGGATCCGTCTCTGTGTTTCTGTGCATATATTACGCCCCTCATGTTTCATTTCTCGACCACGTCCTTTTCCTTATTCCTCTTATGTATACGGCGGACAAAAGTTTCACGAAGACTTAGGTTCCCTTACTGCTTGGATCCTATGCACGATTCAGGGTCTTATGATTGGCGTCTATTATACTCCTCGGATATCTTTCTCATTTATACTACATGTGTGGCGAGGAGAGGAGGCGAGGCGGAGGGTTAATCGAGCGCAAGCCGATGCAAGTGTTGGTATGCAGTGGAATATTCTGGCTTCGAGACCAGCGCGGATGGGATTGCTCAAGGTGTGCTGAATGTCGCCAGTGAGCATGGGAAGGTACCTGGTGCGATGATTACCTGCCCACTGTGCGTACGATATCCTTATACTTGTCGAAATTGAAGCAAAAAAAAAAAGAAGAAAAGCAATCTTCAATTCTTATTTCAGGTCCCATATCTACCTTACTCTGATATAGTCTCACTGATAACTGGCCAGTATTCCCGCCAGTGTCATTTCCATAGAAAACATATCCGGATTCTACGGTCTTGAGCAGTCTCCTTGTGAGCTTATCATCTCAGCCCAGCCCACCGCAGACGATTCATCTAATATTTCCACTCTTCCTCGTCTCTTCCCTTCCCTTACCTCATTACCTCCTCGGCTCTATCATCATAACTAATCCAACATCCATACAACTGCGCATCTATACCTGTTCGGGGTCCCTTCCCGCCTTCGCAATGCCTGCATCTGAAGCCAGCGACGAATTCGGTGACGATGTGAGTCCAGCTTCCCCTGGCCTCCTTGCTCCCCTTTGGGATTGTTGGCTAACAATGGTGTCACTCGTGGCAGGACTACATCGTTGACATCGATTGCATACAAGCTCATGGTACTCAACCCACTCGCTCCTCCTTCTTAAAATTAACCGAATCTAAGGAATTGGTGCCGCGGATATCACGAAGCTCAAGGCGAACGGATTCTTTACTATCGCTGTATTTCTCCCAATGTACCTGCTCGGCTCTTATAACGCTTACACAATGCCGTTTAGTCGATTCACGGTGCGACGAGGAAGACTTTGTTGAAGATCAAGGGTTTCAGTGAGATCAAGGTGGAAAAGATCAAGGAGGCTATCAACAAGTGTCTGGTAAGTGTAAAAGGTCCTTTGGTATCGTTCAATCCTTATAATACCAGCCTTCAGCTTCGGGTTTCATTACAGCAATGGAACTCAGCCACCAACGCAAGAGAGTTGTCCATATCTCGACTGGTAGCAAACAATTCGACTCAATCCTTGGAGGGTGAGTACCTCGCAAAATGAATGCTGGGTTACTGACACTTCGCAGCGGCTTTCAGAGTATGAGCATCAGCGAAGTGTTCGGCGAGTTCCGCTGCGGCAAGACCCAGCTCTCCCATACGATGTCTGTTATCGCGCAGCTTCCCAGGGACATGGGCGGCGCTGAGGGCAAGGTAGCCTATATTGATACAGAAGGCACTTTCCGACCAGAGCGCATTGGGCAAATTGCCGAGCGATTTGGTGTTGATCCCGACTCTGCCAAAGAGAACATCGCTTATGCCCGTGCTTTGAATAGCGAGCATCAGCTTGAGCTGCTTAACACTCTCAGTAAAGAGTTCGTTGGCGGGGAGTACAGACTGTTGATCATTGACAGCATAATGAACTGCTTCAGGGTTGATTTCTGTGGTCGTGGAGAGTTGGCTGATCGCCAACAGAAGCTGAATCAGTTTCTGATGAAGCTGGCTCATATGGCTGAAGGTGCGTCTGTTACTCATTGTCGAATCACGCGGCTAATCTGCTGAGAGCAGAGTTCAACGTGTGCGTCTTAATGGTAAGCATGCTATCTCTGCATCTAGAACAATGCTCACAATGTCAAGACGAACCAAGTCCAAAGTGACCCTGGCGCCAGTGCTCTCTTCGCTGGAGCAGATGGCCGCAAACCTGTTGGTGGGCATGTTCTCGCTCATGCTTCCACGACCCGTGTCCTGCTTCGAAAGGGTCGTGGTGAGGAACGTGTAGCTAAAATCCAGGACTCGCCAGGTGAGTTTATCTCCAATTCATATAATGGGTTGGCTAAATATATACTTTCAGACTGTCCTGAGCGCGAGGCGACATATGTTATCACTAACGGCGGCATCAACGATCCTGATAAGGTGTGAGCGACAGGGGATACAGTGTTATTAGAGTGAAGATCAAAACTTGCTGAAAATTTCTGTCTATTGTTAGAGTAGTAAAAAGTGTCTCAATGATGTTTGCCAAGTTACTAGCATTATGATCATAATGCAATTTATGCACAATCCGAACCAATCAATGCTTCATGCAGTAAAATTTCCGCCCGCTACCTGCACCTAATCTTCGAGGACAAATTCCGGCGGATTGTCATCAACAACCTCGACTTCAACATCAAAAAGAGACACTCGAAGGAGGCAAAAATGAAGAAAGAAATCGAGATAGCAGGCTACACAGCCCTGCCTCTAAACCTTCAAAGCACACCTGCCTTCTCAACACCAGCAACACACTACCTCTACCTCCGCCCGCATGAACCACGCATTTCCGACGCCGACACCCCCCGATCGCTTTTCCTCGTCAACACCCCCATCGACACAACAGACACACATATCCGCCACCTATTCGGTACGCAGCTTTCCGCCGGCCGCGTCGAGCGCGTTGACTTTGAGGTCACACGCACTGGGAAGAAGAATGGCGCCGCGCAGATGGCCCTTGTACAGGGCACAAATATCGCCAAGAGCAAGAAACGCAAGCGCGTGACGGCTGATGAGCTCGAGAATCGGTTGGAAGACGTTTCGCTTCCGCTGACATGGGACCGCCAGCTCCACCGGAGCGGATCGCATGCGGTTGTTGTTTTCGTGGATAAGGCTAGTATGGAGGCAAGCTTGAAGGCGGCGAAGAAGGCAGCGCGGAAGGTCTCTACTATTACCTGGGGTGAGGGCATTGAGGATCGGACGCCCGCGTCAGGCCTCCAGCGCTACATCTCTCACCAGCGAGCGTGTTACCCTCCACGTGCGGAGCTGCTGCGTACGGTGAACGAGTACATGAATGTCTTTGCGGAGGTCGCGGAGGCTCGAAAGAGAGAGGCCGCGCGGCGGGTGGCGGAGCCCGACGAGGATGGGTTCATTACTGTTACGAGCGGGCCAAGACTTACTTCTGCGGCTGGCGAGGAGGAGGCGAAACGGTTGATTGAGAAGCAGAAGAAGAGGGCAGAGGGATTCGGTGACTTCTACCGATTCCAGTCTAGGGAGAAGAGAAAGGAAAGGCAGATCGACTTGTTGAAGAAATTCGATGAGGATAAGAAGAAGCTGGAAGAATTGAAGATGCGGAAGGGGAAGATTCGAGTGAGTCCCCAATTTTTTCTCCCCTGATTACAATCAGCATACTGATTGCTCGTAGCCTGAATGATGGGTTTCGCTCGTTTGATGAATCTTTGTGGCTTAGCATGGCGTTTGGAGGATGCAAAAGTTTCTTCGCATCATTGTCGTCGTGGGGCTCATGGGCGGGTGTGAGATATGCTTGATCAGGATTCTCCAGTAGGTTTGCATGTCCCTTCTTGTGTCCGTCCATGACCTTCTCATGATGAATACGCTGGGGCCAGAGTAGCAAGACTCCTCTCGCGATGTCATGCACTGCCTTGAAACACCAGCATCATAACAATCTTCTCACCTTTCTGAAGAACTGTCCTTATGTATCTTGTTGATTCAGCATATCTAGTGACGTCTGCTGACTTATTACTACAGGCTTGTTATCAGCTGCGTTGGACTATAATTTGTTCCTTTTTGCGATGTATTATATTCTATGAAATAGATATACCCTGGCTCTACAATCCTCATAACCCGTTTAATCGACCATCTCAGCATAAGGAACTTATAGGAAACCAACTTCATCCCTTTGTCTAAGGTAAGGTCTCGATTGGCTGCTACGCACGGACCAGAGAAGCTCTTGGCATGACATCTTCGCTTGGATCCGTGTAAGGCTCAAAGAAAAGACTCGCTGACTACAGAAAGTGAATATCCATCAGTGAATGCACCTAGATCCCCGAGATCAAGTATATTCCTCTGCCTTCGTTCTGATTTCGGATATATATATATCAAGTGACCGCCTCAACGCCGAACTGGGCGTACAGTACAAGTTGACCCCGCCGCGGGGACTCGATAACCTGATTACATTGCAGTTGCGATCCCAATATACGAAGAATAGCACCATTTCTATCCCTCACTCTATCCCGGGAAAGCCAAGCCTCTACCTCAACAATGACAACAAACAGTGCAAGCCCCGGCGGCGGCGGATTCATGCAACCATCAGCTCTATCTCCAGCCCCTTCAACATCCACCGTCACGCCATCAGTCCTGCCGAAGCAGAGAACGCATCCGATCCGCTCGGGGTCTATTAAGGAGGCTACGGTGATCAACCATGTGGACAAAACGATATTGACGATAAATCGACGGCACGCGAAGAAGTTCAGCAGTGTTTTCGAACAGCAGCAGACACAACAAAATATTACGGCTTCGGCAGCTGTTGGAAATAAGGGCGGAACAAAGGAGGATAAAGAACGAGGATACGAGAGCTTCAAAGAAGTGGTAAAGGATATCGAGGGCGTTCTTGATGTGCTTTGGGTTAGCGGGACTCGTATGTTCCCTTTCCTTACCTCCCCCATGGATATTATGGAGCAATACTGACAGTCAATTTTCATGAAGCATCACTCCAAATTCCATACCTCATCTCCCTCTCCGTGCTCGTAAACACCTACCTTCCGGACTACCCCTTCACAGGAAAAGCGACCTTCCGACTGCTGCGCAAGCTAGACTCGTTCTTTGCGTCGCTGATATTAGGCGAAGACGCCGAGACAGGCCAGCCGCTTTCGGGTTTCGAAGGAAGGCGAAATGTCGTCTCTATGACGGAAAAGGTGAGGATCAAGAGTATTGCGGAGGCGGCCAGGGTGCTCGTCGTTGAGAAGGGGGATGATAGGGATCCTGATGCGGATGTGAACGATGATTTTGAGGATGAAAGTAACGACGAGATGGACATAGGCATGGATTTAGACTTGGAGGGAGATGGGCCTGATAAGTGGGAGATGGAAGCCGCAAGGGTGTATGAGAAGACGATTCAGCTGTTGGGTGACGAGTTGGGTACTGAAGTCGAGTTTTGTGACGAGGATATGGCGCGTGGAGATGAGGGGGAGAATGATATCTCGATGAGTTCGTGATGTACTTGTACCTGTGTACTTGAACATGAGTATACATACTCGCTTCTATACCCTGTATATTGGTAGTCGAGGCAGCAACCAACGACCACATGCAGATATCCCAATACACCAAGGTCTGTGCGGAAAAGTCTCGGCCATGCTATAACTCAATTGGCAGGTAGACTCATGGCTGGGGTCACGGTGCCACGGTTCAGGTGGGCTTTGTTTGTGCCGGGTGTCCCGAGTGGCCGTAGTACCTAGGTTGAGTCAATGAGTAGTATACTCTGTGAAGTGCAGCCACAAACCATGCGCTTATGAACTATGGATGAAATATTCGAACGCGCATGTCGTTGAAACTGAAAATTGGAAGAGAATTCTATCTCCTTAAGAAGGAGGTGTTGGCGTGCGCGGATGCGGATCGATGCAAGATCTGTGGTTCGTGATCCTTCGCTTTGGCCCAGGAGGAGATGAGGTATTTTGACATTGGCCACATATTCCGTATAGCAAATAATATCAGCTAAATGAGTGCCGAAAAGGGCATGTTGAGGTCAAGGCTCAAGCAAACTCTTGAGACGCGCATGATCCCCTGGGGTTGGAACAGGGGTAGCTGGACTAGTTTGGATAAGTTGCAAGGGTTCCTGTAAGGGACGGCTTGCAGGAGACTAGAGGGTAAGCTGAGCTCAGCTGAGAGCTCCTAGTAGTAACTCCGGTACGCTCGGTTTGACCCTTGACGCAGCTTGTAACTCGCAGCGTGCAACTAGAGCTGGTGATCCTCTCCAGATTGAGTGACACAGGTATAGGCTGGTCACTTGAGGCCGAGCTAGGTACGGCGTGCATATGAAGTTGCAGGTCGCTCAATTGCGTGGCCTTGAGGTTATATTTGAAGAAGCAAGGTGTACACAGGGGCCGGGACTCTTTTTCACAATCAGACGACGGGGCGAGTCCTTGCTCAGAATTGTCGGTTGAGCTCCAGTCTCACGTCGCGAACGCGTCCATGAGGTGCCCAAGCAATTAAACCCAAGCAGGACTAGCGCTGTGAGGCTGCCAGCTTCAAGCTTGTCGCTTGTGGCGGGCTTTGTGGCATTGTGCCCCGTTTCGTAAGGCGCTCTCAGACTCCAGCTCTCAGTCCCCGGCTCCTTCGGTGGGAACCTGGAGCTCGGACCTGCGTTGGTCTGGCGAGAACAAGGCAAGATTGGAGTGATCAAGACACGCGATCAAGGTTTGAGTGCTCTTACAGTAGATAACCTGAACTGATGTATCTCGTCACTCTCGGAGAGTCGGAGCACGCCTTGGAAGCCAGGAAGATACGTCAGGATTCAAGAATCAATCGCGCTTGATGGCCCAACCAATGATGTATGTCAGACGGCGTCCAAGGAGGCAAGCCATGGTTGCGCTTCTGATGGTGGAGCTCGGCCCATAACATCACCAGCCTCAGCTTCAGTAGTGTGTCAGGCAGCGTCTTTTGCTTTTGTGGTGACCTGAGTTCTCCAGGTATGGTAACAGGGTGTAAATACACTAGGCCGTCTGCAAGGATCTATGAGAGCAAGGAACTCACATCACCGCGTACATTGTGGACTTGCGAGTCGCTGGTCGCTACAATCAGTGAATGCCACTCTGCAATTTGCCATGGCCATCTTATGCTTGCAGCTTGACAACGGCTGAACCGATGATTGTATGACTATGTATCTATCTTCACCTCGGCTGTATGCACGCACAAGAAAGGGCACACACGACCAGCTCCACGAACCAAGGTTTTGGCGCTCACTGTGGGGGCGCTTTTCCCAGTGTTCAGCCTTCTTCAAGTTCTTTGAGGTTCTCTCGAGTGTTTTTTTTGCCGTTCGAACGTCGGCCCGTTTCAGCCGTCTTAGTTAAGCAACCTCTTGAGTCTCGAGTCTCAAGGGATCGTGTCATGGATCCAAGGAACGATGAGCGCTGGCGCAACTGCAAGCGGGCACCGATCTACGAATTACCTACCTGAGAGCGTCCACTGCCGTCCACTGCGTCCACTGTCCAGAGCCTGGCGGGGACGCCATGAGATAAGGCCCATGGCACACGGATGAGACTCGACGAGTCACAGTGCAAGATGGGTGTTCGAAAAAGTCCTCACTTCACCACCACAAAAGCGCATGTGCATGAAGCCCGATCCTTGCAGATTCTTTCTTGCATACCCATCCGGAGACTCGCTGTCTTGCAAGCCCGCCCCTTGGCTTGCTTGACTGCTTCGCGTCCTGCTTTCAAGTCAATGAGGATGGAGATATACGTCGGCAGCAGAAAGTGTATCGAGAATTCGATATCATGTCATGGGGGCTCACATAGTACTCTAGTAGTAGCGTCTCCGTAGTTAGTAGGGGTATCCGCACGCAGAGTTCAGATCCAGACTCTTGGGCCGATCTTAGCCAGGCACTGCACGATATATCAAGTGTTTCTCTCCCCCAGACGCAAGATATCATGAGGTTAGCGCGTGCAATCGAAATAAGATCATGTCAGGACGCAAACCCGCAGGTTGCGCCGGTCATCTGGTTTGCAATGGTTGGCTGCGCCCCATTGTGGTCGTACCCAAGCGGTATATACCATACCGTACATGTCCCAGTCGTTCTCGGCGAACAACGATAGCAAACACTGATAATTCTCCAAGGCTGATGCAGTCGAAAGCGAGTTCTCCGAATACGCCGTGTGCCAGCGCCAATTCGTAGAGCTAAGGAGCAGACAGCTTGAATCAAATAGAGGATGATGATGTAGGCTCTAAAAATCCGGCAGGAAAATTCTTCGTCCCACCAGCGTCGCCCCTCGTCTCCTCACAGGCAGGGCGCAGTGCTTTGTGCTTGTGCGTGTGTATAATAATTTTCGAGGAATTTGGGCTTGCTGCGATCTCGTTTGTCCGTCTTTTTTTTACCGATCCTCAGGCGCTTTTGCTGGAGTTCCCGTCTTTTTCTGGTCTGCCCTAGTCAGAGTCTCCAGTCTCCGGTCTCCAGTCTCCAGTCTATCGTTCTTCCCTTTCCTCGTTCGCTTCTTCTTTCTTTCCCTTTCTCTCCCCTCCATCTGAAGAATTATCTTCATCCTATTACCCCTCTTCCTCCTTCCTCCTCGCTTTTCCTCCTGTTTCTTGTTCTTGTCGGAAATCACGGAGTCGGTTTGCGGATCAGTTCTGTAACTCTGCTTTGTGTCTTTTTTCTGCCTTTTCTCTTCCTCTATTTTATATTTCTCCGCCTTCTGGGAGTTATCCTGCTATCTTACGCCCTGTTCTCACGCATACAAATTGTCGTGCCGCGCCTGAGCAACGCTAGTCATCTCGTCTCTTTTGATCATCCTGCGATAGTCATCTCTCGAGGTCATCCATTTGATATTATATTGTCTGGTGAGTTATTTTGATTTTTCGGCACCGGACTGGCCTGGTCTTCCCATTTCATACTTTTTTCATTGTTCCTCGCGGGAGGCTTTGTCGTCTCGCGGAAAGCCGATCCTTCACTCGATGCGCCCAACGCAATATGTTCGCTCCAGATGATTTGTTCGTTCACGGATGTGATAATGCAACTGGCCGACCTCTTTTTCGATGCCAGAACTCCTGTCGGAAGCATATCACTGTCAATATGTCATCAATCGTGATTTGGCAAGTTGCTTCGGCCCATGGTTCTATGGGCGAACCTCGAATTGCCACCATTTACCTGAAGTCGCAATCCAACCTAAAACCTACGTCCCAATTTCCAGTACCTGCGACTCGATCGCCGAGGCCGTATAATGTGATTCAATGGAAAACAACAACACCACCAGCTCGCAAGGCGATTGCAGTTGAAGTGGTGGATAGCGTTTGATGGATGCGGCGATCTGGTGACGACTTCTGCTCGCGCGACAGTACTGGGTCCTCGAACTGAAAAAAAAAAAAAACCGCCTTCACCTTGTTCATCACGGGCGCGTTTTCCGGCACTCCAACATATTGTCTACAATGCACCACCTGACTTAGGCTCGGAAGTGACGCGCGAGCGACCGGGCCCCCGCGCTGCTTTATTCACCCTCTGCTCAATCGGCGATCATCCTTTTTTACCTCTCAATATATCCCTCATCCAATTTCAGTTCATCCAGCGCCTTACTCATATCAGCTCTGAAACTCGCTCACAATTGAGACTGCTTTGCTAACTGCGGTCTCCGCTTCCTAGAAGTATAATACCTTCTCAATCCCTCAAGTGCTCAACGATCGTACGACACGCTCCTTGACGACCTCCACGAATTCCCCGGCTATTTACGCGTTAGAAAAGTTTTTCCCTGGGATTTCTGCTTCTAATTCATAAACCTGAAGGTATGCGCGGCTTCTTTGACCTTTTCCGAGGGCGCAAGCAACACATGTAATGTAGCTAACAATGATTCACCGCAGCCAGCACTATCAATATTTTTACCTGCTCAGAAATCTATCCAAAATGTCTTTCCAGAACTTCGATTCGTTCCAGAACCAGCACCCAGCGGCTGACGCAGCCGCTGCTGCTCCTGGTGCTCCAGCTACCGCTGACACTACCATGACCGGACAGGCAGACCCTTCAACTGCCCCATTCCAAGGTCCCGCTCCGGGCGAGGGTGCCCCTGCTGTTCCTCAGCAGGGCAACGAGGGCAAGACCACTCTCTGGTATGTCCAAGAAAGCAGGCGTATTGTGTTGGTGTGGTGATGTTCTGACCTTACAACACAGGATGGGCGAGCTTGAGCCTTGGATCGACGAGAACTTCGTCCGTAATCTCTGGTTTCAGATGGGTGAGCAGGTCAACGTGAAAATGATTCGCGACAAGTTCTCTGGGTGAGCACATTGCAATGTATCTGGTCATGATGAGCGACGATCCTAATGTTGGTAGTAGGAGCAATGCCGGTTACTGTTTCGTTGACTTCGCCACTCCCGCCGCTGCGGGCAAGGCTCTCTCCCTGAACGGCACCCCGATGCCGAACACCAACCGTCTGTTCAAGCTCAACTGGGCTACTGGTGGCGGCCTTGCTGATCGTAGTCGCGATGACCGTGGCCCCGAGTACTCTATCTTCGTTGGTGACTTGGGCCCCGAGGTCAACGAATACGTCCTTGTTTCCCTCTTCCAGAGTCGCTTCCCGTCCTGCAAGTCCGCGAAGATTATGACAGACCCCATCAGCGGCATGTCTCGTGGCTATGGATTTGTTCGCTTCTCTGACGAGAACGACCAACAGCGTGCGCTTAGCGAGATGCAAGGAGTTTACTGCGGTAACCGCCCAATGCGCATCTCCACAGCCACCCCTAAGAACAAGGGTCCCGGCGTCGTTCCTGGCGGCATGGGCATGCCTGGCCCCGCTGGCATGTACCCGCCTATGGGTGCTCCGCCAATGGGATTCTATGGCGCTCCCCAACCCATGAACCAGTTCACTGATCCCAACAACACGACTGTCTTCGTCGGTGGCCTCTCTGGATATGTCACCGAAGATGAGCTTCGTTCGTTCTTCCAAGGATTCGGAGAGATCACTTACGTCAAGATTCCTCCCGGAAAGGGATGTGGTTTCGTCCAATTCGTTCAGCGTCATGCTGCGGAGATGGCCATCAACCAGATGCAGGGTTATCCCATCGGAAACTCACGTGTGCGTTTGAGCTGGGGTCGCTCGCAGAACAACTCCGGTCCTGCTGGCAGCCCTTACCGGCCCGCTCCCCCTCCCCCTCCCATGTATCTCCCCCCTCAACATCAATACGGCGGTTTCGCACCCATGAAGGTCAGTCTTTCTTGATCTCCAGGCCCCACACACCCATCTCAAGTACGTGCTAACCGAATCATTACAGTAAAAATTTAGCGTCTATTCGGGTGAGATGGAGCAACAGGAGCTCGCTCCGCTTTCAAATGGGTCTTTCATTTATACAGGTTCAGCTTTGGGACAGTTTCCACTATGCTATGGTTCTTGATGGACCCGATCTCCTGTTTTTATGTGCGTCATGTGTGCAGCGCTTCCATCTTTATCAATACCTGAGTCTTTATTGCACTTCTCCAACTTTTCGAGCTTTCTTACCCATCTTGCCCGCGAACTCAGAATCATAATTCTGTCTTTCACCATTTCTTTCTAGCCTCGCTTTTTCCATCCAAATTTTCTTTCCATGTTCTCTGCTGCTACATTCAAATCTTAGCTCATTTCTCGTATGTCGCCAATTCGATGCGCGTCATTTTGTGTACCTCATGGGAAGGCAATTTGCAAAAAAGTTTGCTCTGCGGGTGTCCGGAAGGTAATAATTGAATTCTTTCGCGTTTTCGTGATGCTGAATGATGATTTCTGTTCCTAGACTGCCTGTACAACATTATTCTGTTGGCGTCGTCTACTCAGTTCATTACCTACTTCTCCGTTACGGCGTTGCTTCAAAATTCGTCTACGATCTGCCTGTTTTCACTACTGCGTCTGGATCACCTTCAATGTTCTCGCCAGTCTTCATTCGCCTGTAATCGCTGGGCCTGATGGCATTACTGTCTGCCACTCCTTGTTTTTGGGGTACCGGTTGAAGGCTTCTGTGCTGATCTGCTTCAAGGGTCGATTTGCTGTTGGACGTGCAGCGAGCAATTGCTGGCAGAGTGCCGCCCGTTCGAGCCACTTGTTCTCCCCTGTTCTTTTAGGACTTTTCATTACATCTCCGGATGTTGGCTACCGTCTTAGTGTTTGTGTCTTACGGATGATTCCCCTGTTCGATATGCTGAGCGATCCCTTCGTTGTTTAGCGCCGGCGCTTGATTTATGTTTGAGATTGCGAGGTCAACATAAGCGTCACGCATCGCGTCTCGGGCGTTCAGATCTTCAGCGAGGACCAGATTTTTCTTTCTGTCTCCCAGTCGGGGTCAACTTCTCTCAATAGATAGGGTTCTCCGTCATCATGTCACAATATATTCCGAGATTGCTATGCGTATACTTATCCATTGACTGTGTTGGACACAGTACCTAATAAACAGGAAGGCGCCTCTAACCTGTGCTTTAGGCCCGGTTATGGCAGGAGCCTCCCTTGAGGCATCTGCATCAACCGGCCACTCTACTCTGCCACCTCCACCAACTGCTCCCTTCAAATCATCCATCCTTCTTGATCCTACCTACTTGCTGATGTGGCCGTGTTGTTACCCCTGATATTTTCTACTTTGGTTCGAGTCCCGGCTCCAGATTCTTCGTTTCTCATTTTATTACGAACAAACCAGCAGCAGCGTTACGCCACTCGGTCAGGATGCGGTACGAGAACTGGGACGTGCTTTTATTCCCAGCGAAGTCCAAGGTTCCTATACAGGAATTCAAAACGCAATGTTTTGTGACCCGTGATCGAGGTACGTACCTTCAACACCTTCAGCGATTTCAGCTATATTGACAATGCACCATTCGTTCTAGATTCTCCTTACTTACACAATCCTGCCTTCTTTGGCTCGGCTGCCTATTATCAACCGCAAGGCAACTTGGGCCACTTGCCTGTTCTCACTACTTTCATTCCAAGTCTTCCTGAAGACAGTCCTTTCCGAGTGTCCATCCACAGCTGGGAGCAACCACATGTGAGCCGTTTGATGGAAAGTTTGCTGCAGCCGGATGATGCCTCGCTGTTTGAGGTTAGAGTCTTTGTGGACGGGTTGTGCGTAGCGTAAGTCAACCCCAACGCCAACGGTGTGACTGTTATGGCTAATAAGCCGGTGTTACCGTCCAGAGGAAGCGTCTTTTCTCCGCGAATCAACTGGCCGCATGTCATTGGTAAGTTACTCGCAATCGGACGAGATATATAGCGAACGGAGACTAACGTTATAAATCAGATCTGAGTTCCCGTGAGCCCTTCTCCATCCGATCTGCGTGCCCAGCTGGAAACTATACCTGACATCTATGACCTCTATAGACGTAGACAAAAATGGCAACCAAGACACCCTACGTTTTCCCCCGTTCCACCAGGAAATACTCGAGCAGAGACACTGGGATGCCGGAGACCTCCATGGTAGAATCAGGGTAGTGATCGCAGAAGGGTTCGCGCGCCCACACCGCAACCCTCCCTTTGAGCGAGTCAAGGAAATCATTGCTTTCGCGTTTCAGCACGCGCCTCTCAGTAAGTCAATATGATGACCCCCGCAATATGAGCTTACCGGCTTACGTTGGCTAGATGTCTTGGAGTACTCTAGTATCGCCTGGCCAAACACTTCTATGTGGAGCAAGGAACCGCGTCTTTTCAAGTATAACGCAGGAAGTGGGGTGAACGATCTCAAAGAGGCGGAAGAGACCCATGCTCATTCCCCAGCTGCTCGGCCAGATGAAATTCGCCCTCCCGCACCTGTCACCGGACAAATCGGTAATCCATCCGCTTTAACTCTCTGGAGGAACAGGAACTACCAGGGCCCCGTGCCGCAATGGCAAGGGAACTACAGAGATCCTCGCTGGGCTGCTCCGGAGACTGTCTTTTCCGATCCTTTTATTGACCCATACGTTCTCGATCCAGCTGCACGCCATCGCGGCGCTAGACATTCTTGGGAGGACATATCTATGCCGGACTATGTCTCCAGTTCCAGTAGCAGTCGAGCCATTTCGAGCATGACGGGAATTAGCTACGAGCATAGCAAACATCCCAGTCTTGTCGCTCCAATCGGTGAAGAAGCGTACAGCCAGTTGATTCAAGCTCTCAGCCCTACGAAGCAGGTTGCGTCCAGTACCCAGGCCCCAACAACTACCTCCACCGCTGCTGCTGTACCTATGGGAGCCAAGCTCTCAGCAGCAGCAGAAGCACGCTCTGCGTCCTATCGCAAGGGCGGAAATAACCGCGCCTCCACCAGCATCCTAGAGGACATCTCCTGTTCTAGCTCTCGCGACGCTTCCGGATCCAGTGCCAAATCGAACACCGCTCTACCTGAAATTGCTGCTGAACGAGGAGTAGCAACCAAGCTTCACGCCAGCCCCAGTGGACCTGTCAAGAGTAGAAAGGAAGGTATCTCAGTGGAGAACAAGGAGAACGAAGCGGAGAAGACGCGTAGAGAGAGTGATAAAGCACGCCAAACGCCTTCTAAACTGAACGTGCGAACTATCGGTGGCATTGAAACGCCAACTGATGGCAGAAAGAGACGCTCGCTCAGTTCCAGTCGAGATGACGGTCTCCTCATTAACAGAAAAGAGCCGGTGCTTGTCTCTCCTAGTCAGGATCTCACCAGGGTAAAGGACAAACAAGACCGGTTTGACAGTTTTCTTGATCCTCGGCCAACGCTTGTGACGGCGGATGTTGGTGAGATTGAGTAAGAAAACCAACGTGATACCTATTTTTACGATCATCGATTTGGCCTTCATGACCATGTTGCCCACCATTTTCATTGCCGCGATACTACAAGTCCACGAGATGGGTTCACTGTTGCAAGTTTGCGGAAATCAGGGACGCCAGCTTTGCACTGTTGTATTATTTTTTCTACTGAGCCATACAAATCATCCATTACTACATACCTCGAGAGTCTCGTCCTAAAAATAATTGCCCTCACTTGCGCTGAGTAGAAGCGTTTGCAGCATCTTGCCTAGTTAGGAAGGCGCAGGGTTGCCAACGACAACGGGAGCAACACATCCATCTTGCTCTCCCCTCTCGCCCTCTATCACGTCTCACCTTTCAAGTTCTTGTCCAGCAATACTGCCGTCAGTTCTATCTTACGCCTTTTTGAACCCGCCATATTTCCTTAGAAACGCTTCCGAAATCATGGCCAGCAGGCAGGCAGAACAACCAGCATTCGGCATGATCTCTTATCCTTCTTCTTCTTCATTCTACCGCCCGAGACCAAGCTCGACGGGGTTCCTAGATTGGTCAGATTATCCTTCGCCATATCAATCTATGACCCCATGGATGAGTTACAGTAACCCGTCTTATACGTATCCCACGTCGGCTACGCTTGTGCCTGCTACTATCTGTCCTTCTAGTATGTCTGGCTATAGAGAAGCTCGCGACTTGCACGCCTCGGCTACGGTTTTGCCCACTACATCCCGTCCATCTCTGGGTACTCCTAATCCTGCATTCAGCTCCAACCGCCATGCTGGACCTCCGCAAACGGAGACACAGGTCAAGGTGGAGGAACAAACTCCGGGCGAGCCAGATGATTTTATTAGTGCTCTATCACATCCCCAGTTCGCAAATCAGGTGGGACTGGCGAATGTGGTAGTCAGTGATCAAAACCAGGAGGTTGACGATTATCTGAAGGCGCTGTCACACCCTGAGTCCGCGGATCAAGCGGGCAGAGCGAACGGTGATAGAACTCAGGTATGCACATCTACAACGGTGATTCCAATTGGGGCCCTGGAAATGTCGTTGTTGTTGACATTCCCAGTAGTTTACTAGAGCCATTGCTTCTCGTACAGAACTCGTTACTCTTAGAAAGCTGAATGTCGATTCAACCAGCGAGTCAAAGATACTATACTATTTTGGTGTGTTAGCTACGGCTGAGCTCCTCCTCCCCAGATTTCACTTCACGAAAGGTCGAAAGGATAGATACTGGGGCGTGAAGATGACGATGTATGGAATGACATTTGTTCGTTCTCATGTCTACGAGTCTCGGAGGTCTGCAAAGGTCTCCATATGCAGGGAGGCTCTAAAGAAGCTGAAAGTTGAGTTTCCAAACTGGGTCGTTCCCGAACGACCTAGGGATTTGCTTGCACCGTCTGGCTGGGACTGGGTGGAAATTCTGCAAGGTGAGAAAGCAAGTCCGTACACCTACCAGTTCGCTAATCATCGCTGAAAGAGTACTGCGTTCATCAAAGCCTTCCCGCGCCAATCTATACCAAGTATGTTCATCATAGAGGGTACCGCCACGAGGTTGAGGTAGATGGCGGTGCGTACTTTGGACCTCTCAGGTACTACGCGGCGGAGCTACAGTCGAAACAAGGCGCAGCGCACGTGGCTCTCTACGAAGTCCTCGTGAGGCAAGATTACAAAAGAGTCGAGACCGAGGGAGCTCCGAGCTTGAAAAGGCCCAACGAGCCTCTATTGGCAGTTGTTCCTCGGGACACCTATCGTAAGTCTGCACATGGAATGGTGTCTGAAGTCCTCGCGGATCTGAAGAGGCCTCGCGATACGCTGTCGGATGTGTCCACTCAAGACTCTCTTCATACATCTAGCGGCTCGCGTGCTCCAGCTAGAAGGAGGCTGGATAACTACACAGACTCAAGAAAAACGAGAAGACGCGGCGGCAGAAACCGGTCGCCAGCAACTACATCGCAACAAAAGCCAGTCTCGGGAAACGCTAATCTGCAGCCATTGAAGAACTGCAGGTTAGCGGCGGTGGAGGCTACGGTGGTCAAAGAAGAGCGGCGCTGGAAGCTCACGCCTTCTGAGATATCCCGCGAACTTCATGGCATGGAGACTTGGGATGTTAAACTAGAAAGTAACGTCAATCTCTTGCTCTCTAGCTACGTCCTTTGACATCAGGCTAACGCAGATTGTATGACTCTTCCCTCTATGGGAAGAGTCGTGAGCTCGATGCTTGAAGAAATCTGCAGTCTGCTCACTTTGGAGCGCCCTGAAATGCGCATTGAGAGGACAGACGGCCGGCTAATTGAAACCGATGGTCAATACACTGCGGCCGCTTACTTCAACTCTGATCCGTTCCTGGCTAGGGCTGGGGCCATTGGGAAGATCCAAACTTTCAGCGGCAACAGAGCTGCAGCTTCGTGCGCCTGCGCTCAGCGTGTTTGCGAGTATTTGATTGATCTTGTGAAGGAGGACATGATGCTGGAGGATAATGCAGCCAAGGAGCGCGAAGCAATCAGTCGATGGGGAGAAACTGCTGGAAAGTGACTTGAGAATGATGTTTGAGCGCATGAGAAGCGCATGAAGGATGGAGCTGGTTATGGCGATGCTTGGCCTCTTGTCGGAGTATTCGTTTAGGGCTTGCTGATCCGAGAATATCACGATGCTAAATTCCAAGGACAGGATAAAGTACATTCAATATGTCTCAATCCATCTTCCTGGAAAGGTATACATAGCGCTTAACCCAGATATAAACCTCCAACTGTGTCTTTCTCGTTCCGTCCGGGGTCAAGTCTTACTACTTGGCGTCAACCGGTCCGGCTGACTGTCGCGTGTCCATCCGAAAAAAATGTCAATGACCAACTCTGCAAAACATAAGATGTAATCAAACCTACCGACGTCCATCCGCCCTCTCGTCATATTTGGTCCAAACCGACGATACTCAGACTCGTACGAGCAAACCTAACATCTAAGGTTGCACCGGATTCGACCGACAAAGGCAACGTCTACCATTTCGCGTTTACGCACGAGCGTGATACGGAGGAGGTATGAGATCAGAATGTCGATAGGTGAACAGCAAGATATGAAATTAATTTTTGCCTGATCCATTGAATCGTTCCTAACGCAGTCAAAGCCGATAAAAATAGATAAGAATAGGTATTGACGCAAGCCCAAGCCAAAGATAACGCCACCAAGATAACAGATCAGAGAGCAATGATAGAGATCCAACCAGGAGAAAACCAGGGGGGCGGGAGGAGGGAAAGAGAAGGATGGAAAGAGAATTCTAGCCAAGCGAGAAACGTGGGTAGATGCTCTTCTTGAGCATGGGTGACGCTAAAGTATCAGACGTCGAGGGTCATTTGAAACTTCGAGATTAACCCAGTGTTGAGAGACAAAGTGATAGTAGTAATATAGCAATGAAAAAGAAAGAAAAGAAGCTTTATAGAGCCGGTGAAAGCTCAAAAAGAGCAGCTTGATCACAAGTGGAAGCGCAACCGCTCTGGCCAAAAGTAACACTCCGCAGAGCGCACGCAAAGGGAAGATATGCAAAGAACAAGATTACACCAACGCCAGTCTCACGGGCACATATCCATATCCAAGATCGTGTCGGCACAGAAAATCAGGATTAAAAAAGGAGATGGAAAGGAAGCGAGGAGAGGTAATAGCCAACTAGACACGAGGTCGATGAATATACAAACAGAACATGGGTATATGGTAGCTTGGATTAAAAACCGCTGATTTCGTTTAGAGACCATTTTCGGTACCAGTCTCTACACCGTCGGGATACGTTATGCTTGGGTCGAACCCGAATCCTGCTGTGTCTGTGTCGGTGTTGAGGAATGTATCGAAATCGAAATTCTCAAGAATGTCCGGGTTCTCCAGTGCGCTGAAATCTAGACTAAAAGCGGAGGCCTAGGTTTGATGTTAGCATATTGTGGACATACAATTTCAACAAAGTGACTTACATCCGGCATGGCGAGATCGTTGAACGATTGCTGAGTTTGATCAGGAGGTGGAGGCTGGACAAGGGTTTGCTGAGCGGGTGCGGATGTCGGCTGTGGTGGAGCGGTTGCAGTGGCGTTAGCACCAGACTTATTGAATGATTGATGGTGTTGGGGAGTGATCGGCGTCGCTGGCGTAGGAGTCGGCGGTTGCTCCGCCTCTGAGGATGGAGTAGCAGTTGTGTTGTTAGCTGCTGCTGCTGCGGCTGCTGCTGCGGTCTTCTTGTTTGGTCGCTACGAACAGTAAGTAATGGCAACCAAGACTCGCTGAGGCGAGTATTTGAAAAACAAACCTTGGCTCGGTCTTTCGTTTCTTTCTTCTTCGGCGCTGCCTTAGTGGGGGGTTGCGGAGTCGGGGGAGCAGCATTCCCAGCTTGGGGAGATGGAGGAGGCTGGCGACCAGCGTTGGCAGTAGGAGGTTGGGGAGGCGGCATCGAATTCACACTCTGAGGCGTTCCGGTAGTTGGGGGCTGAATGATAGGAGACTGTTGCGACACCATGGCTTGACCACCTGGCTGAGGTTGCCAGCCTCCATTCGACATCCGGTTCGCCGAGCCAGCCGGGATTGGTTGACCCATTGAAGGACCAGTGAACGTCGGGTTGGAGCTGGGGGGCCGCATGCCGTTGGGGCCCTGGATTCCATCCTGCATGTTCTTTATGTAGAACTGGCCTGCCATTTCAGGAGGTAATTGGCCGGTGAAATTCATCGAAGCCGGAGATCCACGGCCTTGCATCATCGCATCCGGGGCGTTCGGTGAATTGGGAAGACCGGACTGAGCGATCTTGGGGGTGTTGCGCTTCATTTGATCGTTGGGAATCGGTGACGCTCCTGCCCTACTGCCCTGGGGAGAAGTGCCCGGTGGCATCTGGCCCGGTTGCTGTTGGCCCTGCTGCCCAGGCAATGGCTGACCATCGGGGCCACGAGACATGCTGTCCTGCTCTTGACGAGCCATCATGAGTCGGCGTTTATTCTGCTGCTCGAGGAGCATGAGTTGCATTTGATAGTCCTGGAGAGCATGGTTACCATGCTGACCACCAGGAGTTTGGACCCCAGGCCTAACCTGCGCCATTTGGCCATTCGCGCCATAGAAGTCGCCGCCATTCATCTGATACATACCCGGGCCATCTGGCATGGGGACCAGATCAGCCTGATTCGGCATCACGCCGGTGTTCATTAAACCATTAGGCACGCCCTGATTATTCATTGCTGAGCGAGAGTGATGTAGAGCCAAGTTTTGAGCATATACCTGGATTGGTTTTGGCTGTGCAGCCGGACCCGATTGCTGAAAAGCACCAAACTGATTCGGATTCATCACACGTGGTGTGAGCCCATTCTGCATCATCATTGGGTTCTGTTGGCCGGGCATCGCCTGTCCCTGGCCGCGTCCGTTGGGCGCCAGTTGTTGCCCATTGATGGGATTACCTTCGAGGCGGGGTCGTTTCGAGGGAGACGGCGCATTCTCGGCGGACGATGGAGACGGCGGTCGGTGGCCATTCATATCGATATCAGAATGTTCCCGTTGCATTTGCATCATCGCGGCCTGTTGGTTCTTTTGTTGTAATTGCGCAGCGAATTGCTGCTGCGAGCTATAAAATAGATCAGCGTCCGATTACCAGCCATTGCTGGGATAAAAATGGTAAAAATGATCGCAAACAAAACAGGGAACGGCACATACAAGCCACCAGTATTGTTCTGCAGAACGGCTTTCTGTAGATTGTTCGGAACGATCCCATTGCCACGCATATTATTGAGCCGCCCCATTTGACCCGGCATCATTTGTTGTGGGTTACGATACATGTTGTTCTGTTGCTGCTCTCTAAGGCGCATAATATTCTGCAACGCGGTAAAGTTAGACGCTTGGGAAAGGGGAAGTTGAAAAGAAGAACCACGTTCATACCTGATTGTGTTGAAGATATTGCCTCACATCGGGGCTGTTTCCCTTCTTTCGCTGGGACCAAAAGAATTCCCAGAACAAACTGAACCAATCCAAGAGGAATGAGGAGGACTGGCTTTCGCCACTGAGATTGGGGCGAGGCAGGTCCTCGGGAATCTTCAGCTTGTCACCATCTTTGCCGTCCGTCATCATCCCGTCTCCATCAACGCCATTGACGTCCCCCTCCCGGCGCTGACCAGGACTCGTCTTGATAGGGGGCTCGGTGTTGAGCTTGATAGACTCGTCTTTCACAAGAGCTCGCGCACAGTCGTGATAACCGCGTTTCAAGAAATAGTCGTAAATATAAGTATTGAGATTGATGATCATGACTTCGGGAGAATTATGTGTACTGCCATCGTTACGGGGTAACATCGAACCATTATTGACCATGGGGACGCCTCCAACCGGACCGCCGACACCGGGATTCATCCCAGCAACATTCATCTGGTTCATGATGGCGTTTCAGTGACTGTCACCTTCTCCTATTGGGATTGTCCTCGGCAGGAGCGACGAGTCAGATGGATGATAGGCACATCCACGAGCTTGAAGCAAGACAGCCTAAGGAAAGGCAGAGCTGGCGTGGAGGTAGGAATACGAGAGGGCGAGGATAAGTAATTATTATAGGAAGGCGAAAGATAAGAGTACGGCGCTGGTATAAGGGCGTTTGCACGCTCAGGAGCAAATGCAGATGACACCGAAAGAAACTTTCTCCCCTGGGACGGTATGGAAGATTTGCGAATTCGCCTGACGAAAGGCGCGAAGAGAAAGTCGGATGTATAGGAAAGATCTGCTATAACATTGGTCAGAGGACCTCAGCAGTAGAGATCAACCGCGCGAGATAGCTGGACGATGCAGCGAGCGATTAGCGACACGAGAGAAGCAGCGAAGAAAGATCGACGTTTATTGTGCAAGAAAGTCCGAAGAGCAGGCGCGTGGATAGTACGTGGACGGAATAGATAGGAGTGAATGCTTCGACAAGAAAAGGGAGTTGCTGGTCAGAGCGCTCCGAATGAATACGGAAAGCGAACTGATGGAGTGATCTGGCGGAGATCAGGCCAGCGAGAGAGAAGAGGGGGCGGTGGGTGGAGGGAGGTAGGCGACCGTCAAGATCAGGTGTAGAGTTAGATCTCAATAAAGGAGCCGTGGTAAGATGAATAGAGAGGTAAATGGAGGGGTTGTAAAGAGAGGAGAAGGAAATCGAGGACGAGGATATCAGGCGCCGTGCCTGGAGAAGAGTGGTAGATAGGTCAAGGTCAAGTTCTCAGACCGGCAGCCAGGACTTGGGGACTTGGGCGCTGCTTGATTCCCTCTCTTTCTGCTGGGCGGAAATCGCTTGTTCGGGCCGGATTAACCTGCTCGGAACAAGGCGGGAGGGCTGGGAGATGCCGCTGCCAAGCGTAGATCTCAGTATGCAGCCAGAGGCGGCGAAAGTGATACAACCACAGAAAAAAGAACGAAAAGAGAAAAAAAAGATGTGGAGGCAACTAAAGTGTTAACTGCTTACCTGCGACCAATGGACACAGTTGGGCTGCGATACAGAAAGTAGAATCGCAGAACGTAGAAATCGGATTCGGTGGTTGGGAGAAGGGTGGTCAGGTAAGGCTGACTCCGTCTCTGTCGCCGCAGACCTGCTTTACTGACAGTGTATCTGATTTCTTCCCACGGAACAATTGTAGGATCAAAATGCCTATGTATGCAGGGTATAAAGAGGGAAGAGATCTTAGGAATGGACAGTGGTCTATCAAGCCGTGTCAGAAAAAGATAAAAGAAACGGCTCCGAATTGATGGACTGATCCAGGGTTGATGCATCACTTGTTACACTCAGGGTCCCAGTCAGTAGTAGTGCGTAATTTCCAGCACAGATAGTCCATTTCAGGATTAGCGTGTCACGTGGGTCTCCTGGAACGTCTCAACTCTTCATTCCGGGAATTTGTATCTAGATCTTGTGCAGAGTGTCTACGACTCTGTAAAACACCCACTGATGGGTACTCTGTATTAACTACAAATTTTGGCGGGCATCTGCGAGCCTCGTGTTGGCATGCAGATTGGCTCAATGTCATTGTCAGTAGCATACCCCGGAGTGGACGTCGGACGGGGTTGATCACTAAGCGCCCCAAACCCAATGAGTAAGTTGACTAATTAGGTTAGGTTATAAAATAGAGGTGATCATCTACTTTAGGTCGGCCTGCTGTGACGGGTTCCATGTACGTTCCGTAACTGTAAGTTTATATGACTGATTTTGGATAAGATCTGATTTCATAATTGTCTTGTTCTGACTGGACCGCGAGAACTGTCCTTCAAAAGCCATGAATATGGGATCACATCAGGGGTTCTGTAAAAATTATTACTTTTTTGCTATACCGTATGCTATGCATCAACCTTAGATTGTCGTGCTCTTGCCCTAACCAAATGGAACAGCAGATGTCTTTTTGCGCTTTTCCATCACTGATTGGATAATCTTCTATCTATAAGACCTATCAAGAGTTGAATTTGATGTATAACTGGATTCTTTCCCCGCGAGATATATAGCATCATTACAGCTTGGTCACGACGCTCATAGTTTGAGCTGTTTAACCGGTAGGACAATGAGCGAAGTCAAATCAAGTTACTTTCAGGTTCATTGTTGATTCTGTCAACCGTGCTCCATTCGATCCGAGACAATTTCCAGCGTCATAAGTAAGATCAACATCGCAAATTCCAAACACCAGACGCCGTAAGCTACCCACAATACACGTTGCTATCACTCCTCCTCTGGCGGCATCTCGTCCTCGATGTACCTCACCAGTGACACCCTCATCTCTGTTGTATCATCCCCACGTAGAATATCGCTAACGAAGTGCGCTTCAATCTGCATTTGCACCTTGATGGTAGAGAAACTCAATTAGTGCGAGATGTCAAGCGGGAATTAGATTATACAAATTCACCATTTCTAGCGCGCCTCGTAGGACGCCACACAGTATATTTGAGAACCATAGTTCGTCTTGCGCTCGCCCGTCATCTGGCAACTCGACAAAATCCGCGAGTGGGTTCTCATCGAAGATCAGAGAAAACTGGTTGTTGTCGCTGGTCCAATTTGTCACCGTAGGTGTGATGTTCAGAAATATCTTGAATCCAACCTGGTCTGTATCAGCATCACAGGAAGAGTCTCAACCGAGCCTGGTAGATCATTCAAGTGCATATCGTACTTTCGAAATCATGTCCGCGGTTTCGCGGAAGTTGGCACATCGGCCAGCGTTCGACTTTGCCAGAAAGTCCTCAATGAGACGCATCCCAATGTTATAGCCCATTTTCTCTAGCTGTTTGTTCACTTCTTGGTAGTTTCCGTCATAGTCCTGGCATAGTTGCGCTACAATCGTCCCGTAAGTCAACGTCACCAACTCCGCATTCACTTTATCGATCTTGTTTCTGCGAGAAACAAGTGTTGTTAGTTTATTCGTTCGCGAGAGACCCCCGTTGCCTGTGGGAATGAGATAGTAGGCGGCGGCTTTCAGCTTACTGACTTCCAGAGTCTATCGAATGGACGTCATGTTAGCAAGATGCTCATGTTAACGCCAGAAGATGAACCGCTTACTCTTCTCCAATTCTTGCCACTTTGGTGGAGGATGACATGCTTATGGCTTCTAGTTCCAAGCTTCCACAGACGAGACTCAGCGAGACGCGAAATTCAGTATTACTCAGTGTTCAATCAACGATGCAAATCCCCGCTCAAGCTGGGGTGGATGCGGAGCTTTGAGCGCTTAGATCCCTGGCTAGCGTCTGCCGCGGCTAGCGTAGGTAACCTACTACCTAGACACCGCCTGACTCCCGAGGAGCCGCGTTTTTCTTGATCGCGCTATCCGGGGATAACGACCTTCGTCTCAAAGCTTCGGACACTTCGCAGCTCATTCGGCTTTTATCTATTGAAATTCTCTGCGCACTTCTTAAAAAATGTCCGGTGAGAAGCGACCGGCGCAAGCGGCCTTCGGCTCCTCCAGCCAATTGGTTGTGAAGCGAAAGAAGTCAGATGCTGCACTCAATGATAGCACAGCCGTTGTAAAGAGCTCAACGCAGAATGGAAGTCTCGTACAAGCAGTATGTATGACTTATCAATATTGATGCGCATGGTGATTGATCTTCATTGCAGGTTCCCCGCACCAGTGGCCTTGATGCGCCGATCATGGAGCTCACAGGTGAGTCCGAATGCGGATACATGGTGTAAACGGTGCTAACTTCAAGAAATCAGGTCACTCTGGCGAAATTTTTGCCGCTCGATTCGATCCGACGGCGCTATACATTGCATCAGGTTCCATGGATCGATCTATATGTACGTCAGGAGGCCAGGGCACAACTCAAAACTATAGCTAATATGGATTGTCAAAGTACTCTGGAATACTTATGGAAAATGCGAAAATTATGGCATCTTATCTGGTCACAAAGGCGCGGTTCTTGACCTGCAATGGTCGCGAGACTCCAAAACGATATTCTCCGCATCGGCCGATATGACGCTTGCAAGCTGGGATATAGAATCTGGCCAGAGGATTCGGCGATACATGGGTCATGAAGAGGTCATAAACTGTCTCGAAACCAGCAAGAGGGGCCAAGAAATGCTGGTCAGCGCTAGCGACGATGGTACGATAGGGATCTGGGACCCGAGGCAAAAAGAGGCAATTGAATATTTGGAGACGGAACTACCTATTACCGCGGTGGCACAGTCTGAAGCTGGAAATGAGATATTTAGCGGAGGCATTGACAACACAATTCATGTTTGGGACATTCGAAAGAAAGCCATAGTTTATTCCATGGCCGGACACATGGAAACTATTACCTCTCTCGAGATTTCACCGGACTCGCAGACTCTTCTGTCCAACTCCCTCGACTCAACGGTACGCACTTGGGATATCCGACCTTTCGCGCCAACCAACCGCCATATTAGGACATATGACGGCGCCCCGGCCGGTCTAGAAAAGAATCTTATCCGGGCGACCTGGAATCCGGCGGGTGACAAGATCGCAGCGGGAAGCGGTGATCGAAGTGTTGTGGTTTGGGACTTCAAGACCGGAAAGCTTCTATACAAGCTTCCCGGACACAAGGGCACTGTAAACGATGTGCGATTCACGCCAAATAATGAGCCTATCAGTAAGTTCACCCATGCAAAGCCCTGAGCACTCACGCTAATTCCTATTATCAGTTGTTTCCGCATCGTCCGACAGGAACTTGATGTTAGGTGAATTGGGCAAATGAAGATGACGCCCTATGGGAGCGATCTTGCCCATATTATCGCAATAAGAGCTCAGCCCCACGGACAATACCTAATTACCAGATAAAAACAACACGGCTTATAGCGTCTAAGCGCTGTTGTGATGATAAAGGCACTGCGACACCCCACCCAACTGCTGGTCCGATGCCTTGCCTCTGATCGTCCCGAAGGGAATGTGTATAGATGGATAAACCCCGCATAGAAAGGGTACGTCCTACAGTTGAGCACCTTTCTAGCTACGCTGCTTCGAGTAGGGGCCGGCTTTTTCGTTGGTCCAGGACTTTAGGCCCAGCTCATCTTGATTCTCCAGATGTTTTAATACCCGAACTATGGACTACGCATTTCTCATGTACATTTACCAAGTACATGCGCAGCTTTGATTCTGGTACTGCTTTTCAATGGATAGAATATCGACGTCTCTATACTATACTCAATGCGCTGAAACTAATAACCGTCGTCATTTGGGTTGGCTACGGCCAATATAGGTGATGCTTTAGACTCAAAACTCAAAGGTCATGTCCAGAGAATTTGACTTCTCTCGTTCTAACAATCCGCTGTCCGTCTGGCTGGATCGGAGTGGTTGACTAAAAATCGGTGGTGGATTTAGAAGGCCGGTTTCTTGATGTGACGCACGCATCTTCGTTTCCAATTCCTCTTCCTGGTATACTCCGTGGACACGAATGTCATGCATTTGATACGTAGGGCAGTCGGACGCACCTTCTCCGAATACATTATTTGGGGCGACTCAACCCTCCACCTCTGCCCTTAAATAGCCCGGTCTGCGTCGATCTATAATGCGTGCTAAGTCACTTCGAGATGCGCCCTTGGTTGACTCGTTCCAATCCATTCATTTCCATTTTCATCAATGCCATTGCAAAGCATTTTCACTCGTTCACCTTCTCTTCCTTCTGCTTCAGCTGGAGCCTGCGGCCCGCCTAGTCTAGGCGCGCGCAGTGTATGGCAAAGGCCACGGAGGACACCCGATGCGCGGTCCTGTTTGTCGATGATGAAAGACCCGACCATTCATTGGAAACTATTCAACTTAGTCCTCTCCACAGTTCTCCTCCTCATCAATCTCGCCATTTGTAGGTCGTTACTTCTACTCCTACCCTACTGGTTATGCTAACATGTTCAGATATCGCTTTCGTGGTTATCCGCGCGATCCAAGGCCCCTGGCTTTATATCGTGCTGACCTTCATACTTTTGACTATTGGTGTCATATGGTGCCACGCTCTATGCCGTTTCGTTGTAGCAGTCTATCAATTTCCGAATTATACTGCCAATTTCACCCTACCGATCGAGATGACGGAGACTGCTGGCTACGCCCAACCGAATCAGCCTATCCACATCACTATGACCGGTGACGAGGAACGCTCCATTGAGAGTCATGCTCATAATGTTCCGTGCAAAGTTACAGTCCCGCCGCCGGCGTACGGCGTATGGAGAAATAGTGTGGTAAGCAGCGACACTCTTCCTGGACTTCCAGCTGTTGATTCATATACAGAGACTTGATCCCAACCTGCTTCACTGGCAGCGCGTCGACATCCAGCCGGCTATGTCGCAGAATGATGAAAGACGAGAGGAGACTTCAAACCGCAAAATGCATGGACGTCGTCCGCCGAGCTACATATCAGATGATGGTGTTGAGTATGTGGTTGAAGCTTTACCCAGGTCACTCACTGAATATTCGAGGCGGTAATACCTGTACGATGCCTGTCCGAATGCACTTTAAGTCTTTCATTTCAAAAGGCGCAGCATTCTCTTCGCCCAATATCCATAGAGCCATTTTGGGAGCTCGTAACATGGGACGAACCGGTCTGAGCTCTTTGCGTATTTCAATCGAGCAATTCGTTGAGAGTTTGGTACTATTATTGTTGTTCATACGGAGTACTCCGAAGTTTGTCGTAGAAGATCTTTCAGAAGGATGAACACTGGATGCAACGTGTAGCCGGGGGCCTGGAATTTACGAGCCATCGCAACTATACGGTATAGCGCTTAGTGCCGTAAATACTCAGTAGTTGTTAGTATAGTTGCTTTACATCGTACCTTGCTGAACAGCCTCCATATAATAAAGGTAGCTCCTGTCTTTATATCCCCACTGGGCCCTTGCAGCCATGGCCATACAAATTAGCTTTTATAACTGGATCCACATCGATTGATTACATGCGTACGGAGTAGGTACGTGCGGAGCGATAAGATTGGTAGCGGAGATCTGGTCTTCGGAAGAATCTCACGTGCAGTCTGGATACCAACGACCCAGCGTATTGATATTGTCAGCTGTGACCAAGGGAGTCTCGAGCAAAGACATCGAGGGCTATTGACGCGACCAAATCGGCGTCCAAAACCGTCGCTGCCACGCTCCCATGCCGTCTGTGGCCGGTTCGCTTTTGCGGTGATGCGATCAGGATGTTGGAAGCCACAGATGTCCGTCTGTTCGGCTTGGACAACGGGCTTGGTCTTGCTTATGTTGCTATGGGCATCTATTGTCCATGGCATGAGGCCTGAGCAGATGAGGCACCTGCGGTCGGTTCCCCAATGCTACTAAACTAGAATGCCCGTGCAGTGAGACTAATTTGTACGGCTGGAACCTAGGACCGAGACGGAGCAGATGTTCTACCACGGTTTCGAAAACTACCTCGAACATGCATTCCCCGAAGATGAACTGCGGCCTCTCTCATGCCAACCGCTAGTCCGCGACCAAAGTAACCCTGGGCACGCCGAGCTTAATGACGTCCTGGGGAACTACTCCCTGACCCTGATCGATAGCTTGTCGACCCTGGCAATCTTGTCCTCAAGCCCTGATGAAGGACCGAAAGCATGGCGATATTTTCAGGATGGTATTAAAGACTTTGTCAGGCTCTATGGGGATGGTTCGACCGGCTCCGCCGGACAGGGGGAACGTAGCCGGGGTTTTGATATAGATAGCAAGGTCCAAGTTTTCGAGACGGTTATTCGAGGATTGGGTATGTTACCGGAGATCCTGTACCATGAATCGACTTGCTGTTGTTTCTAACATTGCCTTCCTAGGTGGGTTGCTAAGTTCGCATCTCTTCGCTGTCGGCGACCTTCCCATTACTCGCTACAGTCCCTCTTCGGCGGAAGCGACGTATGCGAAAGCCTGGGACAAGACATCATTTGCCATCGATAGGCAGGGAATTAGCTGGGAGAATGGATTTGTTTATGATGGTCAGCTTCTTCGGCTGGCTGTTGATCTAGCGAATCGCATTCTGCCGGCTTTCTATACCGACACTGGCCTTCCCTACCCCCGGGTGAATTTACGTCACGGAGTGCACCAACAGCCATTCTATGCCAATTCGCCCCTGAATGCGGGCACCGCACACGCATGCGATGGTAGAAATGATCATGTGTGCGTGGCATCCTCAACTGAAGTCACCGAGACATGCAGCGCAGGCGCGGGCAGCCTTGTCTTGGAATTCACTGTCTTGAGCAGACTCACTGGCGATGGTCGGTACGAGGAACTCGCAAAAAGAGCCTTCTGGGCTGTTTGGCATCGGAGAAGTGATATTGGATTGATCGGCGCGGGCATTGACGCTGAGTCTGGCAAATGGGTCGCCCCCTTCACTGGCGTATGTCGTCGCCTTGGCATTGTTGATAATCTCGTAAGCTAATATTTTGTCTGAGCAGATTGGCGCGGGGATCGATAGCTTTTTCGAGTATGCGTTCAAGTCATATGTTTTGCTTTCCTCTGGACAGCGTCCGGAACACAACCGCAGCAGTCCGTGGCAGGTTCTGGACGACTACTTCGTCCCGCTTAGCGAGTACGAGCATTCTCCAGAAGCTTTTTTACAAGTATGGGAGGAGTCACATTCGTCGATCAAGCGCCATCTCTATCGAGGCGAGGGTTATCAGCACCCGCATTTAATTCAAGGGGATATATTTACCGGCGCTACCCGGGCCTTCTGGATTGACAGCCTGAGCGCCTTCTATCCAGGCCTTCTCTCACTGGCAGGCGACCTCGATGAGGCTATAGGAATCCATCTACTTACTACGGCTGTGTGGAACCGCTTCTCTGGGCTTCCTGAAAGATGGAATGTGGCCACAGGAAACGTTGAGGGTAATCTTGGCTGGTACGGCGGGAGGCCGGAGTTCATTGAATCAACGTACTACCTCTACCAAGCTACAAAGGACCCTTGGTATCTACATGTTGGTGAAATGGTACAACGGGATCTCAAACGACGTTGCTGGACCAAGTGCGGCTGGGCCGGGCTCCAGGATGTTCGTAACGGAGAATTAAGTGACCGCATGGAGAGCTTCTTCCTTGGGGAGACTGCCAAATACATGTTCTTGCTATATCATCCTGAACACCCCTTGAATAATCTGGATCAGCCGGTCGTCTTTACGACAGAGGCACATCCACTAGTTGTTCCAAAGAGTGCATATGAGCGTGGCTGGCACCAAAAGCGGAATCCATACAGAGATGAGCATGCAGCTGCACCCGTTTGCCCAACCCCACCTTTACCTCCAACCTTTGGGTTATCGTCAACAGCTGCTCGCCCAGATGTTTTTCACGCCGCGAACCTAGCTCGGCTTGACTTGATGCCAATTCGGGGTTCCCCAGAAGGGCCTTTGGAAGACCCTGCGGAGAACCATCCTGGGGTCACAATCGCGGATCTGACTTCCCCGACCAACTATACATATTTCCCCTGGACCTTGCCACCAGAATTGGTTCCTTTCAATGCGACGAGCTCACTCATGGAGATTCGTCCTACTCTGGACATTTCGTTTCCAGCTGTACCTGGAATGGCTAGCGGGCCGGGTGCGCTGGAGCGGGTTCAGGACGGCATCCTTGTCAAAGCTATTGGCGGCCTGCGAATGAGCATGATCAAGGACGCGCCCTCATTTGGCGGAGAAGGGAGCGAGTTTAGAGTGCAGGTGGTCAGTGGCGTGCCTCTAGGGAAGGATGAAAAGGTATACCTCTTGCGAGAGATCACATTTGATGTCCTCGATCCCGGGGATCCGAACTTCACACGGATTCGTGATCCCGCCATGGTTGACCTGGTCATTGACTTTGTTCCAGGAAGCCTCGGCCGACGAAATGATTCTCAAGATGGTCGAGAACCTGGTGCAGCTTTGAAAGGAAAAGAGCAGCGAATAGTCAATGCCAACGCATACAGGGTGGCGCAAGCCGCAGCTCCGGTAGACCCATCTACCTCAAGCGTGAAGGACGTCTTAACATCACTTGTCAGTTCCGTCTCGTCATTGCTTCGAGATGAGTCACACCAACTTTATACACCGTTTCCATCCGTTCAAAGCACCCGCCCTACCCGACTCCCTATCCCAGCTGCTGTATCTACTGGGCTTGGATCTGGTCCGCTCCCCGATTTGGACGATTCGTCTTTCATATCAGTAACCGGTGGGGCATCGCTAGCTCGGCTGCCATGGTCTGACATTTATATGGCCGGCGACCTTTGCGACGAACGCATTCTCCGCGACGTCGCCCAGTCCCACCAAGTACTCGTCATTAAGCGCGGAGGGTGTACGTTCTCGCAAAAGCTCCGCAACATTGCAGCGCACCCTCCGTCACGGAATGCGCTAAAGCTCATCGTCGTCGTCTCCTACGAGGAAGAGGAACACACCGATGGTGAACACTTGGGGCCCGGCGTAGCGGCAAGGCTAGCGGAGCCGTACCTTGCGCGCCCACAGCTAGACGAAACTCAGGTGACGGCCGGTGGCATTCCACGGCGGCATCTGCTCAGCATGGTTCTTGTTGGTGGCGGGAAAGAAACGTACGAGCTTCTGCGTCATGCGCGAGGTGTGGGCATCAAACGGCGGTATTCGATGCGATCGCAGGGCGTCCCAATCAGTAATTTATTCATCGTCTAGACTCCATATTTTCAAACTCTGCATGTTTCGTTATAGAGTTGACAAGCAGTTCCGGCCGGGAAAATATCTGGGGTCCCGCGGCAAATTGGAACCAGTACACGTCTGAACACGTCTTTGGACTCCACTTCCGCTCTCCACCACTTTCTTAAATGTTTCCTTCCTTTCTATTCACGGCTAGCAGGCATGAATATACGGAGTACTTCTCTTATACAAACAGTGCCTTTAGAGCCTCACTTTACTAAACAGAATGCATCTCCAACAAGATCAAAGCCGCGATGGCTCAATTCCATCAAGCATCTCAACCACAACAGCAGCCGTCGACTCCCCCGCACCCCAAACTTCCCTCGACGCCCGCCCCCAAAAAGACCTATCAAAGCCGAAACATCTCTACTTTGCCTACGGCTCCAACCTCTCGCCCACGCAGATGCGCATGCGCTGTATCCACAACCCCACGCTCTCGGGACACCCTGTCGCCCTGGCCACGCTCGATTCCTGGCGCTGGTTGATCTGTCAAGCGGGCTATGCGAACGTGGTGTCTCCCGCTGGACTGCGCGTGGGCTCTCAAATAGACGGGGGAGATGATGTACCTCAATCAATTTCAAAGTCTATACCTCACGGAGGTGTTTACGGGGTCCTGTACGAGATGAGTGCGGAGGACGAGAGGGTACTGGATGGGTATGAAGGTGTACATCATTCCGCTGGCGACTCAAAGCAGGGAGATAAGGTCCCCCTGGGCATTCGGCAGAAGGAGCAGGGGGATGGAGATTATAACAAGTGGTACGTTGATGCGAGGGTTGTGGAGTGGCTGGATGAGGGGTATCGTGAGCGAAATGGACTCGAGGGGGTTGGCGGAAATGTCAGGGTATTGGTTTATGTGGATGAGGAGCGGGTGAAGGTGGGAAAGCCAAAGGAGGAGTACATCCCGCGGATGAACAGGGCGATTAGGGAGGCAGTGGAGTTAGGGTTCCCGGTGGATTGGGCGGAAGAGGTTATAGGCCCAAACTGCTTGTTCTAAATTAATTGAGATGACTGCTATAGATATATTTTGGTATTTATATTGCCATACATATATTTTGGTATTCAAAGTCTATCGTCACGAAGAACAGAAGCCCTAAGTCGATCCCCAAGCGTTGATGATCGCGTGCTCTTTCAGGCCGCCAGCGGTCGGGCTCAGCAAAGTGACAAGTATCCGCTGAGCAGCTCAAATCGCAGATTTAAGGCCCGCCCATGGTCAGACGCTCCGTCGAGGTTTTGATGGTGGCAATCAGAGGGCGAGCGAGGCGAGATTGGGGCCGCTGTCGATGCTTTTGATTCTGGAAGTCGTGGACTTGGTAAACGTGTAAGAGCGAAGATCGTAGAAGAAATCGTATTACGCCTTGGTTTCCTGGCCTGTGAGGAGGGTGTGGACGGGAGCAGACAGCTTGTCCCGACCGTGAAGGAATTCCAGCTCGAGTAAGAAAACATATGAGAGCACACTACCACCCATTTTCTTGACGAGTTCCCCCGCTGCCCACGCCGAGCCGCCTGGAAGTACCGAGTTAGTCAAGACCAATATAAAGGAAACAAAGGACGTACCGGTTGCAATAATATCATCGATAACAATCACCTTCTGACCGGGCTTGATAGCGTCCGACTGCATCTGGAAGAAGTCCTGACCGTACTCCTTCTCGTAGCCCTGGGTTTCACAAGGGCCGGGTAGCTTGCCTTGCTTGCGAACAGGGACGAAACCAGCGCCGAGCCTCAGAGCGAGACTAGGGCCCATGAGAAAGCCTCGAGCCTCCAGACCGACGATAACATCAGGCTTCTCGCCAGCGAGGCTCTCAAGTATGTGAAGCTCGAGGCAGCGGATAAGAGCTTCGTGCGTAGAGGGGTTGGCGAAAATGGGGAGGATATCTTCGAAAAGGATACCAGGAGATGGGAAGTCAGGAAACTGGCGCAGCGCAGCGCGCAGCTTTACCTTAAGATCGGCGAGTTCGGCGGCGCGGGGGGCAGCGGCGGAGGTGTGTCCGGCGACTTGGGTGGTGGAGGAGGCATCGGGGGATGTAGAAGCGGTTGGTTGGGACATGGTGAAAGGAAGGGGAGGAGAAGAAGAAGAGAAAAGGGGAAAAGGAAAGCAGAGGTGAGGGGTGGGAAGATTTGCAAGATTGAAATAGTTTGTGATAAGCAGAGGGGAAGAAAAAAAGATGAATTTCCAGTACAGTAGAGAAAAAGATCTGCCGAGTTCAAAAAATACGGGCGGATTACCTCCCCTCCCGCGTCCCTACCACGAACGGCCTTCGTCAACCTCACCTCTGGATCTTGTTTACTGATCACTGTGGATTTGATCAAATAATACTCCGAGATGGTCTCTACACTGAGATTCATCCACACAAACGTGCGTTTCCCATCCGCTTTCCAGGTCCCAGTACTAACCAGACCCTGTAATACAGCCCCCGCCATGACTGCGCAATCGAGTCTAGAATCTTATCGTCAGCCCACGCTGTCTCTTCCCCTCCACCTCCGTCAATCGGCCATGTAGTCTACGGCGCGCGATAATTACAAGTCCACAGCGGTCTTGTTCGTTGGTTGGCCTTTTGCCGTCGAGCCCTCGAGGGTTAACGGTTGATCAACTTCCTTAGTTGCCCATGCCGAGTGCAGATACCTACGACTCCTTGACCGTCGGCCGGGGTGGAATAAAGAGCAGCCCTGATCGTCCATGCAAGGTGAGATGGTGCAAATCGCTTATCCTACGCAGTACTAGCGGATAAGTCTCTCGCCACTTGTCTCAAGTTGTTTGCAGGCCAGAGGGTGTACGGTCTGCTGCAGCCTCGCGCCATGTTTCAAGCCATCTCACTCGATGAGCTGCATTCGACCCGTCTAGAAGACTCTCCCGCTTCCCCGTGTGAAAGGGATTCCGGCACGTACTAATGCCAGGCTAAAACTATGCTATAATGTACTTTCTGTATTGCCAGTATATTACTATTTAGCATTCCAGTCTTTAGTTCAACATTTGACAATGAAGCTTGGACTCCAATGTTGCTACTTGACCGTGGCCCGTACCTATGATGGCCGTTTGCAACAAAACCCTAAAACCCCTAAGAGTACTGGTGCAGACAGAAGAACAAATATTTCGCCGGTTTCCATCGCGGGGTTGGTTACATGGATTAGGTATGCAGGCTCACCGCAGCCGTGGTCTTTGAGTATACCCAGCATGTTCGCCCCAGTCAGGGTGAGGGTGATTTGTCTTTCAAGCTGACATTCTTCAAACCTATTACAAGAAAGGCGAGTGCCCGAACACCATCGCTGCATTAGCACGCAGTACCCGATGCCTATGCGCTTGGATAACAAGCATTGGCACTTGCCACGGTGTATGTACTCGTGCTCTCCATACTCAAGGTCTTGATATCCATGTTCCACCTTGTGCCACAGTCCACCATCTTATGATTAGTCTAAAGCGGCCGGAACTGCTTGTATGAATTAATCCGCGAAGTTCTCAGGCGGGCCAGTCAGGGAAGCAGCTCAGCGGAGTGACGAGTACAGCTATATCATTTATAGAGCCATGGACTCAAGCACGCCGCACAAATCAGTTGGGCAGTGGGTCCCTTTCAAGTTTCGAGTTTCTGATAAAAGACATAATCAATACGGTAGCTTGGATCTGGGTTGCAGAGACCACCAATCTTCGGCGCCGGCGGCTGTTTATTTTGCTGTGCCCCTGTCTATCACAAAGAAGTTGCCAAACAATTCTCGCAGTCAATTCTCTACCAACGTATACTCAAGATAGTAACCTATTTCATAGTACAGAGCTATACGCGGTACACCCTCTGGTCTGCAGATTATCAAGGATAAATTGTTTTGATGCTAACTCATGTGGCCATGGCTATTAGTGTGAATATGTAAACATGCACCAAAAGTTCTGATAGCCAGACAATGGCCGTACAAAGTGGTTATACACAAGTTGGTGCTTGATTGATGCTCCGCCTGAATTTTTGAACTTGGCGGATGATTCTGCAAGAGTACATTGCAAGTTGAATAAAGATGGATTCTAAGATCACTCGTTATTCGGTCTTGCACAGAGTAGTCACTATAGAGGGTGGAGTACACAGCTCAGTAAGACGTGACTAAGCTAGTGCATGGGCCATCTCGCTTACCAAAGCGGACTATTTAAGGCAGCAGAAAAGTGAGGTTCTTTCGGTTTTCCATACAACAACTTGCTTTATGCTTCCTTGTACTTCTGCTCTCTGCAGAAGTACTCGTCTTTCCCGGCAGATGTATCTTTCTCTGCCTTGTAACATCAACGCTTCTTTGCATAATGTCTCCTGCGTCTCTTGCTGCTGATTTGCAGCCGGACCGACAGTTGAAAATATTGGCCCGAGGTTTTGAAGCTCTGCTACTGACCACACAACAACTCAGTTCCAAGGAGAAACTTCTTCAGCAACGCCTGGAATATGCCCATGATGAGGTACTTTCACCCTCGTGCCCGCACCATGCCGCCCGTCTCAAGTGATGAGAGAACTTGATTAGCTCTAGATCAGGAGTCCATGTGACGATGACAGACATATCATGTATTATCTGATGAGAATTGTTCCTTGCTTTTATATTATCTAGTTGATTGCCGCTGACCTGGATAAAGTTTCTCAAGCTCGCAGACCGCTCTCCCCAAGGACTCGATCCACACACCAAGATTGTCGCAGAGAAGATTCTCGGCCGTCTACAGTACAGTCCCGCACTGCAGAACCTAAATCCAGTGGATGTAGTAAAAGATCTATCAGAGTCTGGAAACGTAGGAGATTCGAGTCTTGCTGCCATAACAGAGGGGGTGGGGATATTCAAATCGTTCCTCAACCCTGATGATGATGGATCAACCGGCGTGGTTGCGACAAGAGCTCGCTCGTTAGAGAGAGACTTTACTACCAGGGGCACGCGTGGAAGTCTGCGCTGCCCTTTCTCAAAGCCTCATAGTCTGTCCTCTGAAAATGGGGTCAACGGGATTGCAGCGCCGTTTAACGGCGATACCTGCGGTTTCCAGCACTTAGACCCCATCAAGGAGGAGCAGATGGAGAGACGATCGAGTCAAGCTCCTTCTGCGAGCGTGCGGTCTTCGACTCGCTGCCCTGCCTCTCGCTGCCCCATTAGGTTCCTAGATCAGCATAGCCCGGAAGAAATCGCCGACTATGTTGAACGACACAAACATGAAATTCCTAGAAGCCATGCCATATGTGTCAAACGGTATTCCAACAGCACGCGACAAATGGATGCAAAATATGGCGACCTCACCAATATGATCCGAGGTTTGTCACAGAAACATCAAGCCTTCCTCCCTGGGCCGTGCTTGCGAGCTGCCAGTTCTTCAGCAGAGCGCGTCGAAAAATGGGCGGAAGATGTCAAACCACAAACGCCGGCTGAAGGAGACGAAGCTGGCGAGGATGACGAAGATCGAAAGGGCCATTTCGACCGGCCTCTGCGAGAAGTTCGCGTTGGAGAATCACCGAGCCGGCCTTGGGGAATCCATGTTCCTATTCCTCCACCTCCAGCAAATGATCCTACTGTGCAGTTACCACCGGCTCACGACCTGGCTACGGATAAACCATCTGATGGTGCTGCGACAGGCGCGCCCAAGGGCCGTTGTCCGTTTGGTCACGGCGCTGGCCCGCCTCCTCCAGACCATCCAGCCATCGACACCGAGACTGTTCGCAAGGAGCCCATCAATACACCCGATGCCACCAGCACGAGGGATGACAAGCCTATTGACGACCCGCCAAAGCCGTCCACAGCGAACGTTGTGTTCAATGGGCCAGTGTTTTTCGGTTTCTCCCCGGAACAGACTGCGGTGTTCATGCAGCAGCTGGCAAGTCTAGGGAGTATGGGCAAAAAATCATGATATCCTTTCTTATTTTATGATGCGTGCATGCATGGCCATTATTGGGACGGGGTTAGTGTTTGAAAGCGAGGAGTTCGGGTTACTTACTGTATATACTAGTACTAGGTCAGCGCAACCGAGTATGCACTTTTCATCTGCCGAGTTCAAAAATCCGTACATACCAACAAACTCGTCTGCAGAAGAATGGTTTCGAGTTCAAGCCTTGTCACTGATAAGTCAACAGAAGACGATTTCTATCTTGTTTGTACCCCAGAAGTATAACCCCGCATGTGTTCTCCGCAGCCGAGAAACCTCGGTACTCCGTAGTATTATGTGGCAGGTGCAGGTGCAGGCAATGATATCTCTCTCCTAGTAGCTTAAATGTTCTTACCCTGCCCCATCTGTGGCCTCCTGCTAACTCAAATTCCCTGTCTCGACTCCGTCTGGGCTCAGCGAAGTGACGAGTACAAGCGACATCTGCAAGGTACAAGCTGACAGCAAAGTTTGCCGCTCCTACTGATATAACGCTAAGCAAGATGGTGGTGTATCTCCCTGAGAAAGATTATGACTTCCCCAACATCGATTTACTGACTCTTCTGTTTCGTATGGTTTCGTACCCTTTCTTGCCTGTCGCCGCGAACTAACTCCTTGACCAGAATCGCCTATTCCTGGAAGCACAGAGAGCACAGTCCTTCACGCTGAGGCGGCGGATCCTTCGAATGCGACCACCAAAGCTCAGACGCGACTTCTTACCCGCCAGATTGCATATATCTTGCGCCATCACTTCGGTGTTGGAAGACAAGGGGCAGGCATGGATGTCGTTGTCGGTGTTTCCGGGGGCCAGGTGTTACTCCCGTCTGTCTTCTACGGCGTTGTAGCGGCTGGTGGTGTTTGGAGTGCTGCTTCTTCGACTGCTACTCCTCCTGAGCTGGAGAGACAGATCCTTCAGGGAAGCAGCCGTTTACTCATCGCAGGCCCCGAGTCCAAGGATGTGGTGTTAAAGGCGGCCAGAGCAGCGGGTGTTCCAGAAAACCGTGTCCTTGTCCTGCGTAGTGCAGGCCACGAGCGTATACTCCAGAATGTTGCCACGGGACAAAACTACCTTGATGAGTTGAAGCCGTCCGATGTGTTGGATTGGGAGCGTATCACAGACCCCAAAAAACTGGAGGACTCGCTTATCTGCCTTTTATACAGCAGTGGCACGACGGGTGTGCCCAAGGGTGTCAACATCTCGCACACGAACATGGTCACTGAGGCGCTGATTCCTCTCTACTATGATCTCGAGTACATTGCCAAAAAAAGAGCAGCCGACCCCAAGTACGAGCATCCCTACCGGACATTGGCACACCTTCCCACTGCTCATATCGCTGGGTGCCAGGGATACTTTGCTAATCCAGCCGTTGCAGGCGGCACAGTCTTCTGGATGGAGAAGTTCGATTTTGCAAAGTTCTTGGAGTACAACAAGAAGCTAGAGATCACCACTTTTTTTACCGTGCCCCCGATTTATCTGCTGATATCCCTCAGCCCGGCTGTCACGGATCACTTCAAGTCATTGCGCCGCGCGTACTCTGGTGCCGCTCCCATGGGCGCAGATTTACAGACTAAGGCGCAAAAGAAGCTTGGATGCCTGATCAATCAAACCTGGGGTCTGAGTGAAACAACCGGTAGTACGACAGGCATGCCCTGGGAGACAGAAGAACTCACCGGCAGCGTGAGTCGCCTGTGGCCAAACATGCGTCTGCGGATCGTCGACGAGGACGGCAAGGATGTCGAGGAGGGCAAAGAGGGCGAATTCCTCATCAAGGGACCCGTCGTAACCAAGGGCTACTACGGGAACCCACAAGCCACCAAGGAGGCCTTTACTGAGGATGGCTGGTTCAAATCTGGAGACATTGGTCTGCGCCGCAACGGGCTGTTCTACGTCGTTGATCGGAAGAAGGTACTTATCCTTATACAGTAGAAAAAAGGAAATACTGACCAGCCAGGAACTCATCAAATACAAAGGACTTCAAGTCGCCCCTGCTGAGCTCGAAGCTCACCTCATCTCTCACCCTCTCATCTTCGATGCCGCCGTCATTGGTGTTCCAGCACCCGACGGCTCCGGGAACGAGGTTCCACGCGCGTACGTCGTCGCGGATAAGACGAGGATCAGCGAAGATCAGGTCAAGGACTTTGTCAAGAGCCACCTTGCACATTACAAGCAGCTCCGTGGTGGCGTAATGTATCTGCCCGCAATCCCTAAGAGCCCGAGTGGCAAGATCCTGCGCCGAGAACTCCGTGATCTGGTGAAGAAGGAGGCGCAAAGTGCTAGGCTGTAGTTGTCGGTGGGCATTGGCGGTGGGCATTGGCGTTGACGAGCAGATCCGTTGTCGGAGTACAGTAGAAAAGTGGGGTGAGAACCAGACGGCCGGTGAATCGTGACTCTTCCCCTCCATAGCTTTCCCGCGGACAACATATTCTCCCAAGTATAATTCATGCTCAGGATCTCACCCCGTCTGCTATCTACCTCCCGTCCTCTTCTGTCAACGTCAATCCGTCCCAGGGTCCAACCTCGTATTCAATTGCTCATCCAAACAGCCGCAATGTCCGACCTCACCAACATCTTTACCCCCAACGCCTGCCCTCGTAAGTCCCCCGATCTCCATCTTACAAGTATCAAGAGATGCACCGAGACTCCAGTTTGGATGGCATCAGCTAACGATTTATTCAGCTGTGGGTCCCTACGTACGTCCTCTTTCATTCAGATCTACCCCGCTCAAATGACTACACACAACTCAAACGACTCTGCAACCCCGCTAAACAACAAATAGTCCCAGGCTGTCAAGGCCAACGGCCAGATCTTCCTCTCCGGCCAGATCCCCGCGGACAAGAACGGCAACCTCGTCGAGGGTGACATCAAGACCAAGACCCAGGCTTGCTGCGACAACATCAAGGCTATTTTGGACGCTGCCGGCTCGTCTGTTGACAAGATCATTCGTGTCAACGTGAGTGACTTTATACTATCCTGTGGAATAGACTAATTGCTGGCTTAGGTCTTCCTCGACGACATGTCCAACTTCGCCGAGATGAACTCTCAGTACGAGAAGTTCTTCACTCACAAGCCTGCCCGGTCTTGCATTGCTGCGAAGCAGCTGCCCAAGGGTGTTCCTGTTGAGATTGAGTGCATTGCTCTAGCGTAATTTTCTTAACTATGGATAAAAACAAAAGTCGATGCTCTATAGCTCAGGCCTGGCTAGTAATATATGACGATTATCATTAGCTGATATACTGCAACTTCACCACTATCCGCCGCTAGATCAAACAAAAGAGGGATTTCAAGTCATCAATCGGTATCCATGGCTTACACAAACAGGAACATAGATCAAGAACAAAAGAAATATGCAACAGATCCGTCATCGACGTCCCAATGTACCAGACATCCGTCCCCCCACGTTAGCCATGAGGCTTTGCTTAACGATTGCATCCGCTGCCGCCGCCGCAGCAAGTCGCTCTTTCTGGCGACTGCGGTCACGAAGATACCCAGCAGCTTCAGGACGCATCCGGAGAATACGCAGAATCATATCATCGTTTGGATCTGCCTGCGCCTCACGCCATTTCTCTGCCTTGGCCTTCTTCATTGTACCTAAGTTCCGCGAGTGCATGATACTTTTGGCACGTCGTCCACCTGGGACGGCGAGCACGCTAGCATGGCCTCCGAGGCCAGGAGGCGCGGAGGCTCGATTCTTGTTGGCTTGTTGCCGGGAGATTGTGGCAGAAGCCATCCGCTCTGATGTGCGAATGAGGTTGTCTGTAGGTTCAAAGTAGAAATAGTTGAGACTCTGGATATCGTGGTATTTCGGCGATTTCAAGATGTCGATGGAAACACCAGCCGCTTCACCTGTTTCTTCATCTGGGGCGTGGAAGAAGTTGAGTAGAAGCACGAGCCAGCGAGAGACGATTTCGACCTCTTGCATAGTAAGGGGTTTCTGATGCGATGGCTTATCTGAAAGAGGGGGCACAAGCAGGCTCTCAATAGTGGCCAGAACCTCCTTCCATAGACGAGCCATGACCATTTTCATGGCTTCGGGAGTGAGAGACTCCGCCATGATTGCAAAATTGTCGTTGAAATAATCAAAAAGGGGTGTCAATGCGTTCTCAACATCTGCGCTTGACGGTGCAACAGTGGATTGTTGGGCCCGGTTGCGATTCAGGAAATTGGACACAGTGGAACCGATGCCTCGCGATAGTAATGACCTCAGAGTTCTTCGAGACAAGCAATGGTTGATGTACGAGGTCAGCTGCCGGTTGTTAGCTGACATCTAAAACAAGGATGGGCAGTACCTTTTCCGTGATCTTCCGCGTCATGTCTCTCTCCGTTCGCTTTAAGGTACGGAATGCCTTGCCAAAATAGAACTGAATGTCGTCACGTTCTCCTTCCATGCTTACCCGGAGCAAGAGTCTACCTTGTGTATCCAAATCCAGCCAGTACTCCCTCGGCAAGAAATCACTGAAATGGACAGGATCAAGCTTGATTGATGTACGTCCAACATAATCGTGGTCACCTACTGCATCCCAGTCCCAGATTGTAGCGATGACGTTTAGAGGACCATTGGTAGTGATCTCTGCTGTGTCATCCCACCGCGGGTTAAGGTTGTTGTAGATGATGCGCGTCTTTCCGATTCGTTTCTGAAATTCATCATTCAAAACGACGTACGGATCGCTGCCTCCATTCATGTCACAGGCCTTGAGATCTTCCGCTTCCACGACCTTGATGGTGAAGACATATGTTGTTGATTTGCGTATCTTCTGAAGGGTTGGAGGACTATGCCGGGCAATCGCTTCCGCACAGCCATCGACGTTTACCTCACGCTCGAGCCTGTCGAGTTGGGTAAGGGCATATTCAATGTTGTTTAGCTTGACCAAAGACTAAGGAATGTTAGCCATGATACTTGTATATTGCATTAGCTTACCTGGGGGAAGAACTGGAATGGCTCAATCTTTTCTTTGTTGTTCCATGCCTCCTTTGCGAATTGCATTAGCTTTTCCTGCGTCGTCTGGTTCAAAGCGGCCTCCTGATCTGGTGAAAGGCGATCCATTTCCTTTGCAAACATCTTTTCCACTGCTTCACAGTATTTGGCCACAGCTCCACCTATCGATTTCGACAAAGCAGTCATGAATTTCGCGTACTGAAACTCGTCCGCCCAGTTGAGTTGTATCATCTGCTCAATGACTTGATTGAACGAGCGGAATATATCAATAACAGACACACTGTGCCTAGACTCTTCCGATGTCGAGGTACCCTCGGGGATTGTGAAGTTGTCTTGTCGTAGTGCTTGCTCAACCCACTCCATGATCTTCTGGTCAGTAAGACGCATCCACCTCCAAACAAAGTCTTCTAATACATCTTCGATGTGAAACGGGAACGAAGAGCTAGCGAATGTCAGTCAAGTTTTAGTTGGGGTCAGAGTCATACTCAGGAAGTGCGTTAGCAAACAATCCTCGCACACCACAGAGCTGCTTGTAAAGGTGAAAAGCGTCGTTCATGTCAAGCTCTTCCTCCCTAGTCTTTTCCATCTCAATGATTCGCACCATCAATTGGTGAATGTCTTCAGCAAATATTACAAGGGTATTTGCTAATAATATCTCATAGGGATTAACCCTATCAAGTATGTCAGCGAGAAGTCTCCTCATCATAAGGAACCGATGATCCATACCCCATGATCTCTGGGTTTTTTCGGTACCGCTTACGGATTTTTTCCGAATGTTTCGTGACAGCATCGCAAAGCTGGATGACATGGTCCAACTCCCATTCCTCAGGTTCAACTGGGACCTCCTGCCCCAGAATACTTTGATATTTCTCAGTTGCCTTCTCCGCCAGACCGTCCTGAACATATGACTGGAAGCGTTCGATATCACTCGTGTCCTCGGAATAGTCCGGGTCAAGCTGTATATGATTCTCCAAAACGTACATCACCGGGCCGATTGGGCGCGGTTTAGCCTCGTAGCAATCCATCATTACGTCGTACAGCTCCCTTAGAATAGCCTCATGCAGGGAGGAGAGTATTTGACGCATCATCAGCCTGTCGTGCACGGTCCACTTGTGCCTATCATAAAGAACTGAGGAAACAAAACTGTTGCGTTTTTTGCCTTCCGAAGACGGTATTTCCTTGATGAAAGTGAACGCCGAGTCCAGGGTGTCTAGGTCAATCTCATTATCCACAAACTTCGATCGTACAACGTCCAGAAACAGGACGATTCTGGAGCACGCGGGAATTCTCCAGCGGAGACAAATTTCGTTCAACATCTCAGTTGATTGCTTTGAGAGCAGTTTCATGGAAGGTACGTCCGATGTGGCTGGTGTAGCCTCGAGGTCGCGGTCCTTCAAGTCATAGCTTAAGGCTTGGGCTAGGATTGTGCCATATACCGATCTCGGGTCCAGCGGTATGTATGTGTATGTGTCGGATTCCCCCGACTCGTCGTTAAGCGACAGTGAGCTTATATCCACGGGCTGGTCAATCACGTACGATATGGGCCGACCGGTACTTGCTTGGTCACCATGCTGGTCGGCTGCGCCTGCGTTAAACTGAGGAAGAGTACCACCAGATGTGTTTTTGGCGAGCCCAGGGTTCGACTGCATTATGGCGAGCATCATCTGTGACAAATCCGGCCCTTCGCTCTTTTTCCAAGCTTCATATGCTTCTGCGTCTTCAAAGTCATCCACAGAGAGTGATTTCCCAGTCTTGAGGCTCAGATGAGTTTGGTAAGTTTTGAGATCCCGTAGCGCCGCTTGCTCAGTCCACACTCCTCGATGGCCGTCAATATCAGCTTGGACCTGGGAGAGACCCACGTGGAATACCCTCGCAACATGCTGCACGAGGGGCATGTCCTTCACGTCGTAGCTCAAGGGCGCAACCACTTCGATAGTGGATGGGCCAGATGTCTGCATGAGATCTTGGTCTTGGGAGAGAAGCTTGGTCTCCAATGTTGATAATCGAATTGCGAGCTCCGGTCGCTCTTTCGCCCAGTCGTTGCTTTTCAAGATAAGCGCGAACAAGCGAACGAAAAGCGCAACGTGCCTATCCACCATGAACCTCCAGCTATCATCATCTGGCTCCTTGCCCTTGCTCAGTTCCTTGGTCGCGTTGGAATAGAAGATAAGGACGAGATCCTCCGCGCGCCGGTCCTTCTCCATTCGCTTCTTGAATGATTGATCTTTGAGGGCATTGAGAAATGCTGCAAATGTCCGAACAACCAGCGGATCTTGGTATTCTTTTCTTCTTTCCTTCCCCATCAGAACTCCTGTCAACCTCTTTTCGAGCTCGGATATGAAGCCGTGGGGGAATCTGGAGCTTTTAGAATCTCGTATAAGGGAGAAATCACTCATGAGGTCCTGAAACGAGGTAGAAGACCTCTTCGGCCTCTGTTGAGGAGCCGGCGCATTCTGAACACGGCGTGCTCGCGGGTGAAGCAGATGAGCGAGGTATGCAGTCCGAAGAGCGTAGGAGTAGGCCGCCGAGGAGCTCACCGTACGTCGGCGAGAAAGCGAAAGGTTGCGCGAATGACGGTTTTCATTCTGGATACTGTTCACCCGCCGGTTTACGCCTCGGGATTGGGTAGACGCTGTAGACATGAGGATTGTTCGCTATCTGGATCACGGCGAGGGGCGACGGAGCGCGGGACCATGGGCGACGACCACTGCAGCTCTGGGCGATGGATCCGGAGTACTAGGTTTTTCTCGCGCTGTCTAGGGTGAGAGGGATATTATGCAGTGGACAGACTGAGGACTCGGAGCAAATGAAGTTAATAAGAAAGGGGCGCGCTGTTGCAACGGAAGATCATTCCAAGTGTTGCAGGTTGCTCCCGTACGCCTGAAACAAAAAGATCAGGCTTCACCCCCAGTCTTAAAAATAGACTGACGTAGGCGCCGCACCCAGGTATCAAATGCTACGATATCGACTCAAGATGCGCCGCTTTAAAATGAGACAGAATACTTTTTACAATAAATAAATTCTGCTCTTGGGACAGACATTTTTTGATGGGTTTGGGCATGTGACTTCCTTTATGTGCGCAAAAATCACCCGCAACAGACTCGCGCCATGCACATTGACCACGGTTGTATCATCTCTTAAACGGTTTTGGGATTTATCGCTGATATCATACCGTGGTCCAGGTTAGTTTGACGCATAGCCCGAGGCGGATATCCGCCCTCAATCGCGTCGATATTCAGAAACTCGATGGACGCCGAAACAAATCGCATTGTATGTATTTACACAATAAAACAGAGGTATCATCACCAACTATCCTCGCCGGACTTGCGCGCCTATATGTCACGTTAGGAGGACCTTTTTTTTGGCCAAGTAGGGTCGCAACGCACCGGAAGAGCATTTGGGCCTCCAAGCTCCTTCTCCAGGCCGTCAGGGAACGTCCTAGGAACACTAGGCTTGTCAGGGTAGAAGGCGCTCACGACGCCGCAAAGCCCGAGAAATGTCACAACGAAAGCACCGAGCTGGAGGATACCCTTGCCGGAGGTCACATGGGTGTATTGCTCGGGACTGAAGACACCGAGGATTTCGTTCTCCTCGTGAACCGGTTCGCCAAAGTTCCTCCTCTCTTGCTTGTCCCACCAGTCGACGTAGGGACTTCTGAACTGACGCTTCATGCGGGGGGGATTCTGGTAACCGCCGTTCTATGCAGATGCGTCAGCAACCATGTTCAGCACAAAAAATGGAGGTCATACCATCAAAGGATCATCGTTCTCAGCTGCGTTCAGAACACGAACGTGTGAGAATGAAGCGCGGGGGACTGTAGATCGAAGGGCAACCTGCGGCAGGCGCCGCGACAAAAGGCGTTGAGCGAGCATCTATGGGGTTGAAGTTAGCATAGTAAAATAAGCACAGAGCTGTTATAAAGGACAGTTCGCATTGAGCTAACCTTTTCGCCGCTACAAATCAAACAATGTTGCGTAGCAAGCAGGTCAACGAAGGCTCGATTGCCCATGGGTTGAAGTTGCAGTTGCGGAATGACGGGATACCAGCGGCTTATGTAAGCTTGCACCCGTTGCTACAGAGCTGGATGTTTCTACAGGGCCACTAGGCTTGATAAAGAAGAAACAGCCGATTAGGCTTAGCTTGGCCGCCAAGTACGGAGTACTCCGTATGATACAATTTGACGAACATGCTAAGGTGTCCAATGATCGATATGTGGCCATAGAGGCTGTCAGTTTAGTGGTTAGTTTGGCGGCTTACATGGTATTCAATATGGTATTCTAGAGACAGTTACTTTGCCTACCCTGTGTGTCTGTGATCTTAGAAGACTTAGATCTTCCTACTGGCCCATGACTTCGCACAGACACACTAGCCTTACTTGGACTCTCTTGGCTGGTCTTAGTGACCTGTCCAGGTCGTAGTACTTCTAAAAGCCCTGTGAAATTAGGAGTCAGACAGCTCATTACCACCAACGGAGCTTAGTTATACGCCGCCTTGTCGTGGTTAAAAACTCTCCACGCATTTCATTCCATTGACCTTTTTACCTGCCAATAACGCCACGCTGCCGATAACTATGCCAGACTTCTGGTGGCACCTTAACTCAGTTCCCGCTACCTGTTGATGCGAATATACCCCTTCCAACCGCGTCCTCGTTGGGAAATCTGGGGTCAGCTGTGAAGAGGGCCCCTGTCTCCGCGGCTACAAGACATGCAAAACGGCACAACTATTGGTATTTTGTCCGAAAATGAACGATTGATCCCAAAAGACGAACCCGTTTCATCCGATCTGTTTTCCAACGATCATCCTATTGATTCCAGCGCTCCTAACCCGACTCCGGCCGAAATCAAGGAAGAGGTCGCTACTGATCACTATGAAGGACCACCATCCAAGAAACGAAAAGTCGGGAGCGCGACGCCATCCCGTCGCTCAAATTCCAGGGCGGCTTCCCCTCCTTGGAAGAAAGCCGGCGTTGATGGTCCGACGTCGAAGATTGTGGATGGCAAACGTCGATCTACGAGAGTCAGCAACGTCGGCCCTGTCGAGCAACTTTCATCGGATGTGAAACCCGCGCGAACAGTTCAGAAGCAGTATGCGAGCAAAGGTGCTTCTAATCGAAATGACGCGACTCCTCTACCGATGACTCCGTCTGTTTCAGGAATAAACAGGAAGTCTCTTGCCGGCACTGCTGGAGTGAATGGCTCACCCAATACCGCGTTCAAGTCTCATAACAAGCGGCGGGATTCGTCCTCGCCCGTGTTTAAACGTACATCTACGCGCACAAGGTCCGACAGTTCCGGTACTCCCAACTATTACCACCGCGCTGTCAACGGGGTCGCCCCCTACTTGTACCCGAATAAGACTAGGTCAACTAGATCCTCCTTGCACGCTTCGTCGGCGATTGAAGAAGCCATGGAGTTTGGGCAAGATGAGCACGATGAAAATGGTCAACGAATACCTCGGATACGGATAAAGGTCAAGAAACCGGTGCTCGACATCCAGCATCCGTCCCACGTTCTACCCAATCGAAAATACGGCTCATTCAAGGAGTGGCTGGAGAACGAAGGCTCTGGTCAGGAGGGGATGTTCATCATTACAAACGCATTGGGGGAGGCACAAAAAAGACAGCAAGTAACGGATGCTATGGAGCCTGGTGGTCTTTTAAGCTCCGAAGTTTGTTCCGCCTTCTTGCCGGAACCACAAGAAGAACCCCCTCAGCAATACTCGCATCAAGATCATCTCGTGGCACATGCTTTGTTTTTCAAAAAGCTTCTCGACAAGGAACACCGCGCTCATCGTAAGGTGGCCAAAGAACTCGCCGTGGCCTGTGTGGAAGCATGGAAGAAGCGCAATAAAGACCCGGAAGATATACTCAGAGAGCAACAAGAGGAAATGCGCGGGAAACGCAAGCAGCTGGCCAAGGATCTCAAGAAGATGTTTGACCTTGCCCGGGCAGAAATTGACCGGATACGTCTTGCACGTTGGGAGGAGGAGCAGAAAGCTAAAGATCAAAGGGCGTTGGATCGGGCAATCAAGCAGTCGACCATGCTTTTTGAAAAGCGGCGTTTGGAGATATTGGGAGAAACGGGAAGCGATGCGCCGGAGACTACAACAGATGAAGAGGAAGAAGAAGAAGAAGCTGAAACCGACGATGAACCTGACGAGGACGACGAGGACGACGAGGACATGTCAACGGACACCGAAGAGGACGGAGAGGAGGACGATGACGTGGGCCTTACTGCAGAAGAATTGCGATTGAAATATGCAAATCTACCAGATACCAACTTGGCGCAACCCGATGTGGTCTCTGAAGACAGTGATCGCTCAGATGTTGACGACACTCCTGGCGGTATCTACGACCGCGCTCAAACTGAGGCCATCGAACTTGACGAAATCGACCCTATGCTCATGGACGACAGTGAAGAGTCCACCGATATGGACGATGACATGGGCGACAGCGATGGCGATGAAACTAGTGGGCCTGAGTCGGATGAAGAGGATGATGGTAGGCCTGGATTATTAGGATTTTTCTCCGCTGGGGACTTGTCTGCCGACGACCTGCATCAAGCTGCCTCTGAGAGTCAGCTAACTAGCGCTGATGCGGACGGCGACGAAAAGTTCTCATCTGATCAGTCCGAATACGAGTCTGAAGACCCAGACGAAGTTACGCTTGTCCCCACTGGGCCGTCAAAGAAAGGCTCGAGTACGCCAGCCACTGATACAGTATCTCCGGCCCTAGAATTCTCGACGACTACCCCCACGGTGAACGATGCATCTCACACCGAGAAACCCATCAACCTGAAAGCTGAGGCTACTGTGGATATTCCCGCTGACGACCCTGCTCCCTCCCACGACGTACACATAAATGAAGTCGATGTGATGGATACCTCTGATGATAGTAACCTCATTGAACAGCCACAACTTGAGTCATATCACAGTAGAGCTGCGTCCAGCGAAGCGTCTCCCGGAACGGTAGCCACCAAACCCTCTGAACTCGAATCGGTCTCTTCCCTCGATGCACCGGCGGAGAATAATGCACCGACAGAGAACACTGTAGTGACGAAAATACCACACCTTTTGCGGGGAACGTTACGAGAGTACCAGCATTTTGGCTTGGACTGGTTAGCGGGTCTTTACACAAATCATATCAACGGTATCCTTGCAGATGAAATGGGTCTGGGCAAGACTATTCAGACGATTGCCCTGCTTGCACACTTGGCAGTGGAGCACGAAGTCTGGGGCCCCCATCTTGTGGTGGTCCCCACGAGTGTCATTCTCAACTGGGAGATGGAATTCAAGAAATGGTGTCCTGGTTTCAAGATCATGACCTACTATGGGACCCAGGAAGAACGTCGGCAGAAACGCAGAGGTTGGATGGATGACAATAGTTGGAACGTGTTGATCACATCGTACCAATTGGTGCTGCAAGACCAGCAGGTTCTAAAGCGAAGAAGTTGGCATTACATGATTCTTGATGAGGCCCACAACATCAAGAACTTTCGTTCCCAGCGTTGGCAAGCTTTGCTCACGTTTCGGACACGTGCTCGACTCTTGCTGACCGGGACGCCACTTCAAAATAACCTTACTGAGCTGTGGTCTCTCCTCTTTTTCCTAATGCCGACCGATGGTAATGAGGCTGGTATTGAGGGCTTCGCTGACTTGAGAAACTTTTCTGAATGGTTCCGGCGTCCGGTAGAGCAAATTTTGGAGCATGGCAGGGAAACGATGGATGACGAGGCCAAACAAGTGGTGACGAAGTTGCATACAGTCCTGCGACCGTATATATTGCGGCGTTTGAAAGCTGATGTTGAGAAGCAAATGCCTGGGAAATACGAGCATGTCGTAAACTGCAGATTGTCAAAGCGACAAAGATATCTGTACGATGGCTTCATGTCCAGGGCGCAGACCAAAGAAACGCTTGCATCCGGCAACTATTTGTCGATTATAAACTGTTTAATGCAGCTACGCAAAGTTTGTAATCACCCAGATCTTTTCGAGACACGACCTATTTCAACTTCATTCGCCATGCCACATTCCGTCGCCACGGAGTTTGAGACCAAAGAACTCCTTGTTCGGCGGCGTCTGCTCTACGAACACCCCTTGGAGAAGCTCGATTTCGATTTCCTCAACTTGGTGCCCATTTCAAGGGAAGACATCTCGCGAAGACTTGCGGACGATAGCGCCAGGATTATGGCCTATGCTCCGTTCAATACGCTCCGCGAACGTCAATACCACCGGACGAACTGGCAGATGAAGTTCAATGGCTCAACAATACAGTCCACATTGGAAACTCTGGAGAACGACTGCAGGAAGAGGAGAATGGCCGAATTAGAAAGGTTCCTGTATTTCGAGTCAAAGCGCCACGGCCGTCGCCCAGTGTATGGAAGCAGCCTTATCAACCTTATAGCCAGCATCACCCACAGCAACGGGCCTGGTACCTCAACAGATCGGCTCAGTCAATCTTCTGTACTTGCCTCGATGATCATGTCGCTGGAGGAACGATCTCAAGCCATGGACGGGTACGTTCAGAGGTTTGCCTGCGTTACACCGGCCGCGATTGCTGCGGGGGTTACTGAAGCGGCTCTAACGCCCATCTCCACGCGACACCTCACGAACAAGATTCTCTCTAATCCGTTCCACGAGGCCCAGATGCGCCTCTCCATCGCTTTCCCAGACAAAAGGCTTTTGCAGTACGACTGTGGAAAACTTCAGAGACTGGACAAACTGCTGCGTGATTTGAAAGCAGGCGGCCACCGAGCATTGATTTTCACTCAGATGACCAAAATGCTAGACGTGCTGGAGCAGTTTCTCAACATCCACGGACATCGCTATCTTCGTCTAGACGGTACGACCAAGGTCGAACAGCGACAGATTCTCACAGATCGGTTCAACAACGACAACCGTATTCTAGCATTCATCCTATCCAGTCGCTCTGGTGGTCTAGGTATCAACTTGACAGGCGCCGACACCGTGATCTTTTACGACTTAGACTGGAACCCAGCAATGGACAAGCAGTGTCAGGACCGTTGCCATCGTATTGGGCAGACCCGTGATGTGCATATCTACCGCTTCGTCTCAGAATACACAATCGAATCCAATATCCTCCGCAAGGCAAACCAAAAACGCATGCTAGACGATGTTGTCATCCAAGAGGGCGAGTTCACAACGGATTACTTCACGAAGCTCGACGTGCAAGACATGATCGGCGCCGATGACGAGGCGTTGTCAGGGCAAGATGAAGCTAGCGCTGCCATGGACCGCGTTCTCGAGAACCGAGTCACCAACACGTCGCGCGTTTTTGAACAGGCAGAGGACAAAGAAGATATCGACGCCGCTAAGAACGCCCAGAAGGAACTGGAACACGCAGACGACGGTGACTTTGATGACCGCGCCAACGCCAACGCCGCCACCGCTGCCTCGGCTTCTGCCTCCGGCGCCGGTGAGACTCCGACTCAACCAGGCACACCCCTGCCCGATGAGGCGCAGCAACCATTAAACGCAAACAACGCTGAGGCTGGCGAGGATGCGGCGGAAGTTGACCCGTCCCTTGGCCACATTGACGACTACCTGTTGAGATTTATGGAATGGAATATGAAGGACGAACCGCTCGTGCTTCCTGTAGACAAGAGCACGAAGAAGTCCAAGAAGGGAAAGGAGCACCGTCTTCGCAAGAGACGACGTTGATCCTTTTCTCATGTATTTTTAGCCATTTTGCTCTATTTCTATTTTGATGCTTTTTGTACGGAGTACCTGCTTCTCTAATCAAGCAGGTTCCTTTTAGGGACGTTTTATCATGTTTGATTACGATTACTGTATCTAGGGATATCTTATCTATTTACTCTTTCATTTATCGCATCAAGAGGCGATGACAAAGGCAAGACGGCGGTCAGTATGTCACTGTCAGTATAAGTCGAGGTGGCGGTTGCGAAGTCTTGTTAACTCCAATATGCGCCTGAGATATGTCATATTTCCCATCTTCATTCTTTTTTCTGATTGGACCCATGCGTTTTTGAGGTTGGTTTGTTCTCAAAGCAAGCAGACATGCAAGCTGTTTGCTAAATGTCCCTGATATAGAGCTACGTGTTTTCACAAAAGGGGCTCTTAGACCGATGTTCTCGATCTTTGTCTCGTGGCTGCGGTGTACTGCCGGTAATCCCAATGTAGTACGTACCTTTGCAGCCCAGTGTAAGGCTGTAAGCATGGTTATACTGCAAAGGGATCTCCACCAGTCGTGCACCTCTTGTGATCTTGGTATGTTTGACGATAGAAGATAGCGACGAAACCATGACAAATACCGAGGCAGTTACTGTCAATCACGAATATGTACTTCTGTTCCCCAACTATAGGTATGCGAGGCAATCCTGCGGAATCGCAACCATTGAGCCCCGAGCGCGCTTTTCTAGAGTATTTCTTGATGGAGACAAACTCGAGACGGCGATTTGGGATTAAATCCACAGCGGTCGCGGAGTCGATTGATCGGTCTGTCGCCAGAATACGCGCTCCCGTGAAAAGTCTCCGTTTAGGGCACTAAAAAGGCAGGCAGGCCACTGGTAAGAGCAAGTTAGTCTAGAGGTTGCTCTCATAGAGCCATAGCAGTGATGCATAGTGTATGGACGGGAGGGATTAGTTACGGTACTTAGCACCTTGAGCATCTGTGTTGTCCGGCCGCGTCTTGCCCGGAATTCTTAACCTGATTGGGCCGGGCCAGGCCTAGTAGTAGGGTCCTGACGCGAATGTGGATTGTGGAGTTTAGAGCTTTGGCAGGATTTGTGGCGCGCTTGGACAGCGTTCTGTTTTGGATCTCAGCGACGAGGCCACAAATGGGGTGCTATCTGACCCCTGGAAACCGTCCCGACAGTCTGGCTGAAAGAAATCAACACGACGGTCGAGAGGTCGAGACTGAAATCATACAACTTGCGCTGCGTCTGAGCGGTGGAAATACTTTTCTTTCTCTTTCCCTCCTGGTGGAGCAAAACGACAGGGGCCCGAATGCGCAAACAAAGAAGAGCTTTGGCCAATCACCAAGTCTGGGGAGGGAAGCTGACACGAGGCATCATACTCAGGATGCAGGTGCAGGGCTGATCGTGTAACTTGACCGCTCGAGGTGGTCTGCTCGCTTCTGTCGCTTCAATCATTTTCAAATTTCAATACTGCAAGTACCGTGCTTAGGATTCCGCTTCCTGCGTAAGTTCTCCAGCTGTAAGCATTTCTGTACAGATCTGGGCCAGGTGGTGGTACTGGGACGGCACGGGCACGACGGTTACGTCCCATGGAAGAGCCCATCCTGTTTCAAGACGATCAAAAAGGCACAGATGCTGAATGTGCCTAGTAACAGCCCTTTGTCTTGTTTCGAGCCCGACCACTGGTCCACTGGATGACCTGGTACATCGCTCGAACCAACGGTTGATCAAAGAACGGTTGACTTTGGTAGTTGTTGGGTTTGAGAAGGCCCAGAGTTGCTGAAGGTGTCTACTTGGAATTTTTCAACGGCCACTGCCTCAATGCCTACACCTCTGTCAAGTTCTTCAGTTGAATCCCACCGAACCATGGCGATTGCAAAGTCTCTTCATAAAACGGCAGCCATGATAGGAACAAGCTACGCGGTGCGAACACAGACCAGGACCAATGCAGGGGAAATAGCAGTACGGAGCAGACTCGATCACAATAAGCCCCATCTGAATGATTTCTTCAGCATTTGCTATATTCAAACGACTCGCAAGGTGACCTTTTATTGTTTGTTGCAGCAAACCGAGGGTGTAGTGAGTATGAAAGACGGAATCTATTGGCTACTGAGGAGGAACAGACGAAATGAAGCAGCGTCACGGTGGGCTGAGGGAAGTCCTTCCGTTCGCGATGCTGAATGGCGGGAGAAAACGAAAGCCTAGAGCTATAGGCTAGCAGAGGCTCATCAGAAGCAAATCGCCAGCTGTTTGTGTGGCAGTAGATTTAGCATGGTAGCGTGAACAATGGCCTTGTCTGTTTTGGTAGATAATTGTCAGCCAATGGTGGAGAGTCAACAACCTAACATATTATAGCAATTCGTTCAAGGCTCTGAATAAGGGCAAGCCCGGGTAACGCAGGTGGACTTGTTTTCAAATGCACAACGGGGATTTCTATCAGGAACCTGTGTCTCCTTGTGGGGGGAGACAAGTTCCTGATTCTGCAGAACTGTTTGCCAGTCTGCGACGTTCAGCCTCTACTACGTGAGTGACAATCAGTCAGCCACAGCAGCGAAATATATCAGGGATCTTATTGATGTGCGGGATATCAATATCTCCGTATGTATGAAATCACTAGTTCAATTAATTGATGCAGGACCAAGTGCTGACGGGAAGGTTGAGCCACACTCAGTGAGCTGCAGCATCTGGTGATCTGTGTACTTTGGTTGCCCACCTGGTGAAGAATCCTGATGTACACGTGTGGGGGAGTGGGCACTGGGAGAGAACAGAGAGGAACCGGCAGTCTGCAAGAAGATCACAAACTCTCAGGTCTTTGCAGATTCAGGCCCGTGCATGCAGTTCGCAGTCCACACGAGGAACGCAATGTGATCAATTGTAATGCTATGATGCATCGGGTTGTACAAGATGATTGGGTATAACAGCCGGTCCTGTCGGGTCGGCCCTCTTGAAGGAAAAGACGTGCGAGGACTACCAACCCCTGCGGAAGCCTTCGGGAACCATGGCCTGCAGCAAACAATGCATGAGGATGTGATGCATCTAAAACCATAGATATATTCAACATTGCCAGCAGAGGACACTTGGGTTGCACAGGGATTCTCTCCAAATCAGAAGGAAGAGCGCAGAGAGGGAGACAATGACGTTGTTGTCGCACAGAATAATTGACTTGCTAAACAAGCGCATTGTTCTGTTCTTTTCACTTTCACTCTAACTGGGGGCCTCTGATCGCACCTCGATCGATGCAGGCCAGAGGGTGTATTCATTGCAGCGGCGTAGCCGAGGACTGCCGAGTCTGTTCACCATGCCATGGTTGCCTGGTCACTGCAGCAGATGCATTCTGCAGCCCCACGACTATCGAGTTTGGGGGATACTGTCTGACCCACTGGGAGCCACTGCTGCAGATTCAGATACGGGCTGAGATTCAGATAACACATCTCAAGATCGTTCCTGAATCCTGACGATTGGGTAAGTCCGATTCCATCTCGATTCGGAAAAGGCAGCCGTCGTTTTGGATCGACTTATTCTCACATCTGCTGGGAGCTAGAAGATGTCAGCACCTATTCACATTCGGTGAGTGGCTAAATGATGGATGACTTGTACCGACTTCTATGTTAGTTTCACTGATATGTGCATTGAGCTAGCTGGGTTGTCGGGTTGGTGTACCGACTTCTATGTGAGTTTTAACCTTCCGGCCTAAGCGCGATCGCTGCCATGTTTAGTCAACTCTCCACCACAGTCTTGAATAGACCAGAGGCCACAGGGCAGGGTGACGGATTTGAGATTTCCTAATCAGAAAAGGTGACATACACGCGGACAACAGATGAGCTGGAAGATATCACCGGAACAAATTACGCGCGGACCAAGCATCGACAGGAAATCAATTGATAGGAGGTCAAATTACCTGTCGGCTGTCATAAGTCCGCGGGATTCCAGTACAGCCAGCACTCAAGCTATACAGGTAGGGTGGCGCACGCCTCGGATATTCGTATACTTGCCGACACCCTCTGGCCTGTGTCGGATCACAGGTTCACCGCGAATCGACGCCGCAGCGGGTTGCCTCTGTGGAGTCGCGCTGCCAATGCCTACCAGCCTGCAGGTCAAAGTAAGGTACGGAAAACCTCGCTCTTCGCCACTAGACACCTTCAGCAGCCTGCATACTGGCGGACTGGCAGTCTCGACTCAGAACTACACAAGACTAAGATTCTTTGACGCGTCCCAAGATGGCAGTTCGACATCTGCGCCAAGTCTTGAACTGGGTTTAGCTGGCCGATGCGGTGGAGATTGGGGGATCAACCTTGGCTCGCTAGCACGACCTAACTTCCTACACTACTACAGCCGAAGATCGACCGCTACTTTCGTTTATTGTCGCAGTACGTTTTTAACTGCAGTCGATGATTGGTCTTACCGGTGAATCCCGCCATCAAGAGTATCATGGTCGAATCTGATTGGGACGGAAAAAGATGACCCTACTGGGTTCAATATTACCTGTCAAGGATTCAGTGCGGGCGAATCAGACTCCTGAAGAGCAGCGGTACTGAAGAACAAAATGTGAAGGAACACAGGGCACTGGTCAGTCGGCTTCAGATCACCGGGTAAGTATTTTGTCAGCTACCTGCCATTAGTGGACCGAGTGAGAGGGGTCGATCTGTTTGACATGAACAGGGGGAGACAGGAAGGTATAGGTCAGATACACTAATGGCAAGTGTCTAGTCCAATGGGGGAATGCTCTGCACGGGCTAGAAAAGGGAAAAGAGGAGCCGGCAATGAAAGCAAAGACAGGAAAAAGCAAAGACGGACAAGCGTTATTCCAGCTCTGGAGAGTTCGCAGACTGTATAGACTCTGTCCGACTGAACACACCCCATCGGCCACGCCAGTTTTCACTGGGTCAGTTTAATATCGATTATCTCATCGAGAGGAAGCCTCCCAGCGCATTGGTGGGATCGTGAGCAGGGATAGCGAAGATGACAGGACCCGAGACAATGGAGCGTGCTACCGGCGGCAGCAACCAAAAAGGTCCATCGACGCTACTGTCCTGCCGTCACCAATCATGCTTCCTCTCCTATCACCGTTCGTTCCTTGGGCAGCAGATCCCAGGCTCGCCCGTCTGCGTTCTCCGGCGGGCCCGGTCGCCTGCTTTGACTGCACGAGATTACTATCTCGTTCCTCTATTTTATTTAATTAAATCGGATCTAGACTGGCCATCCTCACCCTTTGCTGTGTTGACTGGCCAATTCCTTCTCTCCGGCTTACAATACATATATCTGACGTGCTCGTCTTTGATCTCCCTGGCAACTTCCTCCAGAGAAACCACGACCGTCTCAATCTTTACACCTTCAAAACCAAATTTCACGTCCACTTTTTTTTTTATAATTTCTTTCTGTGACATAACCTGTCAAGATGAAGAATTCCGTGCCCATTCCATCCGACGTGTGGGAGGAGAAGAAGGCCTTGATTGCTGCTCTGTACAAGGACGAAGAATGGCCGCTCAAGCAGGTCATCAAGAAGATCCGCTCAGATAACTTTAACCCGAGGTAAGTATTCGTGATTGGCAGCACGTGCAATCTTTCTAATGCCCTTTCAGCGAGACCCAGCTACGAAGCAGATTGAAGAAGTGGCGTGTCACCAAACCCTCTCGCCAAACAAGAGAACGCACGAAAGAGAGTGTCCGCAGCCCTAAAGCCCGAAGTCATTCCGAGAACACGAGCCCCAGCTCGACCATATCGAGACCGTCAGCGACAGGGGTTTCCATGTCCGAGATGGAATGGTACATGGCCAACAGGGCATACGGGCCGCATGGGTTGCCTACCGTCTGGGCGCCTGCTTCGAGTCATTCGTCACCTATAAGCTCGCCAGGGAATTCCCGTGTCAATTCACATGCATCATTGGCAATCCCCAGTTCCGCTTCCTTCGACTCATCTCAGACGTCACCTTTGGATACCGCTTTCGAACAGCTGGCAACGACACCCACTTTTGCAAATTCTCCGTACGCCCTGGACACCGACTCATGTTTGCAAACGCCCGTGTCAGCGACCACTGCGGCTCCGCCAGCCATTGCCTACTGGTACCCAGCCTTTGAGACGAGTACTCGAGCTCCATCGATCTCATATTACACCACGGGTCCTCTGACTCCACCAATTGATTCCATGATGCACCTGCTCCCTCCACAGATGCCCGAATTCCAGGCCATCAGACGTACACTGGCCTCTCCATATGAGCCAGATCTCACTTCAGCAAAGGTACGGCAATCGCAGAAGTCTCTTGATAGGAAGGTCTCCCTTCCGCCGAAGATAAGCACTAGCCAGTACTCAAGTGGCGTGGTCACGCCAACATCTCCTTTCTTTCAAGGGCAATTTTCTTGCCCTGAATCTCTTGTGCATCGATCAAGTATCGATTTCTGATGCTCAGACTGCCACAAAATCATTCTATCTTTACATTCTCGCCGATGTTTTGTTATATATCTTATTTTCTTGTTTGCCTTTTGTGTAGGGTCACTTGGACATCGCCACAAAAAGTTCTACCCTTCGAATTCGGAGTTTCAGGGCCGGCATGTATAGTGGGTGGGGTGGGCGCAAGTGTAATGAACTGGGGTAATGATTTGGAATTCATTTTTCGGCCCGGTTATCGTACTCCGTACATAGATCGTTAAGAAAGAAAGAAAAAGAGTACCTATTTTTAGCGTTTATACAGGTCAACTTGTCTAAACTAGCCTCGTCTCTGCTCGTGATTGAAATCCGCCGACAGTACACCCTCTGGCCCGCATTGGATCGAGCCGTCAGGGCTTTTGTATCTGGTAAAAAGGGAACCGTGGTAGAATCTAGTACATTAAAACCTGGACAGGGATGTTCGTAGCCTGGATCTGGGTCCTTATCCGACAACCTCGGTATCTTCCCATCTCGGTCACGACTAACCTTGCGGGGACTCCATGGACTTATCATCTGGAGTAGATCTGCAGACCTCCTTGGAGTCTTGACATTCTCCCATCACAATCAAACCTCTGCGTAATTACTGATCCATTATAATGCGCGCTATCCAAGTAAAGAAATACGTCAAGGTATGCCCACTCTATTTTGTCCAGGCCAGAGAATAACACATACAGGGACCCCTCGACCTCACTGTCTCCACCCTCCCGACTCCATCTCCCTCCCCCTCCGCCTACCTAATCGAAATACACTCCGCGGGGACAAACTTCTTCGACCTGCTCCAAATCCGTGGCAAATACCAGCACCAGCCCCGTTTCCCCTGGGTCAGCGGCTCCGAGTTCGCAGGCACAATCGCCGCCGTCCCGACGTCAGGCGGGCCATGGAAGTACAAGGTCGGAGACCGGGTGTTTGGCGCCACACAGGGCGCGTATGCGACGCACGTCCTTGCTTCGGAGTCAACCCTACTCCCTGTGCCGCAACGGTGGAGCTTTGAAGATGCGGCCGGGTTGTTTGTCACGGCCCCGACGTCGTACGGCGGCTTGGTGCACCGAGCGAATGTACAGCCTGGGGAGTGGGTGCTTGTCCATGCGGCTGCTGGGGGTGTGGGCCTCGCGGCGGTGCAGATTGCAAAGGCCCGCGGGGCGACAGTAATCGCGACGGCGGGGACGGAGAGGAAGAGGGAGGTTGCGAAGGCGTTTGGGGCCGACTACGTGATTGATTATCGGGATAAAACGTGGCCTGAGAAAGTCAAAGCGCTTTGTGCGGAGCACCGGCAGGGGAATGGGAAGGCCGGCGTGGATGTCGTCTACGATCCCGTGGGCATGATCGATGCGAGCTTGAAGTGTGTTGCGTGGAATGCCAGGCTGTTGGTTATTGGGTTCGCGGCGGGGAGTATCGAAAAGGTGGCGCTGAACCGAGTATTGTTGAAGAATGTTAGCATTGTCGGGTTGCACTGGGGGCAGTATGCGAAATTTGAGCAGGAGACGGTGGGTGTCGTTTGGAAGGGCATCTTTGATCTGATTGCGCAGGGCAAGTTCAAGGGGACAGCGTTCAAGGACGAAAGCTTTGTCGGGCTGGAGTGCGTTCCCAAGGCACTGCAGGCGCTTGGAGGTCGGGAGACCTGGGGAAAGGTCGTGGTCCAGGTCATAGACGATAAGGCTAAGCTGTGACTGCTAATTTAGGTTTTACTATATACTGATGTAGGTGCGCAAGGAGCCATGCTCTAGTAGGAATAGAAGAACACGGACTATGAAGGCCCTGGATTCGTCTGGCAACTTGAACATGGTTCGCGACCCAAAGGTCCAGCAATCCAACTCCGCTCAGGCACAGCCACAAGACGTGGCATGTATTGACCGTTCTCCGTAAAGAGTCCGTGGATGCGTCTGCTGCCACACGTCCGGAGACACATGGCAAGCTAACAGGGACAGTTGGGTTGCTCAGTTGCGTGAGGAGTGATGGCGATGAAATATCACGAGGAACTCATGGCCACTTACCACTGGCTACAGTCTGTCTGCTACGTCATGAGTAGAGGCAGTCTATAGCCAGTGGTAAGTGGCCATGTCTAGGATTCTGTACTCGTCAGAACGATTGAAGATGTTGGCGGACAGAAAATCTCACCGAGTGTGTGGGAGTATTCTGCACTAAGGGTTAGTCATCTTTGACACGTGACTGTGTCTTCATGCTTGAGCTGACAGGGGTCGTGAGCCATTACAAACATGAACCAATTGTTTTTCCGCGTATATGTCGTCTTTTCTGAGTAGGAGATATGGACGGGTTTAAAAGTAAAATTATAGATGGAATTGACATGCTATATATAAACAGACAGGAATCAGGACATATAACACGCCTGTATGTTTAGCCAGGCTAGCGTGCATTGCCATTGCCCGAGAGGCTGTGCGGAAACGGTTAAAGGATGCAGGGTGCTGCGCCCTCCCCCCACCCACATGGAGATTGGACCCTTGTGAAGTCATCATGAGCTTTCCGGGGCACAGATCGATCTCTGACGAGAGACAGCCTTGAGTCCTGATCGTAATCACCTGAGATGGTATAAGTTCATGACTCTTGGACACCGTCACTGTTTTTCTGCCTGAGATCATATTCAGGCGATTTTTAGGCTGTGTTTGCACATAAGCTTTTCTTGCCAGGCAATATCAGACAAAGCAGCCTGTGGTGGTTTTTTCTTTGAAGACAAGTACAGCGGGAGAACAGTGTCTCCTTCTATTTTCGCCACAAAGACTGACGGCATATATTAGGTGCACTGCTACCCACCTTTCTCATCCTCATCTCAACGCATATTCATCTCGATCTCTGATTTTATTTTCTTGCCAGCCCAAACCCAGAACAAAGCATGAAGATAACGCTAGCGTCTGCTATAGCACTTCTTCTGTCCACGACCGCCACCTCTCTTACGGTTCCAAAGTCAGACGTGGCCATCCGCCATGGCGAACTCACCACACCTTCCTACGACGCCATAGATCTTGAAGGCAAAGATCTGCAGAAACGACGTGGAGGTGGAGGAGGTGGCAGAGGCGGAGGCGGAGGCGGGAGCAGTGGAGGCGGAGGTGGTGGGCGTACGGGTGGACGTACAAATGGAGGTGCCTCCAATCATCCAGGAGCTCGTCCAGGGTCAACAAGCACGACTAGTAACCGTGGAGGCACATCGCCCGGTGGCTCTGGACAACGGCCCACGTACGGACGTGGTGGTGGGTATTACAGCGGGGGTGCGACTGTTCCTTATCAATCGGGCATTCGGTCACCGTTGGGTATTACTCCTTTCTTCCTCCCTGTCGCTGCGCTGGCCTTCTTCCCTGGTCTTTGGCTCTACGGAGCATACGCCTACCATTACAACCACCCTTATCATTATATCAACGAGACCACGAACAGAAACGAATCGATGCCGGTCATCTGCTTGTGCGGAGAGCATGCGACATGCGGATGCGATGACAACAGCAATAACACGTACTACGAGTCGCTCTTCAACGGTACGCAGCCTAAGAACAGCAGCATCGTCAAAGTCACGAATGTCAATGGTACGCAAACCATTGCCATCAATGGGACCCTAACCAACGGGACAACAGCGGACGAGGATACCGTGGATTCGGGTGCTACCATGACGGTAATGCAAGCCAGCGGGTACTGGGCGATGGCTGCCATTGCTATCAGCGCGGTTTATACTCTGTGAACGGAGGGCTTCATGGAGGTAGTCTGGTTGACCGTCTTGATACCCAGTTGTGCTCTTTCTATCGTTTACTAAACTTGCAAGTTGACTTAGATTAGATACACCCCGTGGCCTGCATTGATTATTACTGCCTGAGCACGTGTATCAATAGCGCAAAATATAAATCACACAGCATCAACCTGAACAGCTACATAATAAAACGCTTAATGAATCAGATGGCCCTTATAACAATCGAACAAAAGAAATAATCCCCATATGAAGCTAACCTAGCAGAGTAAGTTAACTGGGAAGGTCAAAACCAATAAGAAATCTCCGCGGCTAACATATTCCCTCCTTGCCACCATGTCAACGTCTCTCGGGAACCATTTCTCAAGAAGCGCGTGCAGGGTCTTTGCGCGTGCACAAAGTTAGCTTGTTTAATAAAAAAAACCCCTTTAAAATAGGTACACGGTTTTTTTAGTTTACCAAGGGACACTTTTATACAGCACTCTGATAGATAGCACGAACAAGTCTGCTAGTAATAACAAGTCCCAAACAGCGTCAAATCTGGGGGCTATTTCATTCACTCCATTAGCACGGGCTCAACGAAGTGAGCAGTAGGCGGCTGGTTGAAGATTAGGTCGGAATTGCACCCGCATTTTGGCCACTTTCCCGAGATAGAGATGCCCGTGCTCAATCAAAGCAACTGTGGAACAACTAGCGTGTCCGGGACTCTGGGTGAAACCTGTACCGTATGCGATGAACCGTGGAGCCAGTGTTTGTTGACTGCCGCACCATCAGCAATCATTTTCTGTTGCAGAATCCGGAGCAGGTAGAGCATAATATGTTGATGCCAGGATATCGCGCTTGATGGGTCCTGGGAAATTGAGCAACGTAATGCATCGCGCTAACATTCAACGTTCTAACAGAGGACCAATCAACATGCTCGATGAAAAGCTTCGTCTGCAGACTAGAGAACCGTGGTCCAGTTTATCTTGACCAGCAGGAACGGCGACAGGAACGGCGTGACGGGCGTCTAACTTTTGCGTGCCAATCGCCCCGCCAGCCAGCGGTGCTCGGCCCCTTTTTGTCTCATCCTTGACCTTAGCTATCGTTTGTCTTATCTCTACTACTGCATCCAACAACTCTCGTTGCCATTGCCCTTTCTTCTTTTCCTCGACTACCAGGACTGTCACTCGTTCCCAGTCCCATTCGCTCTTTGTCTAGCAACCTATTTACATACCTCCGACGCGACGATCAACAAGTCATCCACTCCTTCCTTCATTCCATAAAAACAAAACTATCAATCGCAAACAAACAACCACTTCAGTACCCTCTACAGCGTCTCAATCCTCAACTCCAAGTCAACTACCAAATTACATACAAAATGCAATTCTTCAAGACTGTCCTCCTGGTCAGCGCCGCCTTTACCCCGGCCCTCGCAGCCGTCGCAAACGGTGGCAGCGGCGAAACCGAATCCTTTACCTCAACCCGCACGACAACCGTCACCGTCACCGTCAAGACGTCCACCACTTCTACTTCCACCCCCACCTATACGCCCACCTCCACGAGCACGCCCGTCATCGCAACCTCCTCGTCTACCGCCACGCCCACGCCCACTCCCTGCAGCTCCTTCGTGATCACCAAGGTCCACTCGTCCACTGTTGCGCCATCCTCTGCGCCTTCGTCTGTCGGTGCTAGCTCTGGCTCTGGATCGTCGACCATGTCTGTTTCGCCCTCGGAAACCCCCTTCACCGGTGCTGCTGTCCCCGGCGCGAAGTTCTCGGGTGCCGGTGTGGTTGGCGCTGGGTTGGCCGCTATGGCGTTCTTGCTCTAAAGGCCTCCATGTAAGGTTGAGTGACTTCTTCCCGTATTTTGATACCTTTCTTATCGGGTCTCGTGTTCTGGGTCTGTTCTGTTCCCTTCGGGTACATAGTTGGGAAGGAGCATGTACATAGATCGCATTTTCTTCTACATTTCTTTTTGACCCTCACGCCTGCGGAGGTTTATCTTATGAATGGTATATTTCTGGCTTTTGATGTTGTAATGCACGCGGTATATTAAGATTTAATAAAGGAACCAGCAGATAATGTACAAAAGAGATGTAGATATATGTGCTTGGTCACCAATGGCACATGCCAGGATTAAGCAACATTGATTCCGCAAGTGAAGTCTAGCATCATAGCGAATGAGAGGGACAGTGGGCGTCAATCTGTCACTAAAGAATCAGTATATAGAAAGTTCCGGCCCATCAACGAACGTAATTGGGGTATAGTGCAGTAGAGAAACGAAAGAACGAGTCGCAGAAGTATCAAAGTGGTCAAGTAAAGTGATGAGTGCAGTTGATGTAGGTCAGCAGCACCCTGAACGTTTCCTGTTATGTGATCCGCTTACTCGGAAGACATCCTCCCACTCGCCCATGCCCGCCCTCCAGTCACCGCCTCCTCGTCGTCTTGTATTCCTGCGGTGAAGCGGAACAGCACTGTCTTCAATCGTCATTTGGCTTTTTATACTTGAAGCATCGCTTGTGCCATGGCCATAAGGACTGCCGTCCCCGTATTGGATACCGCTCTGAGGGTCGTCGGGGTCGATCTCACCAAGTTCAATCTTGGTAAGAATAATGCGCGCTAGTCGTTGGAAGAGCTCTTCCACGCCGTCTCCTGTGAGGGCTGAAACCTCAACCACCGCGGGAATATTAGACCCGGCAGCCCACTGAGAAGCTTCTTCGATGCTGACTTCCCGACCGTGCGAGGCATGCGTGGCTGTCATTCTGGTTGCTGTCCCAAAATTGCTCGAGCGAAATGAGCCAGCGGTTGATTCGTATGGAAATGATGATTGCGGGCTGGAAGTGCTAGAAGGGGTTATAGGGCGACGCATTCCATCCTCGTGGTAATCGTCTTGTGTAAGATCTGTTTTATTCCCGGCAAGAAGAACAGTAAGATATGGGGACGCAAGGGCGCGCGCGTCCATTAGGAAAGTCGGAAGAGAGTTGAAAGACGTGTAAGATGCGACATCGTAGATGAGAATCGCTCCCGCAGCGCCTCGATAGTAGGACCTCGACACTGAGCGAAACCTCTCCGTCCCTGCGGTGTCCCAGAGTTGCAACTTGATCCTTGTCCGTCGGGGCCCGGTGCCCAATTTCACGACCTTAGAAGAGAACTCGACTCCGATTGTTTGCGACGATAGCACTCTCCCTACAGGCGCAAAGTCAGTGACAGAGGCCAGGGAAAGTCAATGCTGCGGCTGTACATTCGTTCTTTACATATCGGTGAAGCACGCAGGACCTGAGCTGATGTAAGCTTAATCCAGAATGTGGGTATTTGAACTCACTTTCCGGCACCACTCGGTCCCAGGAGAATAATCTTCGCGAGATAATCATACATGCTCTCCAATTCCTAGGCCAGGTCAGAACACGATGAGATGCGGGAGATGCGGGCGGCATAAGCATGTCGAGCATACCTGATTTCGTTCTGGAAGAGTGGAGGCCGAAGAGACATTTGAATGCCCCCTGTGTCGCGCCATCGTGCCTGGCACCGGCCATCCAGATGGTAAAAGGAAGGAGGGCGGGGGATGAAGGAGCGGCAGTTGCCCTTATGATGGGGTCAGTTAGTCTCGACGCCCCGCCCAGTCCGGTAGGTAGGTAGTGCATCAGTTGCTCCACCATGGTTTTGGAATCAGCTTTTATCGCTATATCTGTTTCTGGAATAATTCGTCCGCAAAGTGCACATCTTTCTTGTTCGAATTGACTTATTCTCCAAGCGTGTGAGTTTGGCCTCACTATTCAGGCACAGTATGCGCTGCTCAACCGAGGCTGAAACGCCCACCACATGTGCTACAGCCGAAGATATTGGCATTACAGGATGAAAGACTGTCGCGGACTTTCTCGTCCTGGGAAGTGCCATTATGGTACACTACTGTCGTTACGTCCTCGAACGGAAAGCAGGGAAGCTAAAATACGGATCTGACGCGTTGCACAATCAGTGATGTCTCTTGCGCATCTGAACCAGGGTGCTCCATCCCTGGCAGCAGCCCTTACTCATGGGATGCTCACACCAACAGCACTTCACAGGACCAGACTGTATATCCGCATGCTGAAACTTTGGCGCGTTCATGGACGGCAGCAGCCTGTTGGCCAAAGAGTTTTGGTCCCAAGTAGCGAGTTCTTGATCCAAGGCAGCCGACAAAGGATCAGAGACGGCCAATCCCGCATACACCTCGGATGGCATATCATGCCAAAACTTGCACTGACAGCAAATTACAAAAAGTTTAGGAACAAGTTGCCCTAGGTTCCTCTTTTTCGGCGCTTTTTTTGATTCTCCTTTCGACTTGGCAGTGACGACCTCGCCGTCTGAAACTCTCGATCTGATGGATGCAATTTCGTCTGCGGTATTGTAGTCTGATTCGGAGTTTTCATCCTTGCTCTGACTTGGAGGCGGCCTGCCGTCAAGCTTCAAATCCGGCGATCGTGACAACGCTCTGCTGTTTCGCTTGGGGCTCTTGGGGGGCACGGTTGGGGAGGAGTCTCGTTCCCGACGCGGGGGCGATAAAGTTCCAATCGCTTTGGGCTTGCCACCGCTAGGGCCTATCACTTTGTTTAGTGAGTTATAGAAGCGCGGCTTCATTAGTAGTGCTGATGGAGCTAACTGACTAGTAGGCTTCGCGCCACCCTGTATAACGCGGCGAGCATTTCTTGTCTCCATCACGGATAGTTCACCGATAACATTATGGCTGGAGGCATTCGAGCTCGGCAGCGCGTTAGGTGAACCTATCGCACTAATTTCTGAGCGAGTCGCTTGTTCAGCGACAGGCAGCGTTTGCGGCCGTACCGTATCAGGGACCTGAGGGCTCGTTAGGGTCACTGCTCTGGGGCTACTTGTAGTGGCGGAGTGCGATTCCGCTAGAGGAGAGGATTTGAATTTCTTCTGATGCCTCTGCACGACCCCCTCCGTGGACGCTCTGGCTAGTGGGCTTCTAACCCTGAGCGTGGTTGAGCGTGATCTATCGTCGCAAACAACCGGAATCGAGTCCTGATGGGCGCGTGAAACGTGTCCAGGCGATGATGGCATTGCACTTCTTCTCTTGGATGCTAGGCTCGCCGTAAACAATTCCCGATCTAAATCTGCGGGCGCAGACGATGATATACTTTCGGCGGCGCCCTCTTCTCCGTTTTGCTCGGGGTTCTTGGGAGCGATGGTTGCTGTTACTAGCGACTGCGGTGACTCTCTGGGTGGCCCAAGCGTGGCGTTCTTCCTCGCAGCTAGCTCTTCGGATATTGCTGTGCTTAGACGTTCTGGCAAGGTTGAGGATAAAGCTGGAAGCGTACTTGGCTCGCCATTGCTACTGAACTGATCCTCGGCCCCATCGTTGGAGCTACATCGAGACCTTGACCTTCGCCTTGAACTTGAGAAGATAGACGAAAGACGCGAAGGGGGTCGAGATCGCGACTCATCACCGCTCACACTTGATGACCTACTTGAACTCCCAAGAGGCTGTTTCTTTGACAGTTTCCGGGACTCTCTTCTCAGTACCGATGTGTCCCCAGTACGTTCTGCCTCTTCCAGTTTGAGCAGCCGTTTTTCAAGCTCCAGTCTTTCCGCTTCCAATCGCTTCGTAGCTCGTCTATCCTTTTTCTGGACGACGGCGACTCTCGGAGTGGCCCGATCCTGTTTTGGCGGCGGGTCTGGGAGCGGCTCCAGATGGAAAGATTGGAGCGAAGAGTGTTTTGATTCCAGAGTTTGCAGGCCCGTGGTTTTTGAGCTTAAAGACGAGTGTGAATGACGACTGTGTCCTGTAGAGCTGATCTCGGACGGTCCGTAGTTTGCATAGTCGAAGGAGCCGCCGGTGGCCACCTCCTTTATCCATTAATAACACCACACAGACTCGCCAAAGTGCCGAACTCACATCGCCGCCTTTATCGATATGGAACATTCGCTGCAACTGCTGCGTAATAGAGGGCCTCCGAGGCCTTCGGTTCTCACTATTTGAGTCGATGAGCGCTGGCATCTTGAGACCCTAACAATTGCGCAAGATCTAACAACAAAGCTGGATGGCAATCATTCTCAGTGAAATATAACAAGACACAGGTTCAGCTCGGCACCGAGAAGACAGATAATATTAAGCGATCAAGTCGCACAGCTGACCCTAGCAGATCGGGCATAAAAGGTCAGCCATGACAGCGAACACAGAGATTTCTACAGCTCAAATGGCATGGGTGCACAGGTCACATGAAGGTGAAACCTGAAAGGGAACTATGGTGTGAGCACAGAGCCAATTGGCCAAGGCCGCTGCTCGATCTGACTATTGATAGTATGTACGCTTGCTAAAAATACCCCTCCAGTTTTCTTCGAGTCCCTCCGCAAAGGCGACAGGCAAGCTTGGAACAAGTATTAATGAATGTGCCGGCGGCAAAGTACACTGAGTATAGATTGAAACTGTTGACCAAAATGACTATAGTGACAGGCAAAGATCAGCCAGTACCGTACGGAGTAGGTACGCTGACTTCAGCCTCAGGCCCTCAGCTGATCTTGCTTGCTTTTTCTTGCCTGTTCATCTGAGAGTCATGGAGCTGTGCCCAATCTCCATGGCTCTCTGATGACATGTTTGCCCTTTCAAGTAATACTAGAGTACAGCCACACTTTCCAGATATATAAAGTTGGACGTCATTTCAAATGAACCCAGCACCATACCCCGCGTCATCCTCCGAAAACCGCCCGGCATAACCAACTCACAACAAAACCTGCAAAAATCTAGCTAGCTTTATGGCAGACAAATCGTACGCCCCTCCAGCTCCACCCGGGCCACCTCCTGGTTACGATGCAAGGCCTCCGCCACCATATCACAACTGGCAGGACGCAGTTCCTGACACTGCAGAATTTCCGCCGCCCCCAACATCAGGGAATTACTACTCGAATGCTGGGAATGCCTCTGCCGATGACGCCGAGCGTGCGCATAATTTTTGCAATAGCACTCCGCTGTATCGTCCTGCCCATCCGCCCACTGTTGTATACAACTCTGCTCGGAACTATGATATATCGCCTATACCTCCGGCTGAGTTCGGTGGCAGCATCTCTGGACACCACGGACGCTGGAAGGGGCTTACCAGAGACGGGAATGGCGATTGCGCTCTGCTAACGAACCTACCTCTCTATTTTGCACTGGCAGACTCGCCATTCGTCACGAAAGGAAAGAAGACTATCTACTTTGAAGTCAAACTGCTTGGTCTCCGTGCAGGGCCTACACCGAACGATGCTAGTGGGCTATCTGTAGGATTTGCGGCACAGCCGTACCCAACTTGGCGATCCCCGGGATGGGAGAGAGGCAGCCTCGCGGTATTCTCGGACGACGGATGTCGCTTCACGAATGATTCGTTTGGCGGGAAGGACTTTACAGATGCGTTCAGAGTGGGCGAGACCGTCGGTGTCGGAATGACCTTTGAACTTTCGGAAGACCTTGTTTCCGTACCAAAGCTGAAGGTCAATATATTCTTTACCCGAAATGGCCAGCACTCCGGCGGATGGGATCTGCATGAGGAGATAGATGAGGAAGCCGGCGGTGTCGAGGGACTCGGTGGTGAAGCTGACCTGTACGCGGCTGTCGGATTATTTGGGGGAGTTGACTTTGAAATATGTTATCATCCCGAAGGCTGGCTCTATCATCCATGGTGAATTGAACTAGCATGAAAGAAAAGTGGCTGACATCGATTCAAACAACCCTTTTCAAATTCTACCTCAAGCGGTAGCCACTACAGCCCGCGGTGCTTAAGGCCAGAGGAGGTATAAACGCGCAGATACCCACAGAGCAAGACTATTTTAGGCTTAATTTTATTGCATGGAAGGCAATATGGATAGAGCGCTGTTGGGGCTCTCTACCACAAAATTCAAACATGATCCGTTTTGTTGTATGGGCAAGTCCATCCAGATCCATGAGACGTGCTGTCAATGTTAATATGGTACAGACAGTCAGCAGTCAGCATGTCAACCAGTATACACGTAAATTATAGGCGCCCATATGTGCTGTATAGTATGGTAGGCTACCCGTGGCTCATTAACTTGTGTCCTGAGCAGCTCTCTGCATCTTATTCCTTTTCTTACCTCCATCAGCATGTTGAGCTTGATATTCACTGAGCGGCCCCCGCGCGAAGAAAAAGACAGATTGTATGCGTTGGTTGTCCGAGCTGCCATAACTTGGTTATCCTCAGCTGCCGGCAATAGAGCCACTTGTACCACTGCAGTAGTGTAACAGCAGCCAATGGTGCTTAGGAGTTGAATTTTTATGTTCAATTTCTGCATTTCGCGGAGACGCCACAACTCTGCGAATTGCCATCTCGCCTAGTATCTCGCTGCCTATATAGGCCCTCGGAGCTTCCTAGCTAGAAATCCTCCTTGCCTGGGCAGGGTTGGGTTGCATCGTGCCACTGGAAACTATCACCGTGCTTTAAATGGCTTTTTTGCCTCTGCTGGATTTTCATGAGCTTTTGAAATATCAAATGCACTGTGACAGCCCGGCTGTAGTATGCCAGCCGCCCGGACAGCCGCCCGTGTAGGTCGCTTCAATGACTGCCTTTAGGGTTCGACGAACGGAAAAGACAGACCGATTCTTCCTACATAGATAGCAGTAAGCTCACCACTCCCTGGCTGTATGAAATACACCCGTACTGACACCTGCGTACAGCTCTTGGTCTATGCTTGTGCGCTCTAAACTCCCAAAGCCCCGAAACCTGAAAATTTATGATTACATGCAATAGCTACTCGTCACTTACCTCACAAGTTCTACAAACTAGCTAGCGTACACTCTCCGCAGGTCAGACTCTCACGTACCATCACCGCAGCCCAAAACAGTGAGACCATGTTTGACTAGGGTCTAGCCACACTATTTTATAACACGCCTGATCGCATAACTCTCTAGACCGGGTAGGAGGGGCATGAACGGGCGTTTGACGTGGGTGAGCAGTGCGTGATACCAGAGCCCGGACGAGCTGCACGATCAACCAGGAGGATTCCCTGCCGATCCTTTACCACGAAGAAAGAACTGTACATTAGTGCTTCGGGGGGAAGCACGAGGTACATCTCCGGGTGTCTTAGGGAGCTGCCGGTAGCAACTGACGTGCAGAAGAGAGCCAGGCGCTTAGCCGCTGCGCCATGTACCTGAGATTTTGACGTCATGGTACCTTATTCTGGAGGATGCTGTGATCCCTGGCTTCCAAGTCAGAGTGAGGACAAGGTTGCATTGCGCCACCCTGTATGCGTTTGCATATTCGAAGGTATGCCAGCTACCCGGACAGTCGCCAGTGTAAGTGGATGAGAAAGATAAGGGAATTCCACCATCAACGTGGTAGTAGAAGCGAGTGCAAATAGACCGTAGTGCTACTGGGTCTCAAGCAGGCAATGGTACCTGCATAGGTGTCGAACTGCATCCCGGTTGCCGAGGACGGCCGTGCCTTAGATTCTCGAAAGGACTTTAGATGTTACGGACTCGCAGTCAAATCTGCTACTAGAAATCTCCAAAGATCACATGGAAGACATCTTCTAAAACAGACTCGCTTGATTCACGAGTCAAGCAAAGACTCCTGGGAGACATGGAGTCTAGAGTCGAACGGAAGAGCGAGAAACAAGAGCGAATGAACTGTTTGCTCTTATTGCATTTGCACGGTTATTAGGTGCATTAGCGTTGCAGTAGTGCATGTCACTAACCAGCCCATGAAGTGATCACAACCCTACCACAATGGGGAACTTCCAAATAAGCTGTGACCACGGAGCGCTGATTTGGTTGGCGATAAGCTGTCTTTGAACTTTTGAAGATCACTCCTTGACAAACAAGGAGCTCCTCCGTGAACGTTTCAGCCTCCCGCAAAACTAGTGCAGTACGGCTTGACATTTTATCGTAAGATGAGAAATAATAATAGTACTGTGAGACTGAAAGACTGCTTCTCGGCCACTAAAGTCTACCAGGCAAGTGTGGAGTCTAGTGGCGGCGTATATACTCCACCATTGTTAGGACATTCAGCAATTGGAGCTCAAGCTAGCTCATTATTTTCGATTTCCTCGATGCAAGCCCTGGTCGTCTGCTTCGGAACATGTCGGTAGCATAATGAAGGTCATAATGGAGTTATCATTATTATCTCCCCGAAGAGCCTTTAGCAACGCAAGGGTTGATAAATTCGCAAGAAGCCGAGGAAAATGCTCGTGCTATTTCTAGCGGGTAATAACCGGGATCCAACTGCCCGCGACGCGAACTAACACAAACTATCAATGATGCAGACTGCATTCGATCCAGAGTAGATGATCGGGGAAAGGTACTGATATGTGATGCATACCGACAAGTGTTTAGATTATATCCTTGAATTTCGGTTGTTGAGACGAACTTTGTCAATAATGAGGCTGGAGACGGCACACGCAGGTTGCGGCAGTTCAACCTTTCAGGATAGGTTAACGATAGTTAGCCCGAGAAAACGTCCTGTCCAGCTGCTGGAGGCTTGGGCTGCGGGCAGTGGAGTGCCGGAGGCTAAGATAGTAGTAGCGTAGTATTCGAAGAAACTCAAGAAATTCAATTCCCGTGTACTCCGCATCATGAGGAAACAATTGGCATTGCGTCAGTCGTGTCCGCAGAGGTTGTTGCAGCAGGTTTCTCCAGGAGATATCGCACTTCATATTGGGATGGAGGTCCAGACTCCAGACTCATGCTCTCGCGAGCGAGTCGGCGACGCTACAATTATATTGTCACGGAAAGGTTCGCTCGGCCGTTCCACCACTCTGTGCCATCTGTGGGCCTTCAGCGCATGGTCCGTGCAGCCGAGATACGCGTCTGTTTCACCCCTCAAACTGGGTGAGCAAATCAACTCGGCATCCTTCATCTAGAGATGCGGTGCTTGCTATTTCTGGTAAGGAAGGATGCACCGACGGAGTGCCAAGAGGTAGCGACCTACTTTGTGGCTGCTAGAGGGCTGCAACGTCTGCGCGGCGTCAATTTGTTGGGTCTTCTCCTTCGGCTCATGTTCCGAGGTAACCAAGATGGGATATCTGATGATGCCCGTCACGTCTGGACAGGGCAATTATAATATGGCAAGCCATACGGCAGGCCTGGTGGAACAAGACCAGCCTAATATCGTACTTGGAATATTAGATAGTGTACTTTGAGTTTCCCAATGCAAAACGACCCTGGACTGGAATGCAAGCCTTCATCATAATAGCAAGGGTGGTGACGCTCGAAAGTCTTGGTTGAACCCCGTTCGAGGTGTCTGCAGGACTCTTGATAACCATTGGCAGGATGCCTGGCTGTGAACACCCGTCTGTGCGACAGGATTTGACTAGAACCTCAACTTAGCTTATGCAAAACATAATCCGTCTAGGATCGGCTGACTCAATTGACTTTTAGCCGGGCGAAGAGAAGTGTCCTGTAGATAGGGGTTCTGCGAGAGACAAGTCTCGGTCCAAATGGGCCCATCATTTGTTCTCGTCCACGGCCCGTTTGCAGTCCGAGCGCAATCCAGATAGATGGCGGAAACTTTACTTTATTATCAATTCATGGTGGTGCAATGATAAATTCAGAGAAGTACATTAGAAACTTAACATACCGAAGTCACGACCACAGAGATCACCATGAATCGTAGATGGCAGACCAGCCATAAGTATAGCCATAGTGAGTTACAGATTCCAGGACAACATCCAACGATAGCAGAAAGGAAATATAATCATATTGTCCATCCTTCGTGGCTGAAGGATGGCACTCGAATTCGTATACACCATTTCGGCTCCCCAGTTCCCACCAAGGCAATAGATCATATCAGTTTGGCTGGTGGAATGTTTAATATACGGGGTTGGCATGATCGCCGCTCGATCACTGGGATCACCAGGAAAACTGGTGATGATAATGCAGGCCAGCGGATACTGGGCGATGGCTGACCCCGGCTGACAAGTATATTTAAAGAATGCTGCTACTCGTGTGTTCGGAAGTGAGAACACATCCTCGCGCCGACGACAGTAATTGACTGAAGCTATTCTGCCTCAGGCACTAATTGCGCGAGGATATATGCCGATCGCACGGGTCGCACGAGGCCGGGGTCAGTGTTACCTGGGATGCAAGAGTTCGATTCTGGAATCTTCATTGTACCTCCAGCTATCTCTTGAATCTTGCCAGGACTGAGGACGGAGGTACTTTCCATAGCCTCAATGCAGAAATACCTCGACGACCAAGAGCTGACTCTGCAGTCTGCCCACGCCTCTAGCAGCCCAGTCACAAAACCCACCCGTTCACTAGCCCATCCAGACATTACTCCGTGAGTTAATCACCGATAATATATTGCAGTTGCTCGGTTCATTCGCTGGTCTAATTTAATAAATGAAAGTACAAGTACAGTACTTCGTACGGACCACGGTAGGTGCCCACTGCAGGATTGCAAAACCAGATCGGGGAGCAGCTGCATGCTCCCCTGCTAGCAGGACTGCGAGCCGTCGGCCCTTCAAGCCTTGTTTATGATGATAATAGCACAAATGACAATGGCAATGAGCCCGCTGGCTTCGAGGCTAGGATCCACCTCCCCACTCGACTACTGCAGTAGTCGAAGCTCGTGCGCCGCCAATCCTTTCTCCACTCGCAAAGTATCCTCCATCAACTCATCTAGGATTCTAGATCAGGGTCCCGTCTGACGCACGAGGCAAATTACACATGCAGCTCTCTGAAAACGACAACCGAACGGCTCCAGTTCTAGGTTCATTGGCTAATGGACGCGCTGGATACCGGTTGAACGTGCCAGCCCTAGGTGCGCTCAACCTCTTGTCTCCGGCAAATAAAAGTCTCCAATGCTGCTGTCAGAGGTTCTGCCCTCAATAAATATTTTCTTATGTGACCTGGAGGCGATTTTCCTCAAGCCTTGAAGAAATTCGTGTTTCGTTTGATTCTATTCACCGGACAAGAGCCTTCCTTTTCTTTACGCTTGGTCGGAAGTTCTCTGCCTATTGTTGACAAAAGACTTGGAAGAACTGGATTGGGAGTCGATCAGGCTTGAGTTAAAAGGATAGAAGGATAGCATTTCTAGTCCTGAGCGTTAGCCACACAATGCACATAACGTATATGCGAGCGTTCATCGCTCTATTGTCAGTGCTCTGAACCACTATATAACTGCCACTAACCTTTTAGTGTCTATCGGTATTTTCGACTTGTTGTGAACCTCATATCGTTCTATACATTCAAGCCCATCCCTCCTCCTGAGGATCCGAAATTGACGGCCAATGATGTGACCGTCATCATCCCCACGCTAGATGGCTGCGGCGAGGAACTAGAGAGGACAATCGAGACCATTCTGATCAACCAGCCCCACGAGCTCCTTCTTGTCACAATTGAGGCAAACCGGAAGAAGGCCGAAGCTATGTTGGGCAAAATGCCGGCCACGAGAATTCGCTTATTTACGGTCACGCACCCCAACAAACGCCGGCAAATGACTAGGGCTATCCCAGAGGTTACGACGGCAATTACGGTGTTTGCGGACGATGATGTGATTTGGCCACCAAAGGTTCTTACCTGGATGCTGGCTCCCTTTGAGAAAGACGACCGATATGGTGGTGTGGTAACCTGTCAACGGCTCAAACGTGCCACCTCGCCTACCCTGTCACAGCGAATTTGGGGGTTCCTTGGAGCGCTCTACCTGGAGCGAAGGAACTTTGACTGCGCCGCTACTACCCACATCGATGGTGGACTTCCTTGTATGTCTGGACGTACCGTCGCATATAAAACGAGTATCCTGCAGGATGAAGCCTTTACTTATGCTTTTACGAATGAAGGATGGTGGTTTGGCAAGTATCAACTGAATGCTGATGATGACAACTTTATTACCCGCTGGATGGTATCGCACGGCTGGGAGACTTTTATGCAATACCATCCTGAAGCAGAGGTTCAAACGACCTTGGAGGATAATCCGACATTCCTAAAACAGTGCGCCAGATGGTCCCGAAGCAACTGGAGGAGCAATCTGACCAGCATGTTCGACGAGGGAGATATATGGCAGTGCGTCCCTTTTTCTTTTTCTTTTTCTCTTTCTTTTTTTTACCAACGCTAACGAGCTACCTGAGCAGCCGCCAGCTTTGGAGCGCGTATGCTGTTCATATGACGACTCTCTCTCCTCCAGCTCTTCTCGGTGACTTGGCCCTTATCTTTTTGTGTCATAAGGCGACTGCTGTTGAACAATATCATGTCTTTGCAATGTCGTTTCTTGCCGTCTGGATGTTTGTCAGCAAGTTCATCAAACTTTTGGGCCATTACATACGATTTCCGGTCGATTGGATCTTTCTTCCAGTGTCCATCATTTTCGGCTATTTTCATGGGGCGATTAAGATGTACGCTGTGATGACACTCAGTGCGGTATGCAGCCTTCACAAGTGAAAAAAAAAAGCTGATGCTAACTCTGGCAGACCACTTGGGGCAGCCGAGAAGGTGCCGATGATTTTGACGAGGAACGTATGAAGAAGCGACCGGATGCCGATCCTCTCAAGAAACCTTACTATCCCAAATTCAGGCTCAACGCGAACGATTTTCATCACCGATTGGTGCCTAGCGTAACCTCGGCCGATATATCCTGAGACCTTTACGCTAGGACTGTTGTTTATTTGAGCTCACGAAGATAACGCTTTTCTTGAATAACAATTCCCTCTTCAGCCAACACACTTGGATTGGGTGTATCACCAATCTTTGCTGTCTTGACAACCGCTCGGCTTGACTGACACTACCGGCAGTATATCATGAAAGGTGTTTACTGCGATGGCTGCTTTCCTGCTTTCCTTCGAAGACTGTTATATTATGTAAAGTATAAAAGCGTGGGCGGGTTCTTGTCGCTTCATATGGTTTCTGTCTGATCAGAATTGCTGTTAGTCTTCACATGTTAGATCGACAACCGGAGGCTGTTTTATCTCGCCCTTGGCAGCGGGTATAATATATAATAAAACTGGTCATTTTATTGCAAGCTGATCTGGTGATAGCAATGTTTGACTGGAAGTTGATATTTTGCGGCACAAAGTAACACAATTTAGAAAGTCAGTGCTCCCTGCAGGTGCCAGGTGGAATCTTACGGAGTGCCAAATCTTGACTAAGCAGAAATCTGTTGTTTTGATTCACCGCCCCTCTGACCAATTCCATGAATAACCGCTTAAAGCCGAAGTTACCCCTGCCCTCTAGACCGCTTGTAGCTGTTTGTATGTCTGGAAAATAAGGCTTCGAAGCATCGCAGGCTGCCGTACAGAGGTCTTGTTGCTTTGCTTACAAGGTTTTTTTCGGCAACCACTTGGTCCACTGGTAAGCGGGCCTCCAGGGTATTTTCGTACTCGCTCAGTAGAACGTCGTGGGCTCTTGCCTTCAGTCGGGTTTAGGCAACAAATGTCTGCATCTAACGCCCTGCAAGGTAAGAACAAGAACCTCTTACCTCTGTCGTGGGCCTCAGAAAATCAGTTCCAGGTTTAAAAGTCTTCCACCTGATAAGTCCACTGACTTTGTCAGCGTGCTAAAGTAGCTTTCTTGAGTTGGGAGGAATTGTTGAGAATAGGTTGTTGAGGCCAAGGAGTTTTGTCAGGGCAGACAGATTTCTTGCATAGGGTAATCAGTGGATGTGCTTGTTTCTCTTTCTCACTAGTTAGTTTTAGCAGATACTTTACCTCGCGATGGGGTGTAAAAGAAAAAAACGCCCAGTGTAATGAGACTGTCCTGCGAGTTTAGACAGCGAAGTGCAGTGCTCAAGCTGTTTCTATGTTGGTATTGCCTCGATATCTTTAATGAGGACAGTGCATGATGCCGGGAGTGTGGTAGCGGCATTAATGCTGGTGTTTGATAGTTAATAGGGCAGGAAGGTCATACTGCCGCCCAGGCTTAGGGTTATTCAATGCTAGTACGTAACCCAATTACACTGGACATGTTGCACAATCCCGAGATGTAGTGACAAAAATAGTATGCTTGGCCGCTTGGAAGTGTCGTAGAATGGATGCTGGTGGTGGAAAAGACAGAGGTAGAAATATAGAAGCATGTTTTTAAGATGGCTTATGATCCGGAGAAAGAACTAGAACATCAGTAACAAGGATAAGTATAATCCAGTTATTCTCACTTTCACTCTTTATATTGCTCACCTTGTCTCTTTCCTCAGGAGCTTCTTAACAACCCTGTAATGCTGTAGCTCCTTGCCTTCAAGCTTGCGAGATATTCTCACTATCACAGACAGGGGAGACATCGAGTAAGCTTCACATCTTGGTTAACTTCTCTCTTGTACCAAAACTGGGCCTGGATGCACAGGCTAAATACTGAAGCTCATATCAAGCTTAACCATCTGCAAATGCTACCCATCACAAGAGGACTTTTAAGATCTTTACCTCTTTCAAGGTCCTTGATGTAAGTCAGACCTGAACTTATGTTTAAGCTCAACCTGAGCAATATCTAAAAGCTCTATTGGTCAATGATCGCGGGCTTTCTGTACCATGGAAGATGTCAAGCAAAGTCGACCGGGCGCTCTACTCGTTTTGCCCGAAGGACCCTTCGCAGACCGGCCTCTATGATTGCACAACCCAACTCATTGGCACAAGGTGAAAAAGACATTCATCCAGTTTATCTTGCGAACTGCTGGGCTTCGATGAATGGTATTTGAAAGGCACAATGGAAAAGGTTTTGCACATAGGAGGTCTGCAAAACGTACAGAGGTCTGGAGTACAACTAAACTGAAGAAAATGAATTAATTGAGTGGTCGATATATTACGAATTCGCCGCATTTGGCCGCAAACCTACCTAGGTAGAATCGTCATATTTCTTCGATCGCGAAGAAAGGCAATGATTAGGACTAAGTCATATTTCTTGTGCGCTTTGTTTGGTGCTCAGGAATGTGCCTATAGTGGGCAATCATGACAAATTAGAAGTGGCTCACTGCCTGGGGAGTTGCAAGTTTACCCTGAGGATCAGGGCTAATGCAAGCGTCGTATAGCCGTCAGTCCTAAAGAACGAGGTTCTTATCAACTTTGCGTTAAAGGCAGCCCTGAATTCCGATCCGCTTTACGGGGTGCCATGATGCGATTTATGTTGAGGCTTCCCACGGCTATGCCTGAACTGTTAGCAGAGTGCACCATTTTGATGGGTGAGGCTTCTTGCCTCGAGTAGAGATACAAGAGCCAGGAATAACGGAGTAACCATGCGTGCGGGGTCAAACCCACCTAGGTGAACCGGAGTATGGTTCCGTACTGCTTGCGTTGGTAATGGGGGTACAGCAATTTTCTTCACCAACGATAGCGAAATGGTGTAGGAACCTACTACCTGCCCTTGTGAATATTCTGACCGAGGCTAACCAGGACACTCTTAACTTATCAACCACAAAACCTCGACGGGTTCGCAGGCCCCGAGGGAAGAGCTCAATTTCCATGTTGACACAAGACGTTCTTCAACAATAGGGACATGGACCTAGCACCAGACCGCTAGCCTCGGCCAAGACCCTTCCGATGAAGAAAGATCAACGTCATGGTGACACAGACGAACGTGACCAGTTAAGTAGTTTGAGTTCTACACTTGTATAACTCCGTCCATTTATACTTTTTAGCTGTGTACATGTATACCAGAATCTCCAAGTATACTGACATTGACTCGTATCTGCCATATCTCTTGCCTCCACTACGACTTAATCTCCTTCGACAGAGTGATTACTTGAAAAGGTATATGCCTTATAAATGGCTAGAGTCAGGTTCCTATTACTACGGAGTATCTCACTATATGTCATTTCAATGTATATATGGTGCTCTTAATCTTAAAGGTTTAAATTAGGGCTATAGTTTGGCTAGGTTAGCCTCAGGCTCTCGGAATAAGTAAATACCGAGGTAATAGGCTTAGTGAGGGCAGATCTTTCCGCTTTGGGCGAACCCTGTCGAGCAGCTCACAGTTGATTTCCTACTATCAAATCACGGAGTACGGAGTAGTACTGTTCCGTCGGCTCCAATAAACCAGTTCAACAAACTTGGTCCCTGACAACAAGCCAACAGCTTACTTTCCGGTCTATCATCGTGTGCCTTGTTTTCCAGTATGGTCAGAACGGTGATATCTCTTCGAACCTCCGGACTCCTTGCCGCAAATGTCTCAAAACCGCGCGCTCTTCATTCATCCCCACTGAAGGCAGCTATCGCACACCCGGTTACTGCTCATGGACCCCCTCCTGAAGCTCCTTCGCCGTCCCCAGACTTTGTTGCGCCATCAGAGACCAAGCCACCCCAGGAAAGCGAGCCGCAACCACGGCCAGTTAAGAGACCTACAGCACTGAGGAAGCGGTTCTGGAAGGACGTTGACGTACAACGAAAAGATGGTGATCTTCAAGTCCCTGTCATTTTTAGTTTCTGTCGTTTTTAGTCTCGACTAACACCCACACCAGCACATACAGGGAGCGATTACCAAGTCCTGCTAGACAGACGGCCAGTCCGAACTTCTTCAAAAAGCGTCCTGTCGGTACCGTCCACGAAGCCACACCTGGCGCATGCGATTGCTTTAGAATGGGATGTCATGAATTCAGCGCAACAAGCTCTGAAGAATCACCTGATTCCCCTAACATCCCTCACTGCACGTGCGGCTGATATTGCGCAGGAGGACGCCGCCGGGGAAACAGTCACACGAGAGCAGATAATTAAGACGGCGATGCGTTATCTTGAGACGGACACTTTACTTTGCTGGGTGCCTGCAGACGCCAATGACCAGGAAAATCTCCGGAAAGCTCAAATGAGGGCTGCAAATGATATCATTGCATTTCTAAGCACAAAGGTATGGCCGGGCGTTGAGATCGTGCCTGTCTTGGACGGAGATAGTATCTTCCCTGCTTCTCAGTCCGAAACAACAAATCATGTGATCCGACACTGGGTTCGAAGTTTGGAGGCCCACGATCTAGCGGCTCTCGAAAGAGGTATACTTGCGTCCAAGAGTCTTCTGGTTGCTGTCAGGCTAGTGACCGAGTGGAGCGAGAACTTCCGCCAGCTGCAACAACTGGATCAAAAGAGATTTGGTATTGAAGAGGCAGCTGAGGCGTCCAGCCTCGAAGTCAGATGGCAAACGGATATGTGGGGTGAGGTCGAGGACACCCACGATGTCGATAAGGAGGATCTGAAGCGACAACTTGGAAGCGTTGTCCTTCTGGTAAGCGGGAGGTAACTTGCGGATGAGGTAACCTACGAATGTATCATAGTCCTGGACATACAGCATATAATTTAGATATATTGAGTCAAATACAGCTGCGCATACAAGTAACTGATTCAAGTAACTGTGACAAATGGTTGAAGATGGTGAAGCCGCCAAGGCGCCGCGAACGTCACCGAGATCGACGCCCTGCCTTCACCTTCATTGTCTTCAACCATTTGTCACAAACCATTTATCATCAGGAATACCCTATTTATCCGACTCCGTCGAGTCAAGACCGTACCTATGCATAGCTAAGGCATGTCGGAAAAGGGAGAAGGGTAAGTGCCACTTTGACAGTTTGGTTCAGGCTAGCTTGCATGAGAGGCTTTACGAGTCTGTTGGCCATAGTAACTTGATCGGCCGTCTTCGAGGCGGAAATTGAATTACGGTGATGAGTGATAAGTGACAAGTGACGACATTGCTAACGTACCCCGCCTCCATCTTTAGGCACAAACGCTCCAAGAGTGCTTTGGCACTGGCGGTTTTGCATCGCGACAAATCCAAAGAGAATCACGAAGAGGCTGGCAGTCGCGACAACGCCTCGCCCGACTCTACCGCTTCGTCGCCAGTTAACAACAGCAGCAGCCTGTCTATATCGGCCGACTACGTACCTAGAGACGTTCGGAAATCGCAGGCAACAACCATGCCTTCAGAATTGGAAGTTCCTATGCCTCCAGACGGCTTGTCTCTTGACCAGTCCGTCAGAACTTTCCGCCTCTTCGAGATCCTGCGTAGCGGCGACACGACCGCAATCTCCAAAGCTATCAAGGAAAGCAATGATCCACAGTGTGCAAACAGCCTGTCAGGCACAACGATCCTCCATCTAGCGATCCAGTGTGCGGAGCCTCAGGTCGTTGAGTATGTACTGTCGGCCGGTGACGGTATCGACATCAATGTGCGGGATCGAGAGGGCAATACACCCCTTCATCTTGCTGCCCAGCTCGGTCGCGGGCCTGTGGTACGCGAACTACTGAACCAACCGGAAATTAACGACTCTATCGTCAACTACCGTGGACAAACGGCGCTGGAAGCTTCGCGAGCGCCAGAAATCTTCCAGCAGTTGCAACTTGCTCGGTCACTCTTTATAGACAGCAAGACGAAGGAGCTCCAATCACTGCTCACAGACTATGATAAATTAGAAAAGTTGTTGGAAGAGCCCCGCGTTGAGGGTATTTTGGATGTCAATTCTCTGGACCTCGTTACGGATCCCGCCACCCTGCAATCAGGCGGCACCCTCCTACATGAGGGCGCTAGGAAAAAAGATACAAAGCTCATCCAGATCCTTTTAATGCACGGAGCGGACCCTTTTCGTCGCGACAAAAAGGGCAAGCTGCCACAGGATGTGACCAAGGATGACAGGACACGAGCTATTGTCAAGAAATCACCTGCCGCCGTCATAGCTCAGCGGGGTATCCAAGAAAAGGCTATTCTGGGTACTGGCCCGACCGTCGGGTCCTGCGGTAAAGACTCTCGCGAGATGAAAGGCTACCTGAAGAAATGGACAAACTATACTAGTGGGTACAAGCTGCGATGGTTTGTGCTCGAGGATGGTGTTCTAAGTTATTACAAACATCAGGGTAGGCCCCCAGTGTCAAAGTGAGAGTAATAAACTAAATTGTCCAGACGACGCCGGCTCCGCCTGCCGCGGAGCAATCAACATGAAAATTGCGAGGCTTAACATGGATTCTCAGGACAAAACCCGTTTCGAGATCCATGGCAAATCATCGGTCAAATATCATCTCAAGGCAAACCACGTTGTCGAGGCGAAGCGTTGGTTCTGGACACTCAACAACGCCATTCAATACTCGAAAGATGAAGCCAAGGAGGAAGAAAAGCGCCAAACAAAGGAGGAAGCACGTTGTCGAGCTTTACAGGAATCTCTTTTGGCTCCTCCGGCGCCCACAAAACTCAGCACCCACACATCTCGTACCACTCTCGAGGGCGTGCCTGCTGACGATGACGGGTCGTTGTATGGCTCTCTAGAGCAAGGACCATCCCAGAGTGATATCAACAGGGTGGATGAACACCCTGTAGATGACGAAGACGATTATGCCTCGAGCCGCGAGACACCGCCTACCGACAAGGATGCCATGAACATCACTGCACAGTCTGCGAAGCTTCAGCTTGATATCCTTGCTAGCGTTGCATCATCATTACAAGCGGAGAGGTCAAATAACCCATCCACCATGCTTTCGGACGAGGCGGTTGGCCAAGCCTTAACTGCATACGAGGGGGCCGTGAGCAGCTTGAATGATTTGGTGCAGAATCTTCTGAAAATATCTCGAGATCGCGATTCATACTGGCAATATCGGCTGAACCGGGAAGCACATCTCCGTAAAATGTGGGAGGAGAGCATGGCACGCATTGCCCAAGAGCACGAAGAGTTACAGTCCAAAATGGGCGAGTCGGAGGAGAAGAGGCGGCGTACGAAGCGAGCTCTCAAAGAAGCACTAGAAAGCCACTCCATGGACGATACGAAGCCACAGACTCCAGAGGGCGAGCGGCCGCCGCTACATCGCAAAAAGTCCGCCTTGTCGGAAATCAGTATTTATACATCTGACTCCGATGATGAAGAGGAATTCTTTGATGCTATTGACGCTGGAGAGATTGAGGTTGTAGCGCCTACAATCTATGAAGGAGAGACTGCTTTGGACAAACTTCGTGCTATAAGACGGTCGGAGATTTCACCGTCCTTCAAGGGCTATGAAGAGCCCATCAGAGAGAGGCTCAAAATGGACTATGACAATCGGCCCAAAATCTCGCTTTGGGTAGGTACACCTTTCTAGGCAATAAAAATACTAACTCTGGTAGGGCATTCTAAAGTCCATGATCGGAAAGGATATGACAAAAATGACTCTCCCTGTCTCGTTCAACGAGCCTACATCGCTTCTACAGCGTGTAGCTGAAGATCTCGAGTATACAGATCTTCTCGATATTGCAGCCGACCAGACTGATTCCATGGAGCGACTGGTATACGTTGCCGCCTACGCTGCAAGTGAATACGCCTCCACTATCGGACGTGTTGCAAAGCCGTTTAATCCGCTCTTGGGTGAAACGTTTGAATATGTCAGACCGGATAAGGGTTATCGATTTTTTGTTGAACAAGTCAGCCATCACCCACCAATTGGAGTTGCTCTGGCCGAATCACCAAAGTGGGACTATTGGGTGCGTCCTCTCAAATAATTTTCACTTTATACTAACAACTCAGGGCGAATCGTCTCTCAAATCCAAATTTTATGGCAAATCCTTCGACATCAACTTGTTGGGCACTTGGTTCCTGAAACTTCGTTCTGCGTCGGGAGGCGAAGAGCTCTACACCTGGAAAAAGGTCACGTCCTCTGTTATTGGCATCATCACCGGTAATCCTACCGTTGACAATTATGGGTTGATGGAAATCAAGAATTGGACCACCGGCGAGGTATGCTACCTAGATTTCAAGCCTAGAGGCTGGAAGGCGTCTTCAGCGTACCAGGTGACAGGCAAGGTTGTTGATAAAGAGGGGTCGCCCAGATGGAGTATCGGTGGCCGATGGAATGACAAGATCTATGCCCGCCATACTCCCGGGTTTGAAGCAGCAGTGTCTGGACAGGATCCAGAGTCCGCCAAGACTATTTTGGTCTGGCAGGCTAATCCTCGTCCGACTGGCATTCCGTTCAACTTGACCCCCTTTGTCATTACGCTCAACGCTCTTACTGATAGCTTGCGACCGCAACTCCCACCCACCGATACCCGTCTTCGTCCAGATCAGCGTGCAATGGAAGAGGGCGAATACGATTTCGCTGCTAACGAGAAGCATCGTGTCGAGGAGAAGCAGCGTGCCAAGCGAAGGGAAAGGGAAGCCAATGGCGAAGAGTACAAGCCCAAGTGGTTCAGCAAAGACAAGTGTTCGATCACGGGAGAAGAATACTGGGCGCACACGGGCGACTACTGGGGCTGCAGGGCTAAGCAGGATTGGAGCAAATGCGAGGACATTTTCTAGCGCGTGGCAACCGCGTTCTGCCTGTGTAATAGCATACAATAAATATTCTCTTCTGTAGTCACGTGATGGTAGTGGATGGCTCAGTCATACGATTCTCACCACTGAACATTTCTCTCAACCAACACAATGACGGGCGAGTTTACTTGCGGACGCTGTCTGCAGGCACTGCACCGCTTCAGACTCCCCTTACGATTGAGGAGCCCGGCTCTCAACAGCTATATCCCTTGCCAACGTCGCTCATTTTCATCGGGCCTGATAGCATGGCGAACAGCGACGTCGGATATCCCCGATCCACGGGCTCTCTTGAAACCGAATAACCTATTCCACAATTTCTCCCAATCTCCATCGCCGGCAATCCGACAGCGTGCAGCCTTTATCAAACAAAACGCCTTTTGCCCTCATCCTAGCCATCTGCAGACCCGACCGGACGAACCCGAGGGCATTGCGCCTCCGGCTCATTCACACTTTGAATGCCCGGATTGCGGCATCCCTATATACTGCTCTGAGGGACATTGGGTGGATGATTTCGAAGCCCACCTGGAAGTCTGCGAAACTCTTAAACAGATCAACGAGGACGACCATGATCTGCGCTCCGGACGTTTCTTCCCGGAGTTTGCGATGCCCGGGCTGCAGGACGAAAACTTTGTCATTAACATGACAAATTGGGATACTTTTCTTTACACGAGAGAGTTTGATGCTATTAATGACGACCGGAGCATGCGGCAGGTGACGCGGATGCTCACATATCCGCTTACCATTGGGAGTGTATTGCATGAACTGAGCCCCTACAGTATTCGAAAAGATAAGAGACTTACAGCTGAGGGTCTCAGGAGTATCAGCGGTAAGCCAACCTTATTCTCTCAATTAGCCAAGCTAAAATTGTAGCCCTCCGGTACTCTCTACATCCGCCTAGGACGGGAGAGGGCGTTGATATCCAAGGCCTGCGTGTGAAGGCACCTCCGGTGCGAATTTTTATCCTAGGAGCGCGTGCCGAATCGTCTCTACCTCGCGATGTGTGGCTTCAGCTGAGTCACATCTTCCCGCGGTCTCTTATCAATCTCATTTTCATTGGGCCTGAGAGCATGGCGAACCGCGACGAAGAATTTCCCCTCCCCGAACGAACACCCGAGAATCCTTTTGGAGGAATCGTTGAAGATAGGTTAGGAGGTCAGATGAAGATCACGACGTATGTGGATTACTTCCACACGATGTACAAGGCACATTACTTTCAGCCGTTTGACCCGTACCTCGACTGCATTGTGCTCTTCCACCCGGGTCTTGGACATCCTGCCAGCTCTCACGAATGGGAGGAAACGCTACCCCTGCTCCTCGAGACCAAGGTCCCCATTATCACCACTGGCTACACACAGTGGGATATGGAAAGGGACATTGACTGGGTTCGCGAGAAGTGCGCTGGTGAGTTTGACATCCTGCTTGAGCCTGGTGAGAACATTTTTCGGAGTCTGCGATGGGATCTCAATGACCTTGACCCGCATGACGTCTCTTGTGGCAATTGGGGGTTGTGGGCGTTCAGAGGAAAGAGGTATATTCCCTGCCTTGATTGAGTTGCCAAACGCTAACCTTTATAGATATGAAGCACGTGTTATATAGACTAGTACTAGATAGTGTGATCAATGAGTGTCTTAATACCCTTTCCAGCTTTGACATCTTTGAACGCTTGCTCGGCATCTGCGAATCTGATGGTACCGGAAATCAATTCCTTCACGTTGATCCGACCAGAAGCCACGAGTTGGACCGCGAGCTTATAGTCGCCGCTACCGTAGCGGAAGCTACCTTTGAGGTTCAGTTCTTTTGTGCAAGCCGCCATGATGGGGAAGTTCATCTCGCTCCGCCCCATGCCACCTTGTACGTAGGTGCCACCCGGCCGGAGAACATGGATGCCAGTGTGTACTGACGGTTCAACGCCTGAAGCGTCAATCGCTACATCAGCACCTCGGCCAAGGTCATTCTCTTTGATTATTTGCATAGCGTTTTCAGTAGCGGACCTCAGTGGTGAAAATACGTCCGTCGCAGCGAATTTTTTTGCAAAGTCCAACCTTGGCTTCTGGATGTCGACAGCAACGATCTTAGTCGCCCCAAAGGCCTTGGCCACGGCACAGCATAAAAGACCGACTGGACCAGCCCCAAAGACAACAACGGTCTGGCCCGGGGTGACGTTGGCCTGTCTCACAATGTGTACGGCGACTCCCAGAGGCTCCATGAGTGCGCCCTCGGGCAGGCTGATGGACTCGGGTAGTTTGTAGCAAAAGTCTTCGGGCAGGCTGTAGTACTTTGCCAGAGTACCGTCGTACGGGGGTGTGGCGGCGAAAGCCATCTGCTCGCAGAGGTTGTATTTGCCCGCCTTGCAGGGCTCGCATCGACGACAGGGGATACCGGGTTCCATGGCAACATGATCGCCGACTTTTAGACTCGTGACGGCTGAGCCGACCTTACTGATTACTCCGGAGGATTCGTGACCGAGGACCATAGGTTCCTTGACCACAAATTGCCCAATGGCACCGTGGTCCCAGTAGTGAACCTTGACCTTGTTAATCATTTGCTCGGTCGGTTCGGTCATGTACATACATCGCTACCGCAAATGCCAGTGTACTGGACGTTCACAATGACATCGTGGGGGTTTTTGAGCTCTGGAATAGGGCGGTCCTCGAACTTGACCTGGTGGACGCCTTCGAGGACGAAGGAGAGGTTCTATCTGTATTAGTTTACCACAAGCCAGACCCGATTAACAAGCACATACCTGAGCTGTAGCGACCATGGTGATGAATGGTAGATGACAATTTACACGTCATTCTCGGCTTTTATAGGGATACCTCAAGTTGGGCGGGGGAACTGGAAATTAACCGGCTTGCCTGAATTTAGCCGGAAGGCGGCGAGCGGCGTCCAAACTACTCCAACGGTCCAACCTCCGTACCAGAACGCGGTAAATACCCATTCAACTCACCATGCGACTGAACGCCATGCGACCTCTTCGGCCGATGTTGCGGCCCAGTCGACCATTTTTGTCAAGAGGCCTGCAGAGCTCAAGACAATGCCGGTTTGCAGACGAAAAACCGCAGCCGTTCAAAAACCAGCTGTACGAAAGTACTCAACAGCGCTTGCGGCGTGAGCGCGCAGAGCAGGAGCGGTATGCGCAATATCATAGTCAGTCGCAGGGCGGGCGCTATGCAGCTTTGATGTTTGGTATGTCAGCACACATATGGGACTCGTATGCTAATATCATCAGCACTGGTGTTCTTCTCGACCGGAGCTTACTACCTAGGGTCACTGAAACCCGCAAGTCTCCCAACGACGTCCACATCAAGACTCTACGAATTAGAACCACCGCGGCATGATGTTTCGCCGTCGAACCTACAAGCCGCTTGGGCGGACTTTGTTGAGATTATAGGGAAGGAGAATGTCTCCACAGAGTATGCGGATCTTGTCTCGCATGCAGGCTCAGACTGGTCATCCTACAAAACGAAGGAAAACGAGAAGCCCTTCCTTGTTCTATACCCGTCAAGTACGGATGACGTCTCTCGCATCATGAAAGTATGCCATCAGCGCCTCATCCCAGTCACGCCGTACTCGGGTGGAACAAGTCTGGAGGGCCACTTTGCTCCCACAAGAGGCGGGGTGTGTATTGATTTCCGTCGTATGGATCGAATCTTGGAGGTACACAAGGGCGACCTGGATGTTGTGGTGCAACCCGCCCTAGGATGGGAGGAATTGAACGAAACTCTTTCTGAGCAGGGTCTATTTTTCCCGCCGGACCCCGGCCCTGGCGCCATGATCGGTGGTATGGTGGGCACCGGCTGTTCGGGAACAAATGCCTATAGGTACGGAACCATGAGGGAGTGGGTTCTCTCGCTGACCATTGTTCTTGCGGACGGGACAATTATCAAGACGAAACAGCGCCCACGCAAATCAAGCGCCGGCTACGATCTCACGCGTCTGTTTATTGGCAGCGAGGGTACACTTGGGCTGGTTACAGAAGCTACGCTGAAGCTCACAGTCAAGCCCAAGAGTCAAAGCGTTGCTGTTGCAAGCTTCCCCTCGATTCATAGCGCAGCTCAGTGTGTCACGCGCGTCGTGGAGGAAGGGATCCCCGTTGCGGGCGTGGAGATCCTAGATGATGTTCAAATGAAGTGCATCAACGCCGGCGGCACAACGTCGCGACAATGGAAGGAGACCCCCACTATTTTCTTCAAATTTACGGGCACACCAAACGGAGTTAAAGAGCAAATCGGCCTAGTCCAAAAGCTTGCTTTAACGACCCATGCTAAATCTTTCGAGTTTGCCCGCGGAGAAGAGGAAATGCGCTCGCTTTGGAGCGCTCGTAAAGAGGCTCTCTGGAGTGTTATGGCGATGAGACGCGGCCCAGAGGACCACGTGTGGACGACCGACGTGGCAGTTCCCATGAGCAGACTTCCTGACATTATTGAAGCTACTAAGCAAGACATGACACAAAGCGGGCTACTGGCCGGCATATGTGGCCACGTCGGAGACGGCAATTTCCATGGTATGCTGTCTCTTCCAAAAGAATGGCAATGCTGACTTTGGTTTAGCGATCATATTATGGAACGATGCGGAGAGAAAGACTGCAGAGGGTGTAGTCCATCGCATGGTAAAGCGAGCTGTTAAAATGGAAGGCACCGTGACCGGTGAGCATGGTGTTGGTCTCATTAAACGAGATTACCTCCAGCATGAGCTTGGAGAGTCTACGGTAGATGTCATGCGAAGGGTAAGCTGCTGCTGATGAGTTTGTGCAAAGGCTAATATCTCACGAAACAGATTAAACTGGCCCTGGATCCACTTCGTTTGCTTAATTGCGACAAGGTTGTTCGAGTTGAAGCGCCAGAGCCCGGGGAGGTTAAGGAATGGTGAAGCTGGTCTCAGATATCCGAAAGCCAAGTTGTGAGCTATTAGTACCTGTCCTCGTCACGACGCTGACCATATCCGCCTTGCGAGTACCCGCCGTAGTTCTGCCTGTAATCTTCCTGCAAGTAACCCTCCTGCAAGTAACCCTCCTGAGAACCATACCCACCTCGGTACCCTTCTTGAGAACCTCCACCTCGGGATTCATAATCTGGACGAGGTTCGTAACGGCCGTCAGATCCGGCAGATCCGTAACGGCCATCAAATCCGGCAGAGTCGTATCCGGCAGCAAACCCCCTTGCTTTAATTAGCCATTGATCTGGCAGAGGGGGAAAAACTTACCTCGTGCTATCCTGAGAATACTCGTGTTGTTGGTACGATGAGCGGTCGTCATACCGATAACTCGACTGCGTGTACTCGGCTCTATATCCGCCACTCTCGGTATACTCCGCAGAGGCCTGCTGAACGTACCCGCGTTGCCCGTCGTCGTATCGGTTTTCATGCCGGGTATACTGATAGCGGTCGTCATCGTCATCAGAGCCACTGCTACGCTCTTTGGAGCGGGAACGCTCACGGCTATGGTGCTTGCTAGAATGTCTGCGATGATGATGACGACCGCTACCAGAATCTTCACTGCCCTTGGGCGATTCATAACGCTTCTGATTTCGATAATCCGTGACGACACCCGAATGGTACTCTTCATGGCGTTCTTCGTACCGAGGCTCTTGCTGGCCATCGTCCCTCGACTTGTTTCCAGAGTCTAGCAACATCGAACCGACGCCGCTCACAAGGCCCCCAATAAGGCCACCAAGAGCTCCCCCACCCGCGGCTTCTGAAGCTATTTCCGCCATTCCTTCGGAGTTGGGCGGACCGAAATTTTGCGGGCCCTTGTGTAAGCTAAGTGGTTTTCCGCAGCCGTGTCCAGAATCGTGAACGCCTTCTTTATGATTCCTCCCTTCCCGGACGCCTTCGCGGGACAGCTGATCACGGAGACTTTCGTTGCCGGCTTCTTCCCACCATTCTCTTACAGTGTCAAACATGGTGCGGCGAATCTTGGGACCGTCTTGCCGTAAAACTGGGTGGTGGAAAACACCGGAAATGATTCGATCCAGAGTTGGCTCGATATCAGCATCTTCGTCATCCCACAGCTCCATCAGCTGCGGCACGGTCCATTTAACAACCTGAGAAGCAACACGCCCGGCTGGTTCATTGAGAACATTTGAAAAATGATCTTTTGAAAGCATTGAGTGAGTGGGGTTGCTGCAAGAGTCGTTGTTGAAGACCACATGCTGTTGATCTCTGCTGCTCTGGATGACTTCGGATGATCCAGTCTGTAGCTCGGCCTTGACTTGCTGGAGGATGGGCAGCACATAGGGGGCAAGAATCGAGAAGACTGCAACTGTTATTTGCTCCTGGACTTGTTCGATTAGTTCTGGTAATATTGGGATCTTTTCGATGGCCTCATTGATAGATTTCAGCAAGTCGTCATGCCATTCCAGGACCGGGTAGATTTTCTTTTGGACATCGTCCAGGTATGTAGCCCACTCTTCTGGTTCGCGAGGGGAGACTTGTTGGTGTTTTGCGCTCTCCGACTCGGCCTTGAGTTCATCCATTCTACCCACTTTCTCGTCGCTGTTACCAATCAGCCCTTCTGGAATCTTGTTGAGCAGATTCTGAAGGAAGCTATCAGAAGGCGACTCGTTTTGAGATTCATTGATAGCGCCTTCCAACTCTTGAATTTCGGACTGTGTCGCTTTGTCGGAGATTTCACCCAGAACCGAATGGAAAAAGTCTACGCCACCAAAGGTGCCTGTCACAATGGGGTAGACTGATTTGCCGTCTATCTCGACCTGGGTATCGCGACCAACATGGGGGAACACTTCAAATTCACCCAGCTCGATGAGACTCAACTCAACATAATTGGAATGGGCAGCGTAATCCTCCAGGCAGTGTAAGCCGGTTCCGAGAAGACGGAGGGCCTCGTGCAGATCTTCATCGTTCCTGGATCGGGCGTATCTCCGTCCCAGTTGAACGCAACGGCCAAATAGTCGCCGAACAAGGGCGGCCGAGGTGTCAATTTCCATGCGTTCATTCGCTATGTAGTTCTTGAGGCCTGAGAAATTAGCTTGATCAGCACAAAAAAATGGTAAATCAAACCTGTCTCTGGATCAATAGCTAATTCACGTTCTTCGTCAACCGGTCCCCTGAGGCGTGGGTCATAGTCGCGAGCATCTTCGCCTTCGGCATAACCAAGAGGATTGTCAATATGTTCAGTGGGCTGATAGCATCCCAGACGTTCCGTTGTGACTTCGAACTCTTTTGTGCCGTATCTGTTTGATCAGCAATGGCCGCAGTAACAAAGTGATGCGTACCCAAAACTCAAAAACCCAAGAACCCATAGAAGGATCCGGATAGCTTCGGCGCTGACATATTTCACAGTCCCAACGTCTACGGCTTGGCTGTAGTCTCGCAACCAGTTTCCAAAGTAAACACGCTGGACATCAAGCTTGCTGAACTTCCGACCTCCAGCAGCGCGGGCCAAGAACAAGCTTAGAAGCGCGTCTTCAATGTCTCCGTGGCGCCAGTTCTGGCCTTCAATCTTGGAAATCGATGCGATATTTCCAGCACCGAAGGCATGCGCTTTTCCGGAAAGGGAAAAGAAAACGAAGAGGAGAAGGCATAGATTCTGAAAAGAAATGCCCATGCTGCACATTTACTTTCACTGAACAATAAAGTTAAACAGATGAAGTGATATTTTCTTATATTGTGAGGGGGGGAAAGGGGGAGAGGTAAGACTTGAAACATGGAGGGGAAGCTGCCCCACCATGATGCCATCAGGTGATGAGCATCCCAACCTCCTCACCTCAGCCCTGCTGCTTCTTAGAGTCGATAATACGCAGGATATTTAATTTGTTTCTTACGAGGACAAGATGGTTTAAAATGCTTAAGTTCGTGTGTAGCCATAGTACTGTAAATAACTGAAGTAGACTACTCGTCAGTTCGCTGACAGAGCAGCGGGCCAGCGGTTGGCCCAGGCTTGCCAACCATGGAATCCATGGATAGCTATTACTGAGTTACCAGTTATATATACGCCGTACTACTCCGTAGTTGTAATAGTCAGTGTTAGCATATGGATGCTCCGCAAGTCGCTTGGCGGGCATCCGGACTCTGTTGGTTTCCGGTTCCGACAAGAATGAGTCTGGATGGACATATACAGAGGTCGGGTATACACTGACTACTAGGTACTAGGTAGCGCAAAGTAGTGTGGTTGAACGTAGACTAGCCACCAGCCTCCGGAAGTCCGAGTCGGAGGGACAACCGCGTGGCACTACTCCGTACAAGGTGGCGAGTCGAACAGCTCAACTACTGTGTAAATAATCTGTAACAGAGTAGTTGAGTCGTTCTACTTTAGTTGACTTCAATACTGCTTTCTGTGCAGGGTGCAGGATGCATGTCATGATGGGGTATAGAATTACGACATGTTACAGGCTTCAGCTTGGTTGGTCACACCGACCAATTTCTCCGCATCCGTCAAGATAGCGTTCAGAGCTCCATCCCTGGCTCGGGTCCTATTTATTACTGCCAGCTCCTCAAGAGTCAGCCCACTCTCCAGCCTCCCTTTCGGTTTGTCAGTATTGTATCTATTGAATGCTCTTATCCGGGGTCCTGTGCTCGACTCTTTCTTTTCGGCGACTCTTTATTTCTGCTGCCTTCCCAGGAATGCGACTCGCACATTTTGGTTCACGATAGGTCGTTCACTCCACTGCTTATACTCGATCTTCTGAACGTCTTCAAGGTCTTGCCTCCTATCGCGTAACCATGCGTTTTAGGGCCGATAATTAGGTCATCTCGTTCCTAGCTTATCAGGAACGACTGAGAGGGGGCAGGCAATCGAATCGGGCCAACCGGCACAAATCGAACGTGCATCGTCTACAAGTCTTCTGATGTTGTTATGTTCCTTCAACTTTGCGAGCCTTGTGAGTAGGAATACTCGGTCAGCAATAGTCAAGGTCCAATTGAGTCAGGACCCAGGGTAACCAGTTAGCGCGTCTCAGCATTTCTGCGCTCTACACCATTTCTGGGTGACGAGCTCCAACATGTCTTCTCCTAGAATTGACAGTTCCTCGAGAAAACAAATCACCAAAGTACAAATTAAGCCTCTACTCAAAAGAGTGTCGCAAGATGGCTCATTGTCTACGTCAATTGACCTCTCGCGATCGTCGTTTGAACAAGAGGGTCTAGGAATATATACAAACTACGAGCGAGACAGCGTCCAGAGTGACTTGTACACCAACTTTCCAACGAGGAGGAAACTATCCGATTTAAATCGTCGATCTACGAGCGGAACGTCCCAGCTTTCCACAGCGAGCAGCTCGAGCATGGGCAGACCGGCATACACGTATCGCCGCACGCCGCGCGCGTACACTCCTCCTCTGTTGACACATGGTCAGAACTACTTTGACGTTCAGGCTGCAGAGGCAGATGGCCAACCACGCTTGTCGTTGCATCTCCCAGACACGACGTTCACACCGGGAGGCTCACAGACGAATGTGACCGGCCGTGCATCTTTTGGCTATTCACGAGACAGTGCAGTAGAGACCACGTCTCGGTCGTCTCTCGATTTCGTCTTCCGCTCCAGGACACGGACGAGCATGGATCCTGTTTCCCGAGCAGCCACGATACAAGCAGCACGTCAGGCATTCGAAGAGAAGGAAGCGGCAAAGAATCGAAAATTCGAAGAACAGCGGATGAAAGCGGAAGAAAAGCAAATAAAGAGGGAGACACCCAAGGAGGAACCTCCAAAAAGCGAGACGCAGCCGCCACCAAACTCGGAGAATTGGAAGTCTCAGTCAAAAAGCACGTGGATGCTCTTTCTTACGTGGCTGCGAACTCGGATATTCAAGTTCAGAAGAAGAGTGCGGAGCTTGAGCTGACTATTGGCCTTTTTAAATATCTTATGAATTTACTGCTGTTTGTACATCGTGGACCTTGATCACGTGCCGTAGGTGGCCATCGCGCTTACCCTCCGAGGTCTATGAATGGCTACTCACCATGACGTTTACCTGTATCCCAACTAAAATACCCAAACATCAATTTTCAGATATTATTGTTCTTTCAGCTCTCATCCAACGGTCCCTAGTGGATTATCTCTGCAATAAACCGCTGCAATGGCTCGCTCGGGTAGAGCAAAAGCACGCAAAACTACCAAAAAGGCGTCTACAGGTTTGCAGCCACCATATTTGAACAATCTGACTTTCTAACAACTGCCAAGGCACGAAACCGAGTCACCTTTCCATGCAACAAGAAGCACGAAACACTGAAGGTCGAAATTTATGGCGCCTGAATGTCCAACTTCGTCATCGAGCGGTCCAATTCGTGAGCGCAGGCAGCCTTGAGCCGGTTGATACTCCCAAAGAGCTGCCCGTCATGAAAATTTCCCAAGATAATTTGGACTACAAGGAAACCAGCCAACAGCCTGTCCAGCCACAGTCCTGTACCCCTGAAGATTCAAGCGAGGACGAGGTCGTTTTCCGGGGGAGACGGAGCAGATCAGACGCGGCCTCTGAGGACATCCTACCACAGACGATACCATTAGACTGGATACCGGTTCGTGGAACTCCTGCCAAGAGTCACCTTGAAATCTCAGACGAAGACGCGATTCTGGCCGACTATATTGCCCACATTGCCGATGACTCGGAGGACGCGGATGACAATGATGAAGAACACGAACCCGCATCAGATGATTTTCAGGATTTGACACACTCCTCAGAGGATGAGGAGGTTGACTCTGATTTTAATGGCTTGTCGCCGACCGAGTTTGACACCAACTTATCGCAGTCTACACGAAAGAAACCAGAAAAGAGTGTGTTCGCCTCGGCTACTGCATTTGCCAATGCGCTGGAACGGGACCCCTATTACGGACTAGATGTCATGGACTTTAGTCGTCCGAACAAAAAGAAAAAAGGTCTCGACCATCTTGATCTTGATGCCTTGGACTCTGAGCTAGAGGATGAACTGATAAATGCTTGGAATAATGACCGACTAAAGAAGAAATCGAAGAAGAGAGAACGGGAGAAGCTTCGAGCCCAAGGACTACTTGGTCGCCGTGGAAATGACCCCGACTTGAAACTCAAGTACACGAATGGGATAAACATTGATGACTTAAAATCCGAGATACGGTCATTCCTGCTATCATCAAAGAATAGGTAGGCTTTCACCACTTTTTGAACGAGACTAACGACATTACAGCCTGTCGCTTCCTCCGATGACAAAGCATCGCAGAATCCTTATTCATGACACGGCACATGCCTTGCGTCTTACTTCCCAGTCACGAGGAAAGGGTTCTTCTCGATTTCCGGTCTTGTCCAAGACGTCACGCACACCAAAGTATACTACGAGAACAATCCCACAGTTAGATCGGGTTTTCTCGAATCCTCGCGCAATCAAGGCATGGGATAAAACACGTGTTAAAACCAAATGCGGCCATGGCAATGTCTCCTATATGGATGGTGATGTTGTCGGGGCTTCAGCACCTGAAATAGGTGCTGAAAACAAAGGAAGAGCAATGCTTGAAAGAATGGGGTGGAGTACAGGTACGGCACTCGGTGCTACCAACAACAAAGGCATTCTTCTGCCGGTTGCACACATCGTCAAGAATTCGAAAGCTGGTTTGGGGTGAGGCCTTTAGTATGAGAATATGAACGAGTCAACAGTCTTTGATTTTGGACTAGCGCTGGTGATGCGATTTTATATGCGAGAAAAGCTTATTCCGGGATGCAAAGGAAGCATTGCAAAGACTGCATTCCATTTGAGATTCATGCAGGAGTTGGGCTTTTTTAGCACGCTTTTGCTTTGCCTTGCCTATTTTCTTGGGTGTTACACGGTCCCGCAAGTCCGACGCTGACAACTTTTGAAGCAAACCATCAACGCTGTCTGGTGTGGGAGAAGAAATTCTTTGTTTCAGAACATCTCTGGGTACGTAGTCGGCCGAGTCAGAAGCAGAATTGGGGTCGGCAGGTCCGTCACCTCGAGTCTCGCCATCCTGATCAGGCAAATTGACTGAAGCTGGGCTGGGGTCAGCGACAGGTTCGTCACCTTCATGCGTTTCGTCATCCTCATCGGGCAAGGCTGGATAAGGGTCGTCTGCTCGCAAATCGTCCGGTTTTTGCAATTCACCACTCCCCAGATCAAGTTCGTCATGCTGCATCTTCATCTCTCGCCGAAGCTGTTTCACGGCTTTTATGTGCTTTTTACTACGTTCATGAGCCTGGAATTGGTTCTGGCTTTTGAAAGTCTTGCGGCACGCGATGCATTCGATATGCTCTGTCTCACCTTCATCGGAACTTTCTGCCTCATTTTCCTCAGGTTCTTCAGGTCTTGCCCAGTCTTGAAGGACATGGTCTCGTAATCTTGCCTGGTTTGCTGCTCGTGACCTCGTTGCCTGAGAAGCGGCAGATTGGCGAAGAGCCTCGCGTTGTTGCGTTAAGCCATCCCTATAGGATTTGTAGCGTGGGTCTCGCTTCTTGACAAAAGCCACCAGGGACCGAACAGCGTCATTGTACTCGCGAACTGCCCCTTCTCGCAAACGTTTATTTTCCTTCTCCATCATACGACGGACTCGGCGATCTGGAGCCTCCGAGTACCGGTAGGCGTCTTTCCACGAGAAAGACTTTTTAGTCGAGAAACTGCTCCATGTAGCATAAAAGTCGCGCACATTCTCATCATTACGAAATCCAAACGATGGATATTTGAAGTCGCAGCCAGCGGTTTCTTCCTCGAGCGCAAGCTGGGCGAAAGTCTCACGGAGGCCACCGTAGAACCCGTTGAGCGCATCGGAAAACTCCATCCGGGGACTGAACTTTGAAAACAGTTTGAGAATATCGGCGGTGTCGCTTACTGAACAGTCGCCGCCTCCTCCTAGGAACGCATCGCGGTGGGAGTCATACCACGATCGCTCGTGGGGATCTGAGAGCACCTCGTAGGCGGACTGGATTTCCGCAAAGAGGTTGGTCGCCGCTTCTACATTCCCAAAGTTCCTATCGGGATGTAGGTCGAGCGCTTTCCTTCTGTAGGCCTTTTTTATCCTGCCACATCGTCAGCACTACATCCCCAACAATCTGGAATGGCACAAACTCTTCCGACGACGCATTTTGTTCAATCTCAAGAAGTTCATAGTAGTCTTTCTTCGCAGCAGTCGCCGTGCCCGACTGGGCAGTCGATTGGCTTTGGCCCATGGAGACGTTTGTTTTACAAGGTTTGAGGGTGGCGGTACCGTACCGGTAGATAAGGTGGCAGATAACAATCTGAGGTCATCACTTATTCAACAACTCCAACGGAATGGTTCTATCTCTCGGCGACCTCCCAGAAGAGATACTCTATAATATACTGTTATTTTGCGATGCTATAGACTCGGTTGCTGTCGGAAGCACCGCGCGACGATTTCGAGGTGTCACCAACGAGCCTCTATTATGGCGGAACTATTGCCAGACATTCAGCCACTTCCCACAGGTGGCCGACTGGAAAGCACTCTACATATCTCGATACCTCATTGATCGCGCCACGAGTCGGCTCTTTGACAGCATCCTTGCGAACCAAACTGGGCGTATAGAGAAATTGCGATCGATTATCAACTTTGGATGTGATGCCAAAGATACTCTACTACGTAATTTGTCGGTCGATTCATCCGCAGAGGACTACTTGGCTAGGAGGTCTGTTCCTTTGAAGTCTAAGATGCAGCTGCTAACCTAGATAGATACTATGCCAAAGCGCTTTTAACTAGCCTTCATCGGACCATTGCAATTCCAGAATGGGTTGGCCTCAGGAATGGTGATGAGATACCACTTGTTAATGCGCTCGGGGCCTTTGACCTCTTCATACCAGAAAGTGGTTTTGGAAACTTTGATGAGGTACGACCACTTTGAATCAAAAGGCTTAGCTAATCGTGTAGATCAACGATAGGTTGGAACAAATTCTGTCCCGTTTTCGTTTGCAGCATCCAGACTTTGAGACAGCAAGTCCGCGAGGAAAAGCGGGTGCCATCGCCGCTTACCTGAGGGCGCATAACTTGACTGGCATCGAGCCGGGTCGGGAGTATCACTGCCTGGAACACAATTTCCTCGGGGTCGCGCTAGACGATCCAGGACACAACTCGCTGCCTTTAGTATCGGCAGTGATATATTGCCATATTGCGCAAATGCTCGGATTGAACGCTCGCCCTTGCGGTTTCCCTTTCCACGTCCACGTTATCGTTGTACCCCCCTGGGGTTTTGACATTGATGGCAATAATATAGACACTCAAGGCGAACCTATATATATGGACCCGTTTCGTTCCGATCAAGAGACCCCCACGTCAGATATGAGAACCCAACTGAATTTTCTGGGTGCGTCCCCTATAGAGCAGTCTGCTTTCATGGGTGAGTCAAGGACTTCTGAGATTGTCTTACGTTGTAGCAAGAATATTTTGAATTCTGTGCAACGTACCGGCCAATCGAGTGCAGTGGACGTGGGCTGCGCGCGGTATGCCGCGCTTTGGTCTTCTTTGTTACTCTCGAGCCAACCGGATATACAGCAGCTTCTTTGGTTGTTGGAGCTCGTAGCCACCGACTTCCCCTCTGATGTACATCTGGTTGAAAGATACATCGCAGCTACATTCCGTGGTACGCCAGAGTTTGAGCATATTCTGGAAAGCCTCCATGTCATACGAGCGGTTGATGAAATACCGAAGCAGGTGAAGCGGCGGTCCTCCGAAGAGGTGTCATTTCGTGTTGGTCAGGTATTTAGACACCGCCGCTACAACTACACAGCAATAGTCACAGGTTGGGATGCGGAGTGCGGCGCGGGCGAGCAGTGGATGAGGAGAATGGGAATTGATCATCTTCAGAGTGGAAGACAGCAAAGCTTCTACCATGTTATGTATGTGTGTGTTTCCATGGGTTGGCGAGCTGTGCTAATTCATTTCAGCGTGGAAGATAAGAGCGTCCGGTATGTTGCAGAGGAAAACATCCAAGTTATAACGCCAACGATTTCAGAACTGCCACCAACGCTAGTTGCGGTGGCAGGGAAATACTTTAAGCGGTGGGATATTGTATCACGAGAGTTCGTGAGTAATATCAAAGACGAATACCCTGATGATTAGATATTTTGCTATTGACTCGGCAGTTGGCTGTTTGTTGGCTGTTTGTTGTCATTCACGAGCTAGGTCATTATTCTGCTTATGAATAAATCTGCTCTCAGCTCAAACATGTACAAGTCTGCGTTGGCAGTACAAATGCGAAATAGCCATCTTTGGCTAAGCTACGTCTGCAGTATGATGGACTCTCGGTTCAATCCTTCCTCGAGGTGAAAACCAAACACCAGACGGTAGAGGTCGTACAGCCACAGATGTTGTCCACTATTAGCCATAAGCTTAGTCGCCCTAGCTATATCCATCGCGCTTGCCCTGGCTGGAGGTCCAATAGCCTGGAAAGCCGGCTCATAAGCCACCAGGGCCTTGTAGTGTTTCAGCAGAGATATCTGCCAGGGGGCAGTTCCGAACGCGTCAGATGAGAGAGACTTGACAAAGGACGAGAGGCCTTGTGCTCCCTTGCGCTGAAACCCATTATTCAAAGCCGCCTTGACTGCCAATACTTTGAGAGCGTTTAGACTTGAATCGTTAGAGAGCGTTATAACAGTATTCGTCGAAGACGTTCTCTCCGAGGACTGGGTCCTGCCCGAGATACTCGAAGCACTGGATGGCCAGTGAGCATGTGAGGCCATGTTCCGGCGCTGGCCGAGCACATAAATATTCTGGACTGGTCCCTCTGCGGGTGACGTAGTACCAACGTCTTCGAATATCGTAGTCGGGGTCTCGGGATTTCGCTGGAAAAGTGGCATATCGTGATGTTGAGTTTGCTCCGCCGCCGCAAAGGTCGCCTGGCTCGGTCGAGGGGTGCCGCGATCAGAGTTTCGTAGACTCCTCTGCGTCCATCCTTCGCGGAAAATATCACAAAGCTCCCAGCAAGCCTGGACAGCAGAACCGAGCAGTTCTTCATCTAACGACCGTCCTTCTTTTTTGCTCTGACGTATACTAAACAGCATCTCAGCCAATGACCAGCAAGCACTAAGGAGAGAGTCTGTTTCCGGCGCACGAGATCTTTGTTTCATCAGGCGGTGGCATAGGGTGATATAAAAGTCCAGTGTCCGTTCTCTGAATGCGTCTGGGAGGTTCCGGTCATGTGTATTATACAGATGATTATTGAGCTCGAAACTGACACGAAGAACAGAGTCCGATATCTCATTGTCGCGAGTCCGGGCTTCAAACAACGTCTGACAAAAGTCACGACAGAGGTCAAGTGTCGGGTGGACATCGACTTGACCAGCATACAACTGCTGGCATAACCGCCAGCAAGATTTCCAGGCATCATCACCCAGGACGCTGCTAGCTCGCTGACGATGGATTGAGCTCAGTGTGGCCAGCGTATTGCAGAGTGACCAACATTCAACCAGGGCTGCCTGCAATGCCGTTATCTCACTTGCCACTAAGTTTCCAAGACTTTCCGGTATGTCTAGTCGACTATTAATGATTGCAGAGCGAACCGGACCAGAAAATTTGAGACTCGCCTTCCAGATCGATAGTAGCCGAGTCAAAATCGTCAAAATCTTGTCGGGTCTGTGCACGCGGTGTCGCTCTTTCAGACCAGTCCTTGGCTGGTTCGATGCTGGTCGTCAACGGAGGTGGTGATATGGGACTGTTGGAGAATTTCTACCAAAAGTAGTAAGTAAAGAATTTCAACTTGCCGGAAGACTTGCTGTACATTTGCATCTCTTTCCTTCTCTGCCTCGAGGTTCCCATCGTCTTCTACTGGATTTACTTCAAACTCAGTGAACCCAACAGGAGCATGTATCACAGACTTTGGTTCGTCATCGGATCTCGGGCTTGGGTTTGCAATTTGTGTCTATGGGGCATAAGCAGGTGCTTCGCGGAAGCGAAACAAAGACATACCGTAAGTCTATTTGTAGATTGCGGTCGTGTATCGTCTCGCAACCTTGTCTCGGATTCACCATCCGCGGCTGATATTAGCAATGACGGATGCGAGTTGTCTAGGAGTCCAGCCGCCGGAAGGCGTTGCTCAACGGACCTAAGACAACCGTCAGTATTTCGACAACACACATTTTGAGCACATACATCTTAAAGGCCGGGATGCCGTGGTTGTGCTAGATCATTTGCCTCAAACGCTGCCATCGGCGAGATCAACACTTGCGGGCTGTCAACAAATGGTAGCAACTATTCTTGAACGTATCCTAGACCCAAGTCCCCGCTCCGAAGCACGCGGCCGATCTACTTGGCTAAGATCAGACCGCTGCCCAGCTGTCCAGTCTTACCTAGCGTCTGGGCGCCACAAGTCATGTTGCGCTACCCGAACTCAACAGCCTCTAAATACCAGAGTACACATCGTATTCTTTACGCCAGAGATAAATAATTTGATTATGTTCTTCTAAGCAGACAAAGCTTTGACGAGGTCGCGGAAGACGACTCGCGAAGGAGGTAGAACAAAAGGAGGCGTATCGCCGAAGACACCAGCCAACCCAGTTTCTTTAACCACAACCGCGATTTCTGATGTCGAAGCTTTGCCCACAACAGCCGAGGACTGGCGTCCGAACAAACCGTCCAATCCAAGGTCTGAGGGTTCGATTTCCGCCAATGGATTGACCTGGGGGGTTTTGCTCGAACAGCTGATTTGCTGTACATTGGCTCCGGCGTCCACAATAACATAGTCGGTGGAATGCGAGTTCGAGAGCAAAGACACGGGCTCTTTGGCGACTTTGCAACGATAAACTAATGTAGCGTTAATATCAAATATTTGGATCCGCTTCTTCTTCCTTCCAGCCGTAGCGAAAGTCTGTGTCCTGGGATTCACAGCAAGCAGATGACACTCTGCATCTAACGTCCGCACTGCATCATTGACTGTATCCCATATAGACAGACGGTCAATGGCGGCGATGAGAAGATGACAACCTAGAAAAGCGTTTGCGCAAACATCTCCCGCGTGGGCCCCGACTTTGCTACATCTAACACTGCAACTGCGCACATCGACAAGAACGGTCAGGGTGGATGTCGACACCGCAAGAACTGATCCATCCGCAGAAAAGCAGATCGAGGCAGATGTAGTGGTAAAGTCGGCCTTGAGATCCAAAACGTTGCGACATTTCCAAGTCTCTGCTGCATGTTCATCATTTTCCCTCAAGCGCTGCCTGATGACGGGGCGCCAAAGACGAAGTAATCCGTCTGATCCTATTGTCGCAAACTCATGGCTATTCGGTCGAGAAGCAACATCAAGAACAGCTGCTGGTGCGTTGGTAGAGATATGTGGACTGTCTATGCGTGTGACCAATTGCCACAGGGAGGATGACTCGTTCCAGCGCCAAAATTTTAGATACTCCTCGACTGTGGCGCCCAAGTTGATATCTTCAGGCCACCAGCTATCAACAGTAGCCATCCATTTCCCATCCTCAGAGATGCTGAAATGATTGATGTCAGGGGGAAGAATATGAGTCCCGTCCGGACCGATATTCAAGGTGGTTGCGTTGGTACGTGCAAGAGCTTGACGTGATATATGGACTCCTGAGCGAATATCGTACGTCTGTAAAATGGGACAGCTTGCATCACCTGATGAAGGTACGGCAATCAGCAACTGCTCTGGATGCTGCGGGTGCACAGCTGCAACTGCTCTGGACCCTGTGGCCAGTTGCAGACTAGTTATTGTAGACAAGGGCTGTAACTCTCTTGCTGACAAGACCACAACGCGATTATCTGCCAGACTAACAGCATAAGAATTTCCGCTTTCGGAAACAACTATGTTGCAGATTGGAGAGGACAGATGAGGGAGAAACTGCTTTCGGCCCGTATCCAATTGCCAGAGTACCATGACTGACTCGTAGCCACCCGAGATAACATAGTTGCCTATATTGTCAGTATGACTTATGGTTAGGGTTAGGTTACTGACCATCTTTCGACCAGCGGACAGCTGTGACGGGGTCTCGGTGCCAGTGTAGTCGCCGGCACTTTTGTCCTTTGGTAAATGCGGCATGGTATACCAATATGGAACCGTCTGTTCCTCCTAATACAAGATCAAAATTGCTGTTCACCTGCTTGATATCAATACAGGTGATGCTGATAGCAAGTTTAATTTCTTTCCATGTATATTTTGGGACAGAAGTAGCGCAGCGAGTCCCGACAAATATACACGCGCCGCCGTATGCAACAACGGCCTTTCCGCTTTCGGTGACCCGGAAGTTGTCGATGTTGAAATGGGTTTCGAGAATGATGGTGCTTTGAGGTTTCTCGCTATCCAGCGGCATGACCACCAGCTCTTTCATTCCATCCTTACGCTTCCGTAGAGAGAACAGGGTATTGTACACAAGATCGGCCGATATGATTCCGTGTGCTGTATCCCACTGCGCGACCTGTTTCCTGGAGGGCCAATCCCACTCGCTAATTGACCCGGATGATGATACGATAAAAAGGCGGTCTTGGTTCAAGACAAATCCACTGACACTCTGGCCGATATCGAAAATCCGAAAAAGGCGAGATGTTGCGACAGAATATATTTGGACCGCTGTCTCAAGGCCCAAGATAATATATCTGCAATATCATAAGCCAGCTGCAAGAAAAACAGACATATATACGCACTGCTCGTCGGGTGTAAGAATAGGATTCGCCTTTGCGAAATGTCCGGCAATACCCCGGGATAAAGACCAGTTCGAGGTGCCCAGACCATCGCTTGTCGAAGTTCGACGTCGTTTCGTCCGTTCACGATTGACTTGCACGCTGTCAACTGCTGCTTCGCTTGCCCGAGATCGTTTCATAAGCCGCGCCGGACTCGAGTTGTTTTTTGCCGACATGACAGCAGTAGAGATCAAAGATGCCGGCGAACACTTCTGATAAGAAAAATTCTAGACCTGCTGAAATCTTACTGGACACGCTAATACGGACCAGGTTAGCTCACTCGGAGAGTCCCCACATATAGACGCCTTGCAACCTCTTCAACTTTCTATCAACTCCATTAGAGCCAGCGTCAAGATGATCATCCCTGTTCGGTGTTTCTCCTGCGGCAAGGTATGTCACCCCTAATACTTGGGACCAGACTGACAGGTATAGGTCGTTGGCGATCTGTGGGAGCGATACCTGCAACTTCTTGACGAAGGGATTCCAGATGGGTTAGTTCACTACCTGCACTTATCCGCTTCGATTAACGCCATTATCAGAGACGCTATGGATCAACTCGGATGCAAGCGCTATTGTTGTCGCCGAATGATTATGACCCACGTTGATCTGATTGAAAAGCTTCTCCGGTAAGTATTGATTGTCCGGTCTATGGCAGAAGACTTACTCGTCCAGGTACAATCCCACCGAGAGAGACCGCGCCAAAGTTCAAGTCTAATTACCTACAATTCCCACGCGCCGCAACTTGCACGTCCTGCGCGAAACTTGCCGACCACGGCTGTATGGTTACAATCATACCTACCTTCGCCGCTTCTAGAGCTGAAGCGCTTTCTTAAAGCCAACTAGGTTCCTAAACATCACGATCACGGTTGACTGGCAACACCATTAACCTACTTTACAAGGCAAATCACAAACTGAAAGCAAGTTTGCTTTTTCGGAGCAATGCCTATTAGAAGGCGCATAGTTATTCTTGACTCAAACAAAAAGCAAATGCAGCTTTTCGCCCTTGAATGTGGGTCAGATACCCATAAAGCTCGTTGTCATCATTTATCGCATACGTGGTACTGTTCCCATTCGTATCTCCGTCAAAAGCTTCGACTTTGACAACAACCGTACCAGGAAACTTGGCAGTAACCAGCTGCCGTAGCTCAATGAATGACTTGGATGACAGCCCATCCTCCCAGGGTTTGGAGTCCGTATGCAATTGACTTTCGGGGCTGATACTAAGACACACAGGTAGCAGGTCCAACATGGGATCCATGTAACCAAAAGAACTTTCATCCGCGTCCGCAGGCGTGGTAAATGTGTTATTCGCGGCCTGTAGAAGCGAAGGATCGATTTGCATATCACCTAAGTCACTAGAAGTAATAGGTGCACTAGCAAGAGCCTGCGAGGCAAGCGTACTGATGCCGTTCGATATCATGACACTCGGGTCGGGTGCGCGATTTCCAAGTTTCCGCCTCGGGTCTCTCTTTGTTTGATCATCGCGAAGGCGTTTCATAACATCACGACACAATACTTCCAGTGCCCTCACTTTTGTAGCATGCGCGGGGTCCACCGGCCCAGGGGCAAGAATGCGCTGGAGTAGCTCAGACCCTTGAATCCACTGCTCTTTGAGCTCCTTCCAATGCTCATCACCCGCTTCCAATTTGCTCGTGAAATGGTCACTTTTTAATGTATTGTAAAATGCGTTGCGAACTTGCCGGCTCTCTTCTGGGTTGATCCCAAGTGCATTCTTAGCCTCGGCGATGGTCATGCGCCTTTCCAAGGTCCTCATTCTCTTTGTGACGTCCGTGCAAACGACATCGAGAGCAAGAGACTTGGCTTCGAGTTGATTGGGATCATCCCAAAAAACACGCTGCAGGTGTTCCGATTCTGCTATCAGGGTATTCTTTGCCTCTTGCCATTTCTCGGGTCCGGCAATGGTTTTCTTGATAAGGCCTGCCTTTTCACAAATGCTTTGAAACTGGTCTCTGATTTCGCGGTATCCAGCGTTATCAAGATCCAGGTACTTTTTGCTTTCGTCGATGGTGGTCTCGGACGGGAAACGTGGGGGTCCCGGAGGGTCGGCAGGCAACCCAGCCCAACCCCTTGTACGTCGACGCCGTTTTCTGGCAGCCCAACGCTCAGCACTCTCCGCTTTCAACCGGTCGAGCCGCTCCTTGCGCTTTGCTACAACTTCACCAACTGCCTCTGGCTGTTCTTCATCGTTCAACAGTCGCAGCAGGCCCTCCTCTTCAGGTACCGTTTGCTGTGCTTTGGTCCCGTTGGGTACTCGGAGTAGCCAACGGTTTTTGGCTCGTACTCGCATTAATTCGCGTTCTTTGATCTGAAAGCCTTCCTCGTTGAGGATTCGGAGCATATCTCGCTGAGTGGTATTTGTCTCCCAGAGTTGTTTGATGCGAGTAACAAGTTGCACGTTTTTATGTGCTGGGTTCTGCTTCGAAGGGAAACCCCATCGCTTGAACTGGGTTTGAAAGGCACGTTTACTAGAAGGTCAACATCGTTCAAACTGCGTTAGAGGAGCGTACCTTGGAGAAAATTGATACACATTCCTCATGTATTCCATAATTTCCTCCAAAGCTTTCCTATCTCTGATATACATCTGGTAGCATATCTCGCGCTTCCCTTCCCAATCGTAGACCATGGTGGGAAACGCCCCTCCAAGCTGGAGGTGCGCTCTGGGGGGGAGCCCAGGGATCAACTCGAATTGTCGTCACCAGCTGGTGCGCGTCTGGCGCGTATGTTGTCGCTGCTGTACACCGTAGTGAGTGTTGACTGCTATAAGTGCAAGTCTCGCACGCCGTAGTAGCTGAAGTGAAAAAAGAAAAAGACAGGTGGGTTATCATGCTTAATCAGCTGCTGCCAAAACCCATAATGCCAAAACTATACGGAGGCCCCATTATTTTAGGGCGCAGGTTTTAATACTGGGAGTAATATATGAGGCAAAAGGGTAATATAACTTAATCAAAAAATAAGATATAATTTAATATTTTTATAAAATAAGGCTTTTTAATATTATTTATAAGGCCCTTTAAATACCGTACAAGGAGAGCTGTTAATTAAATACTAAAGAATTAAATAAGGAATATAATAATATTTAAAAGCTAAAGCTAACTAGGATTTTTATAAATAATTTAAGCTTTTAAGAATAATAAAGATTTTAAATACTTTTATTAATACTTTATAAAATTTTAAAAAATTATAAATATTATAGTTATATAAGCAAGTAATTTAATAATAAGTATTATAATATTTTAATTAAAACTACCTAAGGCGCTTAAATACTATTAAAGTATTATAATACTTTTTTATTAAATTAAGTAATTTTTATTATTAGCTAACACGCCCCCTTAACACCTACTTACTTTTAGATTAATTAAAAATAAGGTTAAAAATATTTACTAAACCTAGTATTTTAATAAATTTCTAGTATTATTATTTAATAAATATTTTAATAAAATTATTTATAATTATTTAATTAATAAGGGTTTATTTAATATAAAGATTTTTATATTAAACTTCCTACCTAAGCTATAAATTATAAATATTAATATAGTAAAGCTTTAAGTAAAGTTATATATTAATATTAGTAAAAATATTAATTATTTACTTATTATTATATTAAATAAAAAGCTAGTATTAAAAATTAAATTATATAGCTTTAAAAACTTTTTATTACTAGTAGGTTATTTTAAAGGCCTTAGTAAAAATAAGTAACTTAGCCTTAATAATAAAAATAGTAATTAAGTATTACTTTATAGCCTTTTATTTAATTAAACTTTTATATAGCTTATAAATATAGCCTACGCTAAAAAATTAATTAAAATAATTTATAAATATTATATCTAAATAAAATAAATTTTATATTTTTTAATAAAAATCTTATTTTTAAAGCTATTTAAACTAAAATATTTAAAAGTAAAAAAGTATATATTATAAAAATAAAAAATAAGTTAATTTACTATATATTAATAATAATTTATAGGATTAATAAGGTATTTTAATAAGTAATTTATTATATAAAAAAATATTTAAATAAGTAAGGGTACTAGCGTATTTAATAAATTTAATTTTTAATTTTATTTTTTTAATATTTTTAAAAATAGCTATATTAAAGTTTAAATAAAGCTTGTTAGGTAATAAAAGTAGGGTACTAGGTAGCTAAACTTTAATATTTAAGTAAAATTAATTTATAATAACTTTAATATAAAAGATTTAAAAAAGTTTAAGCTTGCGCTACTGTCAAGCCCAGAGGGAGGTAATATGATAAGATAGTAAGTTAATTACTAAGTGGCTATCTTAGAAGCAATGTAGATACATGTTAATAACTAAGCTAATAATTAAAAAAAACCAAGTAAGAGATAAAGTAAAAATAAGGCGTGAATTATAATAAATCCTCCTATTAAAAAAAATTATATTATTTTTAATACTATTTTCCTTAAGCTTAGTGCTATTTATTTTTTTTAGTTTTTATACTTAATTTTATTAAACGCGAACCCTAGGTTATTTATATAGGCTTTATAAATAAAAATATTATTTATAATGTTATTAGTAAAGTATAAAAGTAGTATATTAAGGTAAATAAAATTTAAATCTTTTTTTTATATTTATTAGGTATTTTAATTTATAATTATTTTTAGGTACTCCACGAACTATTTATATAAATACTTTAATATAAAATATTTAAAAATATTAAAGTTATTTAAAAAAACTATATAAAAGTATTTTATTTTATACTTGCTATATTTTTTATTAAAAAATTTAATAACCTTAATAACCTTTATTTAGGCTTTAATATTATTAGCTAAGTTTTTAAACTACTTTATAAAAGCAGTGTTACTAATAGTAAGGGTATATATTATATTAAAAATAATTTTATTTATAGTAGTAATTAGTTTTTTAAAGCCTAGGATAGTAACTTTTTTTATAAATATATTTTTAAGCTAGTAAGTAAAAGGGTTTTTATAAAGCTTAATAATTAGCTTAAATTCCTAAAGTTTTTTAGCTTATATTTATTTTTAATTAACTAGTTTAAAGGCAGCTAGCAGGAATAGGTATTTTTTATTATATTTTAAATAAGTATTATTAGCTAGTTTTTAAAACTTTTTATAATAAGTCTTATTATTAAACTATGCAAAGCTAGAATACTATTTAATATTTTTTTTAAAAATAAGTATTTAATTATTACTAGTTATAATATATTAAATAGCACCCTTTTTTTTAGCTAGGGTATAATAAGCTTTAAAATATATTTTTTACCTGTATATAGGTTAGTTTTAGTTACTTTATATATAAATAGGGTGTAATTACTTAAAATATTAATTAAAACCTTAGTAATTTTATTAATATTTAATATACTTAAAATTAGCCTAACTAGGGCAGGATTAATTAATATTTTAATTTTTTTAGTAATAAACACGCGGTATTATAGGTGGATAAATATAAAAAATTATTTTAATTATAATATATTATTAAGCTTATTTTAAAAATACTTATTATTAATTTAAATTAAGGTTTTAAAATAGTACATGTATTTCTTAAAGTTTATTTTTATAATTAGCTTTTTTAAAAAAATTTTAAGTTATATAATAGGTTTACTACCTAAAATATTTTTATAGCTACTTTTTTTAGCTTAGTTTAATTAAAGTAAATTATTAGTTATACCTTTAAACTAGGTAATAATATTATTATTATTTATTATTTTAAGTTTTTTAACATGGGCCTTAAAATAATTTATAATTTTTTTTAGTTTATAATAAAAAAGGCTTTATTATTTTTAAAAAACTTAATTTATTACTTAAGCTTATAAATAGTTTTTTAAGTTTTTATCTTTTTTTTATTAAAAAGGGTGTTATTTAAATTAAATAAATTTACGGTGGAACTTCCACCTTTATTTATTATAATAAAAAGGATATTAAATAAATATGGGAGGTAAAAGAGTTTTTATAAATAAAAAATAAAAAGTAAGAAAGTTTAAAAAGAAAAAAAATAGGGAGAAGGTTTAAAAAAAAAGAAAAAATAAAAAGGTAAAAAGTAAAAAAAGTTTAATAATAAAGGGGTATTATATTATAAGCAAGGTAAATTTTTTATTATAAAGTGGCTATACTTAAACTTAAAATAATAATAAAACTTAGGGGGCGGGGTAAAAAATAAAAAGGTAAAAAATAAAAAAAAAATAAAAAAATACCTAAATAAATATATTTTTTACAAGATTTTCCTTATTTAATAATTTTTTAGTATATAATTATAGTCCTAATTTAAACTTAAGTATAAGGTTTTTTATGCTATTAAAGTTTTTTTAGGGCTTTTATTAATTATTACTTATATTATACCCCTTTTATTTTATAAGGTATTATATTATAAAAGTTTTATAATAGCTATATAATATAATATACTTTACTAGTATATTATTAACTTTTTATTAATTTATATTTTTAGGAAATTATTTATTTAATATTATCAGGGGATGGTAGTATTCCCTGGTAAAAAAATTAAAATTAGTTAGTTTTAGCTATGCTATTAATATAACTAAATAAATTTTTTAAAAGGTAGGAAAATTTATTAGGTATAATAAGTAGTTAACTTGCTTAATAACTTAAAAGGGGCTAGTATATTAAAAAAAATTTATAAAATATTTTTATAAGCGGGTAATAAGTAAGGTATATTTTTTATATAAGTAAAAGTAGGCAAGGTTACCTTTTTATAAATTTACTAGTTAGTAGTTTTTATTATAATAGGATTTTATAAATATTAAGGTATATTTTAAAGCTTTTTTAGCATTTAAACAAGCGCTAAAATCTTGGGGCTAAATATACTTAAAAAGGTTTTATAAATATTAAAAATTTAAGCTAAATAATAACTTTTAAAAAGTATGCTATATTATAAAAAAAATAAATTTATTAATTATAATTATAATTAATAGGAGCATATTAATTTAATTTATATTTAAAAAAGTAGTTATTATATAGCGCAGTATAATCTTAATTATTTAAATAGTTTATTTAGTTTAGCTATTTATTTAAGGGTAAAAAGTAGTTAAATATAGCTAGTAGGTATTTATAATTTTTAATATTTTTTTTAAACCTTACTTATAAACCTAAAATCTTTATTAAAAATAAAAATTTTAGGTATTAATTAATTATATACTTAAAAATAATATATTAGTTTATAACCTTATTTATTAAATTTTTATATAAAAGTTTTAGGTAGTAGGCTAATATGTTTTATATACTTATTATATATAATAAAAAGTTAATTTTTATTTTTTACTAAAGAAAGGTGTATAATAAAGTTAACCATAATAATATAAAATAAAATAAAAAGTAATATTATTAGTTATAAGTAGCTTAGTGGTTAATAGTAACAAGGCTTATTTTTTAAGTATATTAAGTAATATATAATATAATTATAAAAAAGACTTTAAGCCTTGTATATTATAAAGCTATATATACTTTTTAAGTATTTATTTATACCTTAGTAACTATTATAATTATAAATTAGTTTAAAAAATTAAGGTAGTATAAAGTAAAAAAAGTAAAGCTAGTATTTTATATTATTAAAAGTTTTTTAATTAGGTAAATTAGGGTATATAAATATGTTAATATATAAATTTATTTTTTACTTTAATATATATAATAAGCTATT